GCCTACTAGGATCAAAACCAAAAATGCTTTAAATTGCAATTCAAAACATATCTAGGTATAATAAATGATAAAGAATGCTAATATAGATATAAAATCGATATTTTTTTGAAAATAGCATTTTATGATCGAAACCAAAAATACTTTAAATTGCATTTTAAAACATATCTAGATATTATAAATGATAAAGAATGCTAATATAGATATAAAATCGATATTTTTTTGAAAATAGCCTACTATGATCAAAACCAAAAATGCTTAAATTTGCATTTTAAATCATATCTAGGTATTATAAATGATAAAGAATGCTAATATAGATATAAAATCGATATTTTTTTGAAAATAGCCTACTATGATCAAAACCAAAAATGCTTAAATTTGCATTTTAAATCATATCTAGGTATTATAAATGATAAAGAATGATAATATAGATATAAAATTGATATTTTTTTTGAGAATAGCCTTCTATGATTAGGGTGTACAATTGCGTAGTTTTACAACGGACAGTCCTGTATTTTAAAACCCTGTCTTGTATAAATCTGATAGTTTTGTTCCAGGTCCTGTATTTTTTTCACGAAAATTTTCGTTTATTTTCAAATTTTCCTTTGTGTCCTGTTTTTTTAGGAAATTTATGAAATCTCCTGTATTTTCATAAAAATTAGATGGTCATCCTAATTAGGGGTTAAAGTTGAACGAAATGATTAAAAAAATTCAAAAAAATTTTAATCAAAGTTTGCTTGAGCAAAAGTTTCAACTAAAATTTTTGTTAATCATCTTTCAAACAAACTTTGAACAAAATTTTTTCGCTGAAAAATTTTCAATTAATTTTTTGAAAGAAAATTTTGTTTGAAAAATTTTGAAAAACTCAAAGAAGTTTTTTGCATAAAACATTTCTTTTTAAGCATCGATTGCCCTTAAAATTGTGTATTTTTTATTTATCTTTGCATTTTTGTTCGATAAAGTGCATATTTATTTCTTTTTACTTCCGTTTTGACCAGTTTTAATATTCAGAAAAAAAGGAATTTGGAAAGGGACCGTTCACTTATTACGTTCGCATTTTAGGGGGGAGGGGGGTTTGAAAATTTGTAACAAAATGTAACATAAGGGGGGGGGGGGGTGTCAAGAAGTATGTAACGTTCTAACTGTCGTCTGTCTTTTAAAAAAAAGTTCACGAAAATTCACACCAAAAACATTTTTTCAAATTTTTTTTACCTTTTTAATGATAAAATAAATTATGAACGTTCAGGGGGGGGTTGTGAGTTGTAACATATTGTAACAAGGGGGGAGGGGGGGATGAAAAAAGTCGTTTTTTTGCGTAACGTAATAAGTGAACGACCCCAAATTTTGTTGAAAATTATTCATTTTTTATCGAAATTAGCCAAGAAATTTTTTCAATCAAAGAATGAGCAAAAAATTTTGCTGAAAAATTTTTCGATTAAGAATTTTTGAAATAATTTGTTGATCATATTGAGCCACTTAGGCTACATTTTAAGTTAAAATTTTTAACAACCACACAGTCACATTCTTTACATTGCTTGATATCACGTTTTTCTTAATTTTTCGTTTTATGTCAAGAATTATAAATCTCTATACTTTTGTACTTTTAATACCTTAAGGTAAATAAACCAATCTATCTATCTATCTATAAAAGTCGAAAAAATTTGATTGACTTCAACCCCAGGTTTTAATTGGATTTCAACAACCTACAAAAACAGTCCAAGATCTAACCATGAATGTCACTTGATGATGTTGAAATGATTGATTTAAGGTTTCCGAATGTCATACCAATTTCATCGAAAGAACTAATGTCAATTCAACACGTCAAATCGACAATTTCAATTGCAATTGTGGCAATAAATAAGTTTTACGAAGGTAATTAGAATTTACCGAGAACCTTTCGTGACATTCGATTATTTTCTTCCGTTGATTCCCACTTGAATTAAACAATTGTTCTGAAAATGAGATTGAACTGTCAATTATCAACAAAATAATCATTATTGAAACAAACTTAACATTTTATTGATACTTTTTTTGACTTGTCAGGATTTTATTATTTTCATGTTCACTTGATTTTTATTATAACTATGGAATAATATAACAAGTATCTGATGATTTTGTGCTTTCCTTTTTCAACTTACAAAAAATAATAATAATAATAAATTGAATAGTGAAATTCTTGATTGGATTGCTTATATTTAACAAATATTTTAAGGTTTTTGAGATTCGTGATAATTAAATTAAACTTTTTTTATTTCCTGTTAAGAGTTCAATTAGAATTTAGGAATACTATTTACTTTATTTTCATTTAATATTTTTTATTATTTTATTTTTTTTATAATTTTCTTCAGATCTCTAATGACTGTTTTTTGATAATAATAATCACTTAAATCACATATATTGATTCCCATGGATTTTATCTTAAAGTTTAGTTAAGATACAAAGGATTAATCCATACAGGAAGTTTATATTAATTTATCAACGCTTGTTTAACTAAAATAATACTTCAGAAAGCTTTTCAGCATTTCACGGCAATACAATTCAAACGATATTCCTTATTTTCAGATTCATTACTGTTAACCTTACCTTAAAAAGCTATTGCCGTTATGTTCCGTTCGAGATGTTTGCGTAAGCCTCAAACCTTAATTTGTGTACTGACTTATCTACATTTATTTAGGTATTTCGACATTTTACGCATCTTTGATAGAAAATTAAAGAAATAGACACGCAATAGTCGTGGCAACGTGATGAAAATTTACATACGTATGCACGCTTAAAAAGTTAATGCTTCTAAAATTCATGAACCAAAACAAATAAAATAAAATACGATTAATATGTTAAAAACAAATATTCATAAATACACGGATTTTCATAAAAATAAAGATATCTTCTCTATTGACAATTCCTTACAATGTTGATAAAGCTTAACATAAATTTTCCTTTCGTATAAACTTAGCTTTGTATCTTAACAATGTCTATTATAATTTTTTATTTTCAGCTAGAGTTGAGTAAGATAGATAGTTTTTATTAAGATCATAAAATATCCTCACAAGTTTCCTTTAAGCGTCTTTCATATCCATAAGTTTATCCTCACATTTATTACAATCCTTTTTATGGCAAATTTATCATTTCTTAAACTCAATTTGATCTTTCAAGTAGAATCAACGTTAAAGTCAGATTTTGGCTGCTATATTGTTCTAGAGATTTTCAATGATAGCCAAACTGAACTCTTAATAATCTATCCGTCTTATAATTTGTCTATTCCAATTTTAAATGGAATTAATCGTCGTTAAGGCGTGGAAACTCAAGGTTAATCCTGAAAAATCCCAGGGATTTTTTTTTTGGATTTTTGGGATTTTTCAGGATTAATCCTGAGCTTCCACGCCTTAATCGTGATATTTTAAGTAAAAAATTCTTTATGAATGTGGAGAATAATTCGAGAAATTTTATAAGATTGCTAACTGGTTAAAGTGGTAAGCTTTGTAACTGGTAATGGTTATATGTAAGGAGCCGATATAGCTGCATTAAATCCTGATTTAAAGGTTGAATAAATATTGACTTTAGGAATATCAGAGTTGTTAACCATGGCAATCAAAGTTGAATCATAATACATGTTGCTTTAATGTTGGGAATAATTACTAGAGCACGTAATTATACATACTGTTTTACACTTGGGGATATACTTTTCAATTTTTGATTGGAAAAGGGTTTCAAATGTTAATTCTTAATAGCACAGATTTTAAAGACCAAGACAAGATCAAGACTCGGTAACCCACTAGCAATTCCGACATCCTATAATGATCTCTAAATAGAGGATCTTCGGTATCAAACTTAATGCTCTCCTTTACTTGGTTATCAACTCTTCTCATTCGAAATATTTGCTAAGAAGCAGGGATATTGAATATATTTTAAATCGGCCTTAAAAAGCTTTGTCTGTTGAATATTTTTAACTTTATTTATTACAAATTGAATAATATTGAGTAGCGTTTAGAAATTAGTTCCAGTAATGAGAAGAACATGTGCAATGACTTTGAATAGAATGATCTAGTAATAAGTTAGCACAAGCAGCTAGTTTATAGCTACTGAAAGTAATTTTTTACACATGTTAATTTCACTGGAAGCAGGAGATTATTGGCTGTTGAGAAGTAATAGCATTGTTTATATTTTTAAGAAGCAATAAACGTGTGCAGCTTTTGTTAAATATAATTAAGTAAAGTGAGCTATATTTATATTTGTTCATTTATATCTTTTTTTTCATCCAAGACTCATCCATTTTGAACACATTTACTTATTGTGCCTTTATTTATTCTCATTATAATAAATTTCATAAAGCGATTCTTTGTCGATTAATATTATTAAGCATACATGGCAGAAAACATACACCATACGTTTGAGGTAAAAAATTAATTCTAAAAAAAAAATTTTGTGTCTGAGAAAAGTTTAAATATTTCCATTTCTTTTGCAAAATTAAAATGCACATTTTAAGTGTGATTTAGGACCTAAATGAAGATTTTTGTTTGTTCATAAATAAATTAAAAGTTTATGCTTCTTATGCATTGTTGTTCAAAATATGTGGAGATTGCAATCTCATATAAAATTACATAAATACTTTGTGCAATAAAAAGTGCTAGAATAATCTATTGCCATTGTTTCCTGAGTGACACAAAGTTGCTGAAACTGTAGAGCGTTCAACAACTTTTTATATTGTCCCTGCTTAATTCCAGTAGCTGAATTCCAGTTTTGTCAAATTCATTAATTTATCCCATATGACACAAGACTCTATTTAATAGCAACACAACATTTGGAGTCAACTTTCATTCATATAGTTCCAGGACGTCTACCAATTAAGGAGTCTGAAGATATATCTCATCTTTCGATGTATGACTTATAGATTCCAGCAGATGACTTAAAATTTCGATTCCAAAAAAACGGTGACTGTGTGCAGCAAAATAAATTTCAATTGTCAGGAAGAAGTTGTGAAATTCGGAACGCTCCACAATGCAAAAAAGAATTATAATAAATAATAATTTCATCACGTATTTCACATTTTTTTCTCCTTTCATCTCTTTCCTTATAATTGTCAAAAATAAATTAATAAAAAACTATTACTCAATATTCATATTTTTCACTACTTTCTGATGTCTCGCCTTTCCTTTTCGATTTCGTCTTCTCTTTGCATTTTGACCTATTTGTTGTTGATTATTTTGATTGTGTAAATTGCTTAATTTACAACCAGCAAGATCTCTCCAATCTAACAATTTCACACCATTTCTTTCGCATTCATGAGCATACGCTGCGAAACTCTCGCAATAACAAGTTTGTGTTGCACAGTCACACATGTCCATTTTACAAAATTCAAAATACTTATCAGGATTAACGCGACTATTACAGTTCTCAAATATATTATGTGATTTCAAATCCAAACATTTCGCGTAGACTTTTTTCTTGTTATTTATGCATTGTTGTGGATTTTGAGATAATTCATGTTCGTTTGGTCGTCGAGCACAAGCCTAATAATAATAATAAGAATGGAAATAAAAAATTTATTTACATGTGTTTTCAATGAACATTTTAGCAACAACAAATTTGTGGCAATAATCATAGTTGGTGAATTTTAAGAGCGCAGTTTTTGACAATAACTTAACTTTAGTATCAGCCTGAACTTTTAAAATAATCCGACTTTTACATTAAATTCAATTGAGTCAAACTCAATGAAGAATTCGCTTATTTTTTAACTTTTCAGGATCTATTAAGCATTGTCTACAATAACTGTATATATTTTCTTAGGATTTGGGAGACTATCAATACTTTTCTTGATCAACATCGATCATCAAAGTAATTATTAAAGTATGAAATTTAAAGCCAACATTATTCAAAATTATGATTAATAAAAGTGACTGCATATTTAGAATGGCTGCTGCTGCCAAGCAGTTAAAACAAAGTTATAACCGATTAAGCTAAGTATCTGATAATTAAGCCTTTATCCTACTTCATTCATTCAGCACGTATATTTTGCCTTGGCTGTTTGATTCATTAGTGAAAAGAAGAAAAAAATTAGAAGCTTAGGAATTCCTCAAAAAATCTTGGTCATTGACATTATTCACTGAGAATTTTGTTAATTGAAAAGTCGTGACTTTAAATAAAAATTCCAGTCTAGATTAGTTTAAGCAGACAAACAAACAAGGAACAATAGCACTTTTTGAATCAAAAAATGCACCAACAATATTATTGGGGCCGTTCACTTATTACGTTCGCATTTTAGGGAGGGAAGGGGGGGGAGGTTGAAAATTTGTAACAAAATGTAACATGGGGGGGGGGGAGGGGGTTGAAAAATTGTAACAAAATGTAACATGGGGGTAAAATAAAATAAATTATGAACGTTCAAGGGGGGGGGGGGGTGTAAGTTGTAACATATTGTAACAAGGGGGGAGGGGGGTGAAAAAAGTCGTTTTTTGCGTAACGTAATAAGTGAACAGCCCCATTATTGAATAAGCAAATCGCAAGTCTTAAAAAAGTAACGACAACAAAAAAAAATTACCTTCATTCCACCCACTCGCCAACTGTTTGCAAACTTTTTTACATCATGCTCCGGAAATGTTATGCCATTTCTTGAAGTTAAATCATCACGACCGACATTGTTGTAGTTGCCACACAAACCACATAATTTCCCTTTATAGCTGACTGGTGCCTCAACTTGCAAGAAATTATATCCATCATAAATTATTTTAATACCGAGATAAGATTCTACGACAACTTCATCGTTGTGTGTCTTATTAATTCTCACTAATTTATCTAAGCTATATGGTAAGTTGACGCGGGTTCCGTTTACTTTTACACGCAATTTTTGTCCTAAATTAATTTTTATCTCAGCCATCTTAAATGTTATGGTCTTTGTCCAACTCTTTTGCTTCTTTTGATGGCGCACTCCGTTGGTTACACGAATGGAAAATGAATGACTTACACAGTCAGCAGTCAATTGATATTTACATGCACCTTGAAAGCTATAAAACTTTCCATCGAATGTCTTATAATGTGGATCACCAAATACCGTACACACATGTGATTTTTCTTGACATTGTGCACAACATTGACCTTCAATCGTTGAAAGGTGCTCGTTGGGTCGACACTTTATTTTTGGACATTGTGTTTGTGCACAACGAATTTCTCCATTTCGGCACTAAACGTGATTTGATTTGAAAAAGATAATAAAAATAGTTTTAATATAATAAAAAGCGTGTCAATGTGTACATATTTGTTCATAAGAAGGAGCGTCTGTTAAAAGAAAACATGTACGAATAAAAAATAAAATTTAAATAACAAATACAGCGAAAAAGTTTGTGTCAAAAATTATATGCAATATTTTTTTAAATTTTGGAAAAACGTTGGTTCTTTTCATTATTCATAAGATTTTTATTACTTTTTTAGTAGAGGGCGAAGTCGACTCGAAATTTGTATGAAGTCGAGTGAACTCAAGTCGACTTTTCCATACAAAATCCGAGTCGACTTCGCCCTCTGTTTTTTACCATTTCGATATCGATAGCATAATGTGGGCCATAATTTATCGATTATGATGTTATTGACGCTTCTTTGTGAATAATGGAGTCGCTTGCTAAGGGGCCGTTCACTTATTACGTTCGCACATTAGGGGGGGTTTGAAAAATTGTAACAAAATGTAATATAGGGGGGGGTGGGGGTCAAGAAGTATGTAACGTTCTAACTGTCTTCTGTCTTAAAAAAAGTTCACGAAAAAAAATTTGTTTACAAATTCATACCAAAAACATTTTTTTTAAATCTTTCACCTTTTTAATGATAAAATAAATTATGAACGTTCAGGGGGGGGGAGGGGGTTGTGAGTTCTAACATATTGTAACAAGGGGGGCCAATGCTAGCAAACAGAAATTTTTGGGTTCTTATTATTCGAATTTCGAATTTTTGTGGTTCTTATTTTTCGAAAATCGAATCTTCGAAGTTCTTATTTTTTAAAAAATTTCGTTGTGAAGTATTATTTTTCGAGTAATTTGTAACTTTAGTGAACATTCCTACTAATTTTTATGATTAAGATCATCACTGTGATGAAATTGCATTCCTTAAATGTTTATGCATTAAAAAACAGCTAGTTTAAAAAAAAAATAAAAAGTAACAGACTTTCTTTTATTTTAAAAAAATACCGCGCGAAAATTTTGAAATTTTTTTGTTTGTAACGGACTCTGTTCTCTTTGCTAACATTGGAAGGGGGGGAGGGGGGTGAAAAAAGTCGTTTTTTTGCGTAACGTAATAAGTGAACGGCCCCTAATGGCTTACAATTTTTTGAAAATAATTTTATTCACTCCAATCTAGTCTGTTAATTTTTATAAGGCTACAAAGAGATTTCCTGTGTTGGGAGTAGCTGTGAGCTGAAGTTGCTCGGTTGCGGAATGGTTTAATACTTCGGCACCTAATTATTGCAATGCTTACACAGCGGTCTTGGGTTCGAGACTCGGCATGTGAAAATTTTCACTTGTCCTTTTTCGAAGCATATTTCGTACTGGAAATGAGGCTCACTGCCTTCCTTTGTAGGCAGAAATGTCAGCAAAGGAGTGGTTCGGATCCCACTATAAATTGTAGGTCTAGGTTTGAGTGCAGTGGTTTGGCGCATCCTCACTCGTTAAACTCTCATTAGCTGCGAAATGCCCTAGCGCACCTCTGGATCACAATTTATATGAATAGGTAAAGGTTTTTTTGAAAGTAGCTTTGTCACATGCACGAAAGGTTTTGAAAGTAAAATCTCAGGGATCTAAACTTTATGGGTTGCCATTCTTCACAAAATATCTAACTAGACGCCATATTATTGGTCATTTCTAATAGTAAATAGCAAGTAAAGGATGTGAAGATAAATTGAGAACTTAATGTTGAGCATTTTCAATACTTTGAGTAAAAATTTGGTATGCATGGAAACTTTGAGGTCTTTCAATTAAAATGACTTCCAACTTTTAATGGGATTTTCGATGGATGTTATATCATTCAAAGCAGTTGATCCAGGTTGCATTTGTTGATTTGAAGATTGAGAATAGTTAATTGTTATGAGATTCAAATAGAAATATTGTGGTCTAGATTACAGATCTAAATGCCTTTTATGGACTCCTGATTGTTCAGTTTTGACAAATTATTAAGATTAAGACATTTGGATTACCTCAATCTAAAAATCCCCAAAATGCAGCTACCCTAATATGCAGAAAGTACTGCTAAGATGCAGATGGTACTGCTAAAGTGCAGATGAAATTTATTTTCCCTAAAATGCAGATGAAATGCTGTTGCTTTAAAAAAGGTATAACGCAGATAATTTTTATCGTATAAAGTGCAGATAAGATGCTGCCCAAATGTAGTTCGTATAATTGTATTAAAATACATCATATTCGATGACTTTTTTTCTTGATACATCTTAATTTTTTATCTTTTTATCTTGTAGAAAACAAAAATCGATTTCTTTTGACATAGAACTCATTTTCTAAAGTTAAGGAGTCATGTCGGAAAATCACATTAATTAAGCGTCACGCACGAATAATTTTTATAAATTTTGTTGTAACTTTGTCAGCTTTCATTGATATATCTGCAAATGCATTTTTTATATTCACACCGTTTTCACGTGTGAATCTATTAGTTTTGTTCAGATTGAAAAATCAGTTTTTCGCATTTTTTGAGAAAACGAAGCAAAATTGGTTATAAAAGGTCCCAGAAGAAAAGTTTGTGCCTGAAATTTTACATCTTTTGCAAAAATCAGATTTTAAATTGATTGAGGCATTGCTGAGAAACTCGCAAAATACGTTTTCTGTAAGCAAACAAGCAAGCAAGCAAGAAATCTCAATAACGAGACCTCGTAGAGACTTCTAGTTTTATACATTTGATCCGTGCTGCTCTATAGAAGAGCTGTATTGTTTTTGGGCAAGGTAGGAACAGCCGTTGCTTCAGAAAAAGCAAAAAACTTTCCTTTCCTACGAATGTTTTAAAAAAAAAGTTTACTGTGATTTTTATAAAATTAAACTTTGGAAGAAAATTTTTTTAAAAAAAACTTTTAAAGAATGTTCGTTAAGATTAAAACCTTCAAACATATGCTGAGAGAAGCTCAATTGACACGCTAGCTTTATACCTAACGTATGCTGAACAAATCGCTGTTTATCCATAAGACTTTTGATGGTACGGGGTGCGAATATATCCGCATTGGGTTTCTACCCGATACACTAGTTTTGTTGTGAAACGACATGTACCATTTTTGCAAGATATATAGATGAGCTCATAAAAAGGATAATCGACCCAATATATACATAAATATATACATCATTTAAAGTCATTAACACGCATCAAGAAAAAAAGTCATCGAATATTCATGTATTTTAATGAAATTATACGAAACATTATACATTTAGGAAACATCTTATCTGCACTTTATACGATAAAAATTATCTGCGTTATACCTTTTTTAAAGCAACAGCATTTCATCTGCATTTTAGGGAAAATAAATTTCATCTGCACTTTAGCAGTACCATCTGCATCTTGGCAGTACTATCTGCATATTAGGGTAGCTGCATTTTAGGGATTTCTAGATTGAGGTATTTGGATTCTAAATTCTTGATGGACATCCCATAATATACTATCATCATTTGGGTATTAAGACTACACTTGATGGATTTTAATGGAATCTTAATCATTATTTTGCTTTTTAAAAAAGGTTGAAGTGAACAGCACATGCTAATTTCCTCTTAGTCATAAGACAAATGAACAAATATGTGATCTACATACTATGAAATAAATCAATTAACTTCTTACCTCGCATGACTGACATGGTCCAAGTTTCCAAGTCTCATTGTTCTGTTTAAAATAAAATAAAAAAGTGGAAAATTATAATTAATTAGAATTATTCGGAATGCACGTTGCTGTCTAATCAAATGGCAATGTTTTTTCTCACTTAGTTGAGTAATTATTCGTAGAAAAAATTCAATTGCAATCATTCTGCGAAGTAATTCATTAAAATCATTTGAATATTTATAAAGAAATATTTCTTGAATTTAACAAAATCGCTAGTTAATTTAACTTAATTACTTGAAAAGTTACATTTTATAGTTCATTTAAGTCGACACAAAAAGTTTTTTTTATGACAAATGACATCGCAAAAATGTAATGCGCTACAATAATTTAATTACTAAATGGCGACGTCAGAACTTACTTTATGAATGTTCTCACATTTCTAGAGACATAAATTCTTTCGATAATTTATGAAATACAATGTAAAGTTGTTTTTTTTTTAAGTTAAAGTCATAAAAAATAAAACCAATTAACATATTTGTTTTATTCATAGAATAAGCAATTATTTGGATTTTGATGGGAATGAAGTGCCTATCAAGTCGGAATTAAAAAAATTTATATAAATGTACCTTGTAGGTTTTCTCTTTGTATGTGCATTCAGATGTTGCATATTCTGCAGTAAGTCCATTATTAATACAGTTTGGACAGCATTCACCGGGTCGTATCACTTGATTTTGAGGAAGACAATCTAATATTGGACATGTTGTTTTCAGACACAATGATGTCTCATTATGGCACGTACACATACTGCATGCATCGGGTCTAACTTTCTTATCTTTTGCTGATGGAAAATATTCTCCATTCATAAGGCAACCGCCTAGAGACAATATTTGAAGAGAAAATATTTAAAGTTAATTCTTATCTATTTCTGGAAGTATGTACAAACAACAAAATTACCTTTAGCAGGTTTATTATATCCAATTTTTCTTATACATTTCTTACAACAACTGCCTTCGGGTGCGTACTGCAGACTAATAGGACATTGAAGAATTGGACAAGCTTGTTTAACACAAGTTAACCTTCTACCATTACAATGACATTTAACACATGGATCTTCACTCAGCGTCACAGCTCGATCTTCATGAACTAACTGTCCATTTAGTAGACATCCTGTATGAAGCAATCAAATTATTATGGAATTTTAGAAAGGTTCTTGTTTTTCAAAATTTAATCAAAATTCTGCTGAAATATCTTGTCATGCTTTATGACACACAAAAGCAATCGTGAGGGGATTTTTAGTGACGACTTTTTGTGCTCAAGAATTTGAAAAGCATTTCGGACTTAAAATTGCGATAAACATCTATTCTTTTTTTTTATATTCACACCGTTTTCACATGTGAATCTATTGGTTTTGTTCAGATTGAAAAATCAGTTTTTCGCATTTTGTGAGAAAACAAAGCAAAATTGGTTATAAAAGGTCACAAAAGAAAAGTTTGTGCCTGAAATTTTACATCATTTTCAAAAAACAGATTTCAAATTGGTTGTGGCATTGCTGAGAAAATCGCAAAATACGCTTTCTGTAAGCAAGCAAACAAGCAAGTTAATCAGCAAGAAATCTCAATAACGAGACATCGTAGAGACTTCTAATTTTTTACATTTGATATGTGCTGCTCTATAGAAGAGCTGTATTGTTTTTGGGCAAGGTAGGAACAGCCGTTGCTTCAGAAAAAGCAAAAAACTTTCCTTTCTTACGAATTTTTCAAATTAAAAGTTCACTGTGATTTTTTTTAAATTAAACTTTGGATGAAAAAAATTTTTTTGAGCAAAGAACCAAGTATGAAATACATTTTCAATTATGAACTTGGGACAGGTCTAGTCAAAATCTAGTTTTTCACTTTTTTTCTTCGAAGGTTTATCCAATTACAGTGAAACTTTGTGTGAGTATACTAATATTTATACAAAACAGTTTTAAATATCTAAAGCAAGAAATGTATTCTATATGTCGTCGGACCCAAATTTTATAAATTTGGTTGTACATTCAAAAACAACGTGACTTAAAATTTTGTCCAAAAAATGATTTTTATTAATTCAGAAATGTGTGACCTGAGGATTAAAATGCTCATACAAAGTTTTACTGTATTTGGATTTATCCTCGAAGAAAAAAGTGAAAAACTAGATTTTGACTGGACCTGTCCCAAGTTCATAATTGAAAATCTATTTCCTCCTTGGTTCTTTGCTCAAAAAAATTTTAAGATGTTTTATTTGTATTTGTTTTAAGCACTAGAATATTTATGCATAGTTTCAATCCATTTGTATAAACCCTAGAAGAATTGAACCCAAAATTGAAAATTGATTTTCTATGGTGTACTTTTGTCAAAAACATTTTTTGGATGTTTTAATTGAATTGACATTATTTTGACATAAATCACATACCAATATTACTTTTTGCAATGCATAGCTTAAAAAAAATCAAAATCTAAAATTTCGACTACCCCATCTGAATTTTGTTCATACTCTTCACTGTGGAAACCAAAAACCATATTCTTAATCTTAAAACACATTAACAAAATAGCGACATAATTCAGGATTAATTACTTTTTAATAATATTTTAACATTTACGAGAAAATGTGGTTCAAATAAGTGTGAAATATAGACGAGATTTGGACCAAAATCAGCTATACTCGTTCATAGTGTTCCCAAGGGTGACAAAATTCAAACTAAGTGTTTTTGTAGCTGACATAATTATGACATATATTAGGTATAACTTTTGAACTGTGTCGATATGGGTCTCGGCTGTACTGCACGCCCACCCTTCAAACTTATGCTGAGCAAATCTTGGTCTATCCATAAGACTTTTGATGGTACGGTGTGAATATATCCGCATTGGGTTTCTACCCGATACACTAGTTGTGTATGGAAAGTGATGTAACAAAAAAATTTATTGATGACTCAATCATCGACTTGACCTAGCACATATACATCTTCTTTATTTATTTATTAGTTTTCAATCGTTATTAAAAGAAGAATAAAGTGCCAAATTGTAGGTCAGAAGTTCACTTATATTTTTAGAAATATACGAATTCTCTTGTAGTATAAACATACGCAAAAATTCCAGAGAAGCAACTGATGATTTCATGTTTTGCAGTCTCTGACAATAGCTGACTACGCTGATATATGTTACATAATTTGATATTTAAATATGAAAAAATATTTCTTACCCAAACATGATGGACAACACTGTCCTGGTGCTGGTTTTGATGGATTACTACATGCTGTATAGCATTTAGTTATAGACTCTGTGATGACACCGGCGACACACTTAAAAACACTACATGGATCATCTTTATCAAACCATTCGGCTCCACTTTGATAGATTTCTCCTTTATAGACACATTCTGAATATACAAAGAATTAGTAAGATGTATTTAAAGTTTAAAAGTATATTTAATACCTTTGCATTTATCACAGCAACTTTCTGAATTTTTTTGTATTGCATAGCAATCATCAATCGCGGGGCAACTATCTTTTTCACATTCTACGAAGCCATTCTGTGGTAAATTAAATAGACAAGAGGTAAACATTACGATATTCAAGAAATATTTTGCTAAATCATTCCTACCTGACAAATACATTTGAAACATTTAATGTTCGCGATATTTGTTTTAGGTGCAACTTCTTCACCTTCATTTGAACATGGCCAACGATTTCCAGGCAGACCAAGATCTTTCGATTTGAACAGAGGAAAGGAAAAGAAAAATGATAATAAAAAGAATGCAATTTTTTTCGAGGTCATTGACTTGATATTTTGGGTACATGAAATGTGAATTAAAATGATATAAAATTATGTGAATATTTTTTTTTGGGTACGGTACTTAGTAGAATATTCTCTTGAATGCAATTTCTTTTTAATTTTAAGATCATCGTTTACGTATTTCACGATTATTTAGATAATGTAAACAGAATTTTGTACGAAAATTCACTTTTAAACATTTTCCTGGAACAGGGTCGCAGCTAGACAGAAAGGGACTTAATTAGTGCAATTTGATGGGTTACCATGCTTTTCGTTGTATTGTTTTAGAAATTTAAAGTTTTAAATCTAGAGGAAGATTGGATGTGTTGAGAAAAGACGCTAGAGACCCTAATATCCAGAACTGGCAGAAGGTCTCGAAGGATAGAGCTGTCTTTAGACGATCTCTGAACGCGGCAATGAGCCCACGTGCGCCCCTCATCATTCATCGTGACTGTGACTAGGTAAGGAAGTAAGGTTATCCCTAGCAACCGGTTCCTGCTCTGAGATGGTTTGATTTCTAGCAAATTGAATAAATTTTACAAAGAATAAACCTTTGACTCCCTTAATAGTTATTAACACTTCATAAGTCCCCTTAATACACCCCAGTCAAGTACTCTAGTTTCTTCAATTTTGAGCATTTAATCTTAAATGAGATGAAAATTTTATGCGGGAATTGAAAACTTGACATTAAACAATGCTCTTGAAAAGATAAAAAATTTAAATTGGTGATACAGAATTTATGCAAATCTATACATTTATGTAAAAATATGTGCTTTCTATTAATTTTAATTAAGATAACTGAGTTGGATCTTTCAACAGAAGCATGCTATCATTTTTCATCCCTAATAGCGAGAATTTTTATTAAAAATTGATATTTTAATTGCAATCAATTAGAAACTGAAGGGAAATTTGCAATAAAGCCAACAGAAATTCTGCAATAAATTACAATTTATTGCTCTGTTCTCGAAATTAGTTCTAATTTACAGCTTGACTATGACTAGCAATAAAAGTTGTTAAGGAAATGACAACGTGCTAGCAAAAATGGTCAGCAATCTTAAAGTGAAAAGAATTATAGCTTAAAAAGTTTAAATTCTCTTAAGATCCGAGGCGCCAAAAAACGTTCGAGAAAACAGCAAATCTGAAAGGCGACGTAAACAAAATATTTTTTTGATATTGAAAGGAATGAACCAGCATTCCAAAAAATAACAATATTTTGACAGCCAAAAGTATCATTCATCGAACAACGGAAATTTGCATTTTAAATTTAAAATTAAATCTATTTATTAAGAGAATCAGCCTAATATGGTCATAGCGTTAAATGCAATAATAAATACTAAAGGCATTCTGATTACATGACATTTACAGACATTGAAATATTCCATTAATAATTTATGTTCTATTCAATTGATTCTAGCATTCAATTAAACCTGATTTTAAGCAGAATGAGCAAATTTATATTTTATTATTTTTTTACTTTACATATTTTGTCATACACGAATGGGGCCGTTCACTTATGACGTCCATTAAAAAACAACATGATTTCAAGACCCCCCCCCCTCTGTCACAAAATTTCTGTGGAAAAAAATTTCCATTATTTGAGCTGGCACAAAATCCTAGACCCCCTCCACCTCTAAATGTTGGACATCATAAGTGAATGGTCCAAGTATTGCCCATATACGCAAATCTAATATTATTAATTCTCTTTTATTATGTTGACTTAAGTTCACAAAAAATATTTTTGTGCGATTACTGCTATTTTTACAGATAAAAAATATTTATTTTTTTCTCTTTCCAAAATTTCTATGATTCACATCACGTGTCTCAAGCCGGAACTCGACGATTTCGACAGTTGAAGACCGATGCGAAGTTGTTATCAAATTAATCAGTATGTTTATTTAACATATAATTTTATCGTACTATTAAAAAAAGTCTTTGATGCAATGTAAATTCTGCAGAAATGAGTAGAAATACAATAGAATGTCTTTTAATTGCCAGACTTTTAATAATGCAAATTGTATGGTTTCTGAGCATTTGAGTGAGTTGAAACTTGGCAACAAAAAACTTATAAATAGTCATCATTGACGATAGCATTTATTTGAATTTCATACGATACAGCTTATCAAGCTACATAAGTAGCATTCAACTGTCATTAAGTTCCTTCTCGTGGGCTGACACAGTAAATAAAACAGAAATACAATTTCAACAAGAGAGCAAACTCCTCTCTTTAGGAATAAGAGATCGTTGGAGGTATTTGCAGACATGTCTACAAGTCTCTTTAAATTTTTATTCTTTATTCATTATTTATGAAAAATGAAAAATTACACAAAAATTGTCATGTTTCTGTTTATTCATTAAAAAAATATACAATTAATGCTAATTTATTAAAAGGAGATCTTTCTATTAAGAAGTGACTTGTATTATTTCAATGATGCCGAAAGATGATTGTGAAATACGTAAAAGAGTTCTTATTTCTTACTTAATGGAAAATTTTAAAGATAGGTGCATCCCGAGTAGCACGAAGTCATGTTTATGCCTTAAATTTATTGCCTTGTTGAAACATTCAAGGTTCTTTATTGAATTTTAAAGTTTGAATCTTTTGTTGCGTCAATTACTAGAAATTTTCAAAGTCAATGCTTTTACGCAGTTCCATTTAAACTGCGTATAAGTCGTTCTTAGTAATCTTAACTTGAGAACTTCAAGATATGACGAAATTATTAACTTGAAAAATCTTTAAAGTTTAGCCCATTTAATGACAAAAGTTCAGTCAAAAGTCAATTATTAAAATTAATCTGTGCGTTTTTGTGAAGAGAATGAGAGTAGAATTAGCTAGTGCAAGTAAATGTCCTTTATAATCAAGTGATTAGGCAAAAGCCTGGATATCTTTAACCCTCTCCTTTCTGAAGCTATCGATTTGATTATCACTTGAGACCGATCTCTCAATTATTTAAAAATTCTATTCTATACGACAGTACAACTATAAACCCATTGTAGACTATAATGAATATCAAATAAATTCAAGCATTCCATTTTCTTTTCAACCAGATTAATGCGTTATAACCATCCATGCTCAGAAAGCTTTTGTCAAAAAACTTCTGCTTTATTAAATCGAATAAAATATTTTAGAATCATCCGAAATCAAAAGAATGTTGCTACCAACAAAGACTAAGTCATGAGGTAGTATAGCATAGTATAGCACGTAGTACAACAAAATAAAACCATACACAAATTATCGGTATTCTTTTGATCTTGTGCCGCTCGGGTATATTCAACACAATGTTGGTTTATATGATTACTATAATAATATTAAATAATTACTCACCTTTTCGTTGTTGTGCAGAATAAATATATTTAATTTTTAATATCAACAGCATAAGAAGATAATATGACTTTTTCTGTGGCACGATCATCCTTATTCATTTAAATTTCATATGTTACTAAACAAAAAAAAGTAATTATACTTGCTGTTATTAGAGTTAGAAACAGAACAGATTCTTACTCTTCATTATAAAGTTGATTTAATTATTGTATATATATACAATATGAGGAACTATCATTGAAGTTGTGCAGTGCTTAAATTTTATTACACAACAATTTATTTCGTCTGACTCTTTTTTTTTTCTTTTATTATTATTATTTTTTGTGGATCAATCAACTATCTTTGTGGTATTTTCGCAATTAACTGAAATTAAATCATTGCTCTCCTTATCACAGTCGTAAAAACAAAATAACGATATGATTCAGCCGCACTCGATATTGCGAAATTAACTTAAGGTTCGCACTTCACCCTACATTTGCTCAAATTTCGTCTAATGATGAAACACATTAAAAGAATTTTTTTTTTTGCCGAAGTCTGGAAAAACTAAATTAGAAATAAGATGCTGAATTATTATAGAATTTGGCTTTTGAACAGTTTTTCTCTCTTTTATTCGCTAAGATTTGTTTAAATATTGTGCGAACGTGTTCGAGAATGAAGTGAAAATTCGCAGAAGCTGCATAAAATTTTTATACAAAATTACTTTGTTTGATAATTGTCTATAGACGCGTACGATTTTACAGCATCGAATTTTAAAGTAACAAAGAAAAGTTTTTATGAAAATTTTTAAAGCTATTTGATCTTCATTATGTATATGTTTAAAGCACATGTTATGAAGGTTAATGAGTATACGAATGTGTTTTGTCTGATTATTATTGCACAAGGAATTTCCTCTCATATGGGACACAAGTGGGAACAGAAGAATGAATCAATCAGAATTGAGACAGCAGAACTATAATAAATTTGACTCATAAAGATTATTGAAAGTGGCTCATAATATGAGTCATAATGTCTTACACACAAATTTCCAGCGAAAATTAAAATGATATATTTTTGGATTAGGTTTTGTAACTGAATAGTGTAGGTGCTAATGATCATAAATTCAGTTGTGTCTCAACCCGATCAGTACACTTTTAAATGTAACAATCGCTGTACTGGATCAGATTTTTTATATCCTTTGTTGTTCGTTATTAGGTTGGAAATACTCGCCAGAAATATAGTACTTAAAAAACCTATCTCGGTAGACTTCTAACAGCATGATGAAAGAAAAATGAAATAGAGCGATCACCTTTTTTAATAGTAAAACAGAATAATCACTTTTGAAAATTTGAAGAACCTGATTAATGCTAGATACACCGTGAAATGAGCAAAATATAGGTAGTTATAAACAATGATGCCAATTTATTTCGTACACGTGGCACACTTGAAACGAAAATTCAACAGATTTCAGTAAATTCACCTTTAAGCACGAGAAGGAAAAACTGCTACTTGCTTCGTACTTGAATGTTAAGTGAAGTCGAACATTTATTTATCTCGAGACACATCAGAAAATTTAAATTGCACATCAATCTATCAGATTAGATGTTTTAACGTCAGGTGGTTTATGAGGCACTTTTATAAACATTTAAAAAGTCACGACGACTTAATGCCTGTTTTAACCATTTTTCAAAAAAAAATAATAATTGTTTGAAATTTGGAAATAAATGTGTTAAAATCCTTTTATGAAAATTATTAATTTTTACTAAGAACTTGACTTTCTTCTTCGAATAGTTATTACTCATGATTATTTATTTGCTTATTTTCACTGTTTTGCAAACAAATTCGAATTGTTTAAAAACTTTCGGAGAACAATTTTAAAGTAATTAAATGATTGTGTTGCAGCACACTCCCGATAAATATCATTTTACGTGCAAAATTTGACAGGATATAACAAGATTTTTTTTACAATTTGGCCAAATGGAGCATTAAGATGAAAAATCAATCTTAATAATGATTAGCTATGGTTTTCAGAAGATAAATCAGTATTTAGTATGACAAAATGTTAAGCTTCTAGGATTTGTATATTCCAACTAAGATTAAGGGAGCCCTTAAAACCTATAAATTAATGAACTACCTTTAGATATTCTGAAGTTTTTAAAATTATTTCCTTGCTTTTTAACAAACTTTAATAGCGATTGGATAATCACACTTTTGTATTAAAAATTGCACAATTTAATTAATAACATTTAGGTTCTGGATTCTCAACCAAAAAAAAAATCTCTAGTCATACTCATCATCATCAAACTATTGTTTCCATAGCTTAAACATGATTTTTTTAAAAATATGAACATAATTTTTATGGTGACAATATTGTCTTTGGGAGACTGTTTGAAACAAGCTCCAAGCTAGTCCACATCAGAGTCCAGCATTTCTTTAGGAACTTAAAATCAAATTATTGAATGTTTTGGTTACTAGGGTTTCTGTTGTCACTAAAATCTTTTATAATATGAGCAGCTATTCTATATTTACAACTCATTAACGCAGTATCACCATCATAATAATTTGATACTAAAGTATTAGACCATTGGACTATCCCATTTAGATATTATTTTCAACTTGTTTGCCACCTTGAAGTTAACAGACTTAAATTGGCGCCACCAAGACCAATGCATTACCGTTTCACAGCAATATGCTACTCGGTCCTTAGAGAGAAACAAAACATTAAACAAGATAATTGGTTAAGAATTTTTGTATAACTTATTGGGACTCTTAAAACAGGTACAAAATTTTATTTAACCCATTTACTACTTTGATAATTATCGGAAATGCGCTACAGCATTACGTGCTATACGAATATCAACTCACTTTTTGTTTCGTTACAACTGAGTATTAAGTATCTAATAATACAACATTTTCAAATACGATCTATGTTTACAATATGTTTGACAAATAAAAAAAACCCCACGACGTAATAAAAATAAATAAAGTAAAAGAAAAAAAAATAATTAAAAATTGTGCAGACGAAATAGAGACGAAAAAAAGAGTAAGAAGAAGAAGTAATTAAATTGCATGTGAAAGTTAATTGATGATTGACTTCTTACCATTTATTTACATCATAATAATTTCTTTTATCATAAGCTTCTTATTATCACATTGTTTACTAAATTAATATAAACAAATTTTTTTTCTTTGCTGCTGCTGCTACTGCTGCTTGCTGCTCTTTCCACACTAATTGAATTTTGCGCGCGCGAGTTTAACTTATAAGTTAAAATAAATATTAATTATGAAAGTTGCAATAGAGATTTCATTCTTTTTTTAATTTCACTTGCACACTATACACACACTGACGATTTTTGCTTTAAAATTTATTTAATATATACTCTTATTATTTGATTCAGGAAAAATAAAATCGTTTCATAAACCATAAATCTCGATCTCTTTCTTTCCTATGATTTGGCCGTGTAAAATTGTTTTCCGAAGAAAGAAAAAATATTGTTATTTATAGATTAATGAATTCAATTCTAGTGTGAAGGCGTTGAATTGAAAGTTAATAAAAAAAAAATTATTCTTGATTTTTTTTTTCTTGTCGTCACACATTCACAAAAAAAATAAAATAAAATAAAATAAGAAATACTTTTGTCATATACAACATGAAATGAAGTGTGTTACATCTGTTGCAATAATTGTTTTCAGATTTTATATCTATCACTGTATCATAGCAGAAATATTACATCTTTTTAGTGTCTATTTGAATATTAAATTCCTTTGGCTATACATTAACAATCAACATTCTTCTCTCTTCACTCATTCAATTAATAATGTTCACTGAAAGGAAAATAATTTTTTTTTTCTTATATTTCAAGTGGATTTCTTTTCTGTGTGAAAAATAAATAAGATTTGCTCATTTTGTCTGTCTGAGAATTGGCTTTAAACTCTGTTTGAGCTAATTTAAACATGCTATTCAAAGTATCGCTAAGAATAAGAACAAAGCATGTTTTGCACAAAACTAAACTCATGAAATTGTTAATGAGTTCGTGTTGTTGGTTTGATAATTTAAATTTTAAACACGTTTCCGGGGAAAATGGCACTGCCAAATAATGAATTGTTGCTGTTTGAGAAACTTTTTTTTTTTGTTTTAATGTCCAATAAATTCTTCAGACACTGAAAGAATGGTGAATTTCATAAAATGAGAAAATCTTTTTCTTTTTGCACAACAGTCATCCATTAATGATAGAGGGTCGACCACGTGTTGAATTTCAAATTTTCACAATACGTTAAAATATATTTTTTTCGCAACAATTCACTGTAACATAAATGCACATTAGTCATCTCACGACATGATGACTTATTAACTTGTTTATTTCATTTTAATATAGCAGATAAGATGGTTTATTAAATTAAATTTATATTTTTTTAATTATTGAATTCAACGACCGTGTCATGTGGATTAAACAATTTTTTTTTTTATTATTATTATTTTGATAATATTTTTTATTTTATTTTACTTTATTTTCAATTATTTTCCTCTCTTTTTTCATTGATTGAAATTTGCTTAATAATTACTCTTATTCTTCAATATACAAATTCTAACTATGAGAGTATAGAAGAAGAAGCACAGAAAATATTTTTGACGAGATTAATAAATATAAGTTACGATAATTGATAGATTCAACCATATTCGTGGAATATTTTGAATGAAACTAAAGCGGATAATACATAAATATATTTTTATATTCTCTATTTTTTGAGCGTAAGAAACTGTAATCAGTATATTTCTTCTGCTTCAGCTTTTCGTTGTAATTGTGTTTATTATCATTGTGTGCGAAATAAGCAGTACAAAAAGCTCTTGAAATTAAACGGGGTTGCCATGAGATAAATAATAATAATAAATTTTTTTTTCTGCTCATATATATTTTCATATTTTCACATATTCGAGACAATTTATGATGTTATGAGGATGTATACAGAAAAATATTCTAGCGAGACACTATGATGACGAAATCCACAAAAACAACAAAAATATACATTTTTTTCATATTTCTTCTTCTATTCGCACATATCTTTTTCACATATTCACGAAATATTTTTTTATAATAATAATAATTTTTATATATTTTTTTTTTTTCATACAAAGAAATACACACTTTTTAACAAAAATAAGAGATTTGTTAGAGAAAATACATCTTTTTCAACGTCTAATTGATCTATCACAATATTTCTTCGACAATACAGGTGCCTTTCTCTCAACTGTTTACTATAATACTATACTATACGAGATGAGATACACACTACATATATTGAAGAAAAAAAAATCTTATTTTTCTTCAGTTTTTGTTTTTTTTTTTTTTTGGTGAGAGACAAAATATATGAGAGTGAGAAATTTATATACCAATACCATTTAATCAAAATATACATGAAAAAAAAATTTAAAATAATTAATGATCGACAATGTGACGCCTGTGGGTTGTAAAGGCAAAAATCACGACAAATTCTTTCTCGCAAAAATAAAAGAGAGAGAAAGAGCGCGAGCTTCTTGCTTTCCTCTCTGTTTTTAGTGTTAACAAGTCATTCCTTGAAGGAGGATTAGTCTTCTCCGTTATGTTGAATTTTCGCCACTTGCTCTTTTGCTTTACTAGCTACTAGTGTTTGTTTTCAATGGCGCTAAAATATCTCTTCATTTTTACAATCAGTCCCATACTGAGTTTGGACATTTTTAAAGGCTCATTTTGCTGATTTCTTGTGATTAATGGAAACTGTTATGGATTGCAGCAGACAAAAGGAATAACTCTAGTGTGCTTACTATTGCCACTCTAAAGAGCTTTATTTTTAAAAAATGTATATATTCACAACATATAATATGAGTATCAAAATCACCATGAAAAGTACGATGAGCTTGAGGATTCGCATCGGCTACTTCCACACCAACTTCGTTCAATGAGATGTGGACATGCTTTTCCTCCGCTCTTTTCTAGTCTCATTATAGTACGATTTCGGAATTTTTCACCAATTCCACACTCTTTGCTGCATGCTGACCATTCACTCCATTTTGAAACAACACAATCGGAATTGTCATGATTTGCAAGTCTCGATGGGTTTTTCATTGTGTTTCTGTAAAGTTTTCAGTTATTATAAAGATTCTGTCTCCAATATGCTACAAGAATACAACCTTCGATACTTTTGGTGAATTCGTTTGACAGATGAATCCTTCACGCCAATATATTCTTTAATTTTATGAATTCGAAATGAGGCTATTGGCGGAAGATGTGTCACATTTTGATAGTAAAATGAGGACGCATGATTATTTGGAAAGTGCGAAGTAATAAATGTCATTTCGTCACGCGGAATAGTATCCCAAATTGGGGAACTAAATGTGAAACCAGAATTAACTCCACAATCAATTGGTTGCATTTCAATTCTGATCTCATCGACCCATTTATTATCAATGCATAGCTTCAGGAAGAAAAGTGAATGTTTATAATTAAACAAACTGCGGAACTGATAACCGTTTACTCACTTCTAAAGAGTCAATGCCAATTATCCAATCTGGAGAGGGGACTATTTTCGTCACGATTGAGAATAATGAATGATTACTGCTCACAAAAAATCGCGATTCAATTTTTTTGCTTGGGTCATCGAGCTTAGGCATAATGAGTTCATCAAAAATATTTTCTTTACTGATTTGCGTATGAAGCTCCTCAATGTCTCCTCTCAAACAAAAGTTCTCTAGCTCTGGTCTAACGACTTCCTGCATTCGAAACAGATAGTCATGTTGAGAATGACTTATTCCAAAGCTTTTCGAAAAATGTGCATGAGGACGGAATTTCGGATAGTTTTTAGGGAAGTTATCTTCTGTCCAATTTCCTTCTATTTCTATCTGATAAACTGCTAGTGAACCTGAGGATTGTTTAATATAATGAAATGTGCTGAATGAGTTGTTCACTTATTACGTATCAAAGGAAGTTGGGAGGTATAAAGGTCTAAATCAATAGAAATTTCGCTACGTAATCAGTAAATGATCCCCGTAAAGCTTTAGTCTGAAGTGGACGTAAAACTCAGAATCATTTCGTAGAATATTTTAAAATCAAAATTTCACCTTTCTCACAAACATTTTCGTGATAAGAATTCGCATTTATAGCACTAAAACTCAAACATATTACTAAGGAAATGATAAGAAAAGTTAAATTCATAGTTTCATTAAATGTTTTCCGATTATCACTAATTTTTCTTTTCCCACAATATTAAAAATAAATAATTCCTTCACATTTAGCACAAAATAAATGATTTTATGATCACAGCTCAATCAGACTGAATAGAATTATGTAAAGAAAAGAAAGAGAACTCTATCATTTGCAAACTTGACTCAATTTAAATCTTTCTCAAAATGTGATTTTTGATAATTTCGGTGACATACTTTCTGTACTCATACACTCTTGTCTGACACTCTTTAAAATGTGTTCTAATCACCTTTAATGCATATTCTATAAATTTTTGGGATTAATTCTCTTTTGAATTACATTACAGAGAGGCTGATTTCTTCGTTTACATGCTTTAATCCGGTAGATTGAAACTATTATCCTCTCATTAGTTAAGTTTACTCACAACTTTATTTACATCTTTTCTAGATTAAATTTCGCATTTCTCATTATTTATTTCTTATTAAAGTGTTTTTAGCATGCAAACAATTATTTCTCATTTTATTAAATTAAGAATTTTTAAAGTTAAAATTTTTTAAAATTTAAAAAGTTAAACTTAATGGTTATTTAAAGTTTAAAACCTTCCATAAAATGATGCAAAGATTTAAATTTTGAAAAAATCCGTTAAGTCCAATTTCATGTTTGAAAGATTCTATTGCACACATGGCTTACGTGATAAACCGGTAATTTACTTACAAAGTCTTTAAAACTTTTTCAATTTATAAATTTTGACTATGAAAGTTAAAGAGATTACTTTATTGAAGTAGCTATTAATCTTTGTATAAACCTTGCTTAAGGACCTGGATACTGTATATTGGCTTCAAAAATTAGCATGTAAATTAAGATGTGCCAACGGTTTTTCCACTCCTCATTTTCATCCGAATATATTTGACTCATTTAAAAATGTTGAGATTTATGATACGGGTTGAACGTTGCCTTTTGCACGTTTGAACTGTCACGAAGATGTGCAAGTAATACCACTTCGCGTTCCCCTATCTCTGCTTTTATCGCCTCCCACGAATCTTCCTTCACAACCTTTGGGGTTGAGCACACTGCTAGCTCCTCCTCAAATGGCTACCACCGTACTTCTGAAACCTCATTGACTGTAGAGACCTCAGTGGTGATTTTCCTTATTTTACCTTGATCACTAATTAACTGTCTTTATAGCACTTAAAAGTACTCTTTTAGCCCTTCTTACTTTTTATTCCTTTCTCCTTTTTATCCTTTACCTTTAATCTTTAGATGTTTTCAGCTCGATTGCCAAAACAAGAATAAATTTCTCTGCGAAAATTCGCTCGTTTTATAGAGAAATTTTCCCGCCAAAAATTGCCCCTCTTATTCTTTCTCTTTCGCACCCTTTTCTGTCTCTTTCATTCTTTTTGTAAATAAAATGTCCGTTAAATTTCTTTTGCTTTATTTTCGTCATTTCAAATCTCCTCCTCAAAAGAAATTTCATAATTGAGACCTGCAGAATTCCTTAGCCTTTTTATTTTTTCTCCAGTCAGTGGTTTAGTCAGCATATCTGCTATATTGTTTACTGCAGGACAATAATTAACCTTTATTTGATTCTTTTCTCTTAAATCTTTTATAAAATGATACTTTGTATCTATATGTTTCGATGTATTACTGAATTTACTGTTTTCTGTCATTTTAATACAACTTTGATTATCTTCGTAAATCATTACTGGTTCCATTTCATGATTGAATTCATTCAGAATTCCTTTTACCCACATGACCTGCTGTGTTGTTTCTGCAAGAGCTATATACTCTGCTTCTGTTGATGACAATGAGACACATTCCTGCTTGCGGCATGCCCAACTAACTGTACCTCCATTTACCATTACTATATAGCCACTGTTTGATTTTCTATCCTTTCTGTTTTCTGTCCAATTGGCATCTGAATATGCCAATAATCCTTTGTGATTGCTTTCCAGACTACTTAACCTTAATTTTAATTCTTTTGTTTCTTTTAAATATCTGATTACTCTTTCTTTTAACCTCATTTAAATCATTTCTGGATGGATTTTTTATTTTCTGGCTTAAAATAGATATACTTGCTGAGATGTCTGGTCTTGTATTTTTAGACAAATATAACAACATTCCTATCAATTTTTGATATTCCTTATTGTTATCCAACATTTCGCTCTTTATTATATTTTCGTACCCAGGATCTAAACTGAAACTTTCGGATCCTTTAGCTGCTGCTTTAGATAATAAGATTCTAAATGTGGTAGATCTTACTGTTGGGGCAAAAACTTCATCATAATATACACCAAATTACTGTGAAAAACCTTTCGCCACTAATCTTGCTTTATATCTGATAACTTCTCCCTTATTGTCCCTTTTTATCTTATAAATCCATTTTGATCCTATAGCTTTTCTTCCTTTTGGCAACTCCACAAGTTCCCATGCTTTATTTTCCTTAATTGCCTCAAGCTCTTCACGCATAGCTTCCAACCATAGGTTGCTATCTTCACACTCCAACGGTTCCTTAAAATTTGTTGGTTCCTTTATGCCGGGCCTTTCGCTTTTATATACCAAGAAATCGTCATGTTTGCTTAGAAGCTGACCTGCGTTACCTCTTCCTGATCTTCTTACATCGAGTAGTGCCTCTATTATAGCAGCCTCATTATCTGATTCTTCGCGTATCTCAACTTCTTCATGCTGCTCTTCTTGTACCTGTTCATTAAGCATTTCTTGATTTTGATTTGCAGGCTCTTCCTGAGCGTCATAAAAATTATCATCCATATCCTCATAGCTTGGCTCATCATAGAAATCATAGTAAAATGATTCAGTTCCTTGATTTTGATTCTTGCTATTTCTTAATAGCTATTTCTTTTATTTTTCTTAATTGAGATTTTTCTGATTTTTGTCAATTATTTCCTTATTTTCAATATATTGCTTATTTTTGTCAAGAAATACTACATCACGACTTACCATTATTATATGGCTCTTATTAGCAACTCTATAACCTTTACTTTCATCATCATAACCAATGAATTTCATTTTTTCTGCCTTCATATCTAACTTTCTTCTTTTAACAACTGGAATCTTTACATAAATATCACAACCAAATTGGTACATTTCTAGGTAATTTGTTGCTTTATTCATAAATTCTTCATAAGGGGATACCAATCTATTAGTTTTTACTATTCTATTCATGACATAAGCGGCTGTATTTATCGCTTCTGCCCAAAAATGTTTTGGCATTTTAGCATCATCTAGCATTGTTCTTGCAGCTTTTACCAATGTTCTATTCATCCTTTCTGCCACTCCATTCTGCTCTGGAGCGTATCCCACTGTACACTGATATTTTATTCCCTCTTTCTTTAAATAATCTTGAAATCTCTCATTAAGATACTCTTTACCTCGATCAGTCCTTGCTACCTTTGGTTTTTGCTGTTTCTTAATCTTTTCAATGTACTGAATGAAAACATTACTGACTTCATTTTTACCCTTTAAAAATGCCACTTCAGTATATACACTCTTGATATCAATAAATGTGGCACAATAGCGTGATTTTCCTATTGATTGTACCTGAATTGGGCCACACACATAGGGTTTCTGAAGCCGTTAACGGAAACGGAAAAACAGCCGTTTTTCAGAGAAAAATAAAAACGAAAAACGGCTGTTTTTTTCTAGCCGTTTTTTCCGTTTTTCTTTTTTAACTCGTGAAAATTTTAGGTTCGGAATAAAATAATATTAACTCCAATAAATCTTTCATACTCATTAAGTTGTTAAGTTTTGTAGCGACTACTTGATGTTTAAATATTTTTAAAGTTTGAAGTATCCTGTTTTTTCACTCACGAGTAGTAGCCTAGTAAAGAAATTGAACTTAAATGAAATTTTTTGAACTTTAAAGAATATTGCTATCTTCTCGATTTTATTTCATTGACAATGTCATAAGGCATTGAAACTGATACTTAGAAAGTTGAAAAAGATTAATTAAACGTTATTTTTGGTAGTAGCTTAGTAAAGATTACAAAAAATTTTCAAGTTCAAAAAAACTTTACTAAGCTGGTAGCTTAGTAACGAGTAGTAGCTTATAACGAAAAAACAGGGTGTGAATAAAAGTTTTTTTAGACACAATATACTGTAATAAGTTCGTTTTTTGACAAAAACTTCAGTATGTGACTCAATTACTGAACACGTAACACATTTTCGGTACAATTAAAAAAACGGACCCGTTAACGGACGTTTTTTGGAATAAAACGGAAACGGCCGTTTTTTGAAAATGTCGTTTTTCAGAAACCCTACACACACATCACTTACTATGCAGTCCAAAATTTCTTGAGTTTCTGATGCCCTTTTTGGGAATGATTTTCTTGATAATTTTCCTTTAATGCAACTTTCACATTCATTTGTGCAGTTACAGTTCTTTATTGCCAATCCCTTATTTCCCATTTTCTTTATTTCCTCTAGGTTTCTATGACCTAGAACCCTATGCCATTCATGTATGCATAATTCTCTGTTTTCTTTAACCATATTGCATGAATCAATACAGTTTACTCGATACAGGCCATCATACCACTTTGCTATACAGATAGTTTCATTATCTTTTATCATAAAACATTTATCATTAACGAATTCTATTTTATATCCCCTTTTTGTCAATTTTTTCACTGAAACTAAATTTCCATCTATTTCAGGTACATACAAAACTTCACTTAATACAACTTTAAGTTTTGTTTCTATGCCTCTATTTGATACCTTAAGTGTTAATGAAACTTTACCTTCACCTTTTATTTCTACCTTTTGCCCATTTGCTATGTGAACATTGCCATTTCTTTCTTTATATTCTGAAAATAAATCACTATTGCAACAAACATGCTTTGTGGATCCTGAATCTATACACCAATCTGTAAAATTTTTGTCTTCATTCTTCAACCAATCCTTATATTTTAAGCATTCACGCTTAAAGTGACCCTCTTCTTACAGAAATAGCATTCTGCCTCCTGTGTGCGTTTTGCAGCGTTGAATCGATCTCCCTGATGCTCATGCCCGCTAGTTCCGGCTGTTTTTCTGTCAAATTCCACAAGTAACTTCTTCTTTAGCGTGTGAATGGTAAGTTTGTCTTCATCCCAAGCCTTCAGAGCTGTAATTGGTTCGTCATATTCCTCATCGAGACTTGCTAATATAATCTTCACGGCCATTTTATCTTCAACTGGGGCATCCAGCATTTCATCCTTGCATTTCAGCAAGCTCATCTAGATCTTCAAATATTCGTTCCAAATGATCTCGCATGCTTTGACGATTCTTTAATTTATAGCTGTGCAAGCGTCGATAGATTCTTACTTTATTTGTGAAGCTGGATCGTTGATGATATTCATTCAGATTTTTCCAAGCCTCCTTTCCACCCTTAGCCTTCTTAATGTGAATGAGCTGGATATTCTCAATTGATAATACAATTAGCTGGAGTGCCTTTTGGTCCTTTTGCTGTAGATCCTCTCCAATGTCAGTAGTTTCATTTAACTCTATTGTATCGAAACAGCCATCCTTCAACAAGAACATTTGTCATTTGTTGTCATGGTGGAGCTCTTATCTGGGCCCATAACCTGTTGAGATTTATGATACGGGTTGAGTCGTGAGTCGTCCTCAAATGACTTCCTTATTTTACCTTGATCACTAATTAACTGTCTTTATAGCACTTAAAAGTACTCTTTTAACCCTTCTTACTTTTTATTCCTCTCTCCTTTTCATCCTTTACATTTAACCTTTTGATGTTTTCAGCTCGATTGCCAAAACAAGAATAAATTTCTCTGCGAAAATTCGCTCGTTTTATAGAGAAATTTTCCCGCCAAAAATTCTTTCTCTTTCACACCCTTTTCTGTCTCTTTCATTCTTTTTGAAAATAAAATGTCCGTTAAATTTCTTTTGCTTTATTTTCGTCATTTCAACAAAAAACCTTCTCATATCCTAGCTTTAAAATGTTTGATTAATCGATTTATCTTTTATGTTGAGAAATCAATCTGAAAATAACTTTTCCCATAACTTCATTGTTGATATATTATATATATTACTTCAAATTATTTTTCCTTAAAGTTATAAAATTTCAGAATATTCATGCAGCTTTTGTATTATTTATAAATATGACGGAGATATGAGATTTATTTTGAAACTTAATCATGTTAAAATGGAATTTAATTCAATTATCTAGAGGGGTTGAAACTTGCAGATCTACATATTCACACTTTATAGTCCCAAAACTATCCTCCACGCTTAACATCAAAATTTGGTAATAAAGCTTTACAACAGTCTCATATTTACATAAAAGTAATTCTTTGTAGCACTTACATACATTACAACTTTTGTTGATTAAAAATTAATAATAAAAGATCAATCTCTAGTCGAGACTAAAACACTTCAAGTGTGTGAATATCCCTGAGCAAGTTGACAGCCTTTAAAAACTTTAATTTGAAATCTGTCGGTTAAAAGAGGGGAAGCCATTTTCTGCGTCAAAAAACATGAGGGTCCATGTTTTTATGCGTCATTACGGGACATGAAACTTGTTATAGCATAAACCATATATACAAGCTCAAGAAAAAAATAATAAATCGTAAATTTATAGTGCATAAAATATAACAAAAGCATAATTTTTAAGTTTATATCGAGCAAAATAGTAAAGTGCTAAGTATAATGTATGATATAATAATGAAAATTACTTAGATTGTGAATGAAAGTGTTTGTAAACGAAAGTGTAAAGTTTCTTAATAATAAATCAGGTAAAAACTTATTAGCATATAAACTCTCGAGATAAGTTTCATAATAAATATTTTATTCGTCTATAAAACTGGATGGAAGATAAACTTATCGATTAAAATACAGTAAAAAGCATCATTACGACATTTTCAATTCACTTAGATCCAGTGAGACTGCTTTGAGCATTAATTGGTGTTAATTTTTCATAAGGTTAGAGAATTAAGCGCAGAAATCCTATTTTATGAGGATCTAGAAATATCTTCTTTATGAAACTTATAATACTAAGCATTACACGAGAAAATATAATCCAGAAAAAAAGTTATAGTGAAGGAAGCAATTCTGGATGTACGAAAAAAATTTATAGAGTCGCACTAACCGGTTACTTTTTCTCTTACAGATCTCATAAGAAAATTTTTGTAAGGAACGAAAATAATAGAGTTTGGTGATCAAAAGTGGAGTCGACAAAAAAAAATACGGAGATGAAATCATGATTGATCTGATTAGAGGTAGTCAAGGATACAGCAACAAAAAAATTACTAACAGTTCTTGAAGAAAATTGTATTTGACAAGGAGCAACATTAAGATAATTTATCTATAAGCTATACAAAATTTATAAGCATACAAGTACATCAAAAGTTAATTGACACTCATAAAAAAGATGTATCCAAATGCAGGATCTGTAGCAAGGCATCAGGTAATTTTATCGAATTTTTTGACACTTGTTTGAATCATTAATGACTTATTTCTCTTCACAATCGATCATCATCGATTAGGGTCCACAATCGACTCAGCCTTTTAAATTTACTGTTACAGAGAGTTGCGAGAGAATTAAAGAGGAATTTAATTTTTTACAAGCGCAGTATCATAAGTATGTCAATATTTTGTGTACTGTACTAATGACAATTTTTTACTAATTATCCCATTTTTCTTATTTCCCATTTCCCATTAAAGTTTAAAGATAGAATGCGAAAAATTAGCGCAGGAGAAAACGGAAATGCAAAGACACTATGTTATGGTAAGTTGATTGAACTGATTAAGCTAACTGACTTGACTGATCATTAAATCATCAAAAACAAAACATCTTCTTTTCGTATTTACAGTATTATGAAATGTCATACGGTTTAAATGTGGAAATGCATAAACAGGTAAGGCATCCATCCTTATTTATTCATATCATAAAATTAAATTAAACTTATAAAAAAACGTGTTATAATAATAAATTACTCATAATGTTTCGTCCAAACAGACAGAAATATCGAAAAGATTAAGCGCATTAATTAACCAACTTGTGCCATTTTTATCACAAGAACATCGACAGCAAGTTTTGACAGCTGTTGAACGAGCAAAGCAAATTACAATGGCAGAATTAAATGCTGTGATAGAGGTAAGCTATAAAGTTACTTCCTTAAAAAATGTCTAAAAGAAAAGTCATAAAAGTAAAAAAAAAATTTAAATGCCTGCATTTTCCTTGCAAACTTTTTGTTATATTTTATAGCAACAACGTGATTTACCACGATTACTTCAAATGCACGCTCAACAAATTCCAACAGGAAGTGCAGCTCTGCCAATTCCAATCCATCCAACATTACCGAACAACAATAGTAATGGCCCAACACCACCGCAACCACAATTGGGGATGTTAAGTAAACAGGAATTGATGCTACACAATCGCCCTGAAGACAGTAAAGGTCCAAACGACGATACACGACATGTAAGTAATATTGTAATGTAATTTTTGCATTATTACTCTCGCGATGGCTTGCTGGATGGATCACTGCCATTTAATAACAAGAATGAATTTAAATCTATTAGAAATATCTCATATGTCAGTAATATGTTTGTGCTATGCTTAAGATGCACTTTTTCACTATGAATGACTTAATTAAAGTTACATTTTCAAGAAAACAATAATTTTACGCGTCTTTTCCTTCTAATAGTAACAACTAAAATTATTCTGTAACTCAGTTCACTTCATTTCAGTTAGTTTGCATTCTTTTGTTGAGAGATCCGCTATTGCTTTACTTACAGTAGTCCCATGCCACGACTTTGACTCTAATAATGTGTTTAAATTTTAAATTGTAGTTGAACTCAGTATCACCAGCAGAAAAATATAGACCACGAACACCATTATCAGCAGACATAATTCCTGCTCAGGAAATAAAGAAAATCAAAAAGGAGGAAAAAGAAGGAGTAGGTCATCAATCGGATGGCGAAAAGTCTGATCAAGATTTGGTTGTAGATGATGCATGTTCAGAGGATATAAATCCAATGAGTCCAATGAACGTATCAAATCAGCAACATCATCAGCATAATGGAGCATCTTCCTCACCTTTGCCTCGTGAAAATGGCTTGTTGGTCAAGAAAGTCGATCATCTTAATGAAAGAAATCTTGCAATGCCTAATTCCCCAAGATCATCTTCATCAGATCGTGGCTCGTCATCAAATGGATCTACAACACCCTCAAATACGAAAATGAAGCTTGAGGATAAACCATCAACACCGGGAATCAATGGAAATGCCTCAATCGCAAGTGGAATACCAAAATCTATTGTTGCAAAACCACCAACGGGATATCCAGCAAGTTATTTGGGTGGACTTAATGGAAACAATCAAATGCAAGCAGAAATGCAAGCTGCTTATGCTGCTGGAGTTCCAGTTTTAGCTCCTGGACATCCAGGATATAGAGGTCTTCCGATGGGGTTTGATGCTCAAATGAGAGCTCCTCCTATCGGACCTCCAATCCCCAATATCTCAAGTGGAAAACCGTAAGCCACAAAAACAAAAAACTCTTTTTAACCTCCATATCTTAAACAATTGTTGATTCATTGTAGAGCGTATTCATTTCATGTGGCCTCGGACGGCACAATTCAACCAGTTCCATTTCCCCCCGATGCCCTAATTGGTCCTGGAATTCCACGAGGAGCACGTCAGATCAACACACTTAATCATGGAGAAGTTGTGTGCGCAGTGACGATTTCAAATCCAACAAAATATGTTTATACAGGTGGAAAGGGATGTGTTAAAGTTTGGGATATTTCCCAGCCATCAATTAAGAACCCAGTCAGTCAACTCGATTGCTTGGTAAGTTTTATAATCTATAATTTCTCAGACATTCTTACTAACAGTAAATCTTTAAATTCTTTTCTAGCAAAGAGATAATTATATTCGGTCCGTAAAGCTTTTACCAGACGGACGAACATTGATTGTTGGAGGTGAAGCATCAAATTTATCGATTTGGGATTTGGCAAGTCCAACACCAAGAGTTAAAGCTGAATTAACGTCCACAGCACCAGCATGTTATGCACTAGCAATATCGCCTGATTCAAAGATCTGTTTCTCATGTTGTAGTGATGGAAATATCGCAGTATGGGATCTCCAAAGCAATTCATTAGTTCGACAGTTTCAAGGTCATACTGATGGTGCATCTTGCATTGATATATCTCCTGATGGTACAAAATTGTGGACAGGCGGTTTGGATAACACTGTTCGAAGTTGGGATCTCAGAGAAGGAAGACAACTTCAACAGCACGACTTTACTTCACAAATCTTTTCTTTAGGATTCTGCCCAACAGGTAAAGTCTAATGAAATTTCAATAAATGTATTTGCTATTGACTAATAATGCTCGATTGTAGGTGACTGGCTGGCTGTTGGAATGGAGAATTCGAACGTAGAAGTGTTGCATGCAACGAAACCTGACAAGTACCAACTTCACTTACACGAGAGTTGCGTACTTAGTCTTAAGTTTGCAGCATGCGGAAAATGGTTTGTTTCGACTGGTAAAGATAATCTCTTAAACGCTTGGAGAACACCTTATGGAACGTCAATCTTTCAGGTAGGTTACAAATGCATTAGTGTTCCTTTATAGCTAGTCTAACTCCTGAATTTTAATTTAATTATTTTCAGTCAAAGGAGTCTTCATCAGTATTGAGTTGTGATATTTCAGCTGATGATAAGTACATAATAACCGGGTCTGGAGACAAGAAATCGACAGTCTACGAAGTCATTTATTAAATGATGGACGAGAATGACAAAAAAGGACGAAAAAAAAGAAGAAGAAATATGAAGAGAATTGAAAGAGATTAATTAACTTTTAATTTAATATGTATAAAAGTTCATATATTGAAAAGTTGGAATATAAATATGAGATAGCTTAGCTTTTAAAAGTACACAAATAAGTAACAATAGCTATAACAGCTACCACACATTTTTAAAGGTACGCTATTTTCATTAACACTGACAGGAGAAGAAGAAGAAGAGATAAAAATATGATGTAAGTAAATTAGCAAAAGATATCATTTTCATTTTTTATTGTGACTTAGTTCAACATCTCTGGGCTTCATTCTTAATTACATTCTCAAAAAAGAAAGGAAGAAAGAAGATAAAACACAACATTGTATTAATCATTAAAAATCAATTATAAATTTTTAATCAATCGCAATTCTGAAGGTTTTTAATTGTTGTAGATTATCTAGAATTCCAGCGTAATTTCAGATTAGCTGTCAATAGATTCTCTTCTGTGATCCTCAAATAAATTTAAGAATTTAACATACGTATCATAATTACGTACACTTGTAGCTTAACGACATAATTTATTACGTGAAACGTGATCGACACCTTGAAAATTAACAAATATCATTAGAAATTCTGCGTGTGACTTGTTCACATGCTTTTGTATTGTTACATAAATGCGATAATACAATTTTCAACACATTATTTTCACATCTTCGATCACGTCCAGTGGACATTTCATAACGATTTTATTTTCATATTCTTAAAAAATGTACAATAGATGGCGCTAGCATTGACTGAGAAGAAACTAGGACATAAAATGTTGAGGAATGAAGATCATGAAATTTGAATTATAAAAGTCACAATAAATACAAAAATAAGAGTAAACTCTGACCATATTTTAAAGATAGAATCAATTTTCTGTCAGTAGAAAGTTTAGGCATGTAGCATAGAAGTGTGGCGATAGAATTTTTGAAACAATGGAAGTGAAGTAGTAGATTCCTCATTTCTCGTAACGAAATCATAAAATTTAAATCTACATTTTTGTGATACACAATTTTTGATCTTACATGGATAGATACATTAGAGTTTGTAGTACTGAAAGAACTTGTTGCTCGCAGAAGAGCTAAAATTTTCGTGAAATAAACATCATTAAAGAAATAAATTTTAATAAGTTTACATATGTTCCATTAAATTTAAGGTGTGTAGAATAAGAATATCATAAAATAATAAGCATAAAGCAATAAGTTAAAGAGTTATAAGTCAAAGTTAAAAGCATATGAAGAATTTGAAAAATTTAAGAATAAAATTATTAAGCTTTGTGGGTGTATTCAAGGACAGAATTTTTTGCCATCGTTGATCATAAAAAATAAATAAAAAAATTAAAATTAAAATTAAATTTCTTATAAGAATTAATTAGCTTGTTTATTTGTTTTATTTTAAAGCCATTGAGCTTTTTTGGTAAGTTAGAAAAAAAAAGTTATGCAATTTAATATGGAAAAATAGAAAGTGAACACAGTGAACAATAAAGTCAGTGTCAAAAACGTGTGTAGCATAATAAACATAATGGTCGAGAATGAAATAGATTTTTGGAATTAAATTCGTCACTAAAATGATGAGCTTTTAAGAAAAGTGATTCATGCAAAAAAAATATATATATTGAGAATTCAGTTCTTGTGTGCTGTAAGATGAATAATTCTTCAATGACATCATATCACTTAACAAGAAAATTCAATACATGCTTGCAATTCAAGTTTTTTTCTTCTTTTACACTATACATGTTTATATCTGCCTCAGATGTGAGATGTTAAATAATACGTATGCCTACATTTTTTTGTTTACTTTTCTCCATTGACTGACTGAGTATTTACGTATATGGATATTTCATGTGCACAAAAATATTATAATGTGTATTATTTTCAAGATTATTATTATATTTGACATTTAATTTCTGCTTTTTCATTACATTATTTGATATTCAATTGTAAAGGATAAATTTTTGCGCGTCTCAAAAAACGAAAGACTTCAATTAGCGATATGATTGAAATATCAAGGAAATGTTTGATACAAATTATTTTATCGTTTCTTCTCATTTCAAATGTAAGTAGAATTATTATTCATTATTCATTAATAAATTACTGTTGCTATTAGTTCAAGTGCATTTTTACAATATAAAGTGACAAATCAATTAAAAGCATCTTGTCAGAACTACTGTTGCTAATATTAATATTTTTTTCAATAAAGTTTAAACGTATACGCTATAAGTTCATGATAATTTTTGAGAAATTATAAATTCAACTATGTGAATGTGCTGATGAAGACCAATCAAAATTATCAAAACATGTTTAGTCATTTCTTTACCCTTTACAAAAGCCCGAGATACGTCATTGTTAACTCTAGTGCCTAAACTACTCTACTATGTCGTCAAAAAAATCACATAGGTAATAGTAATAAGGCTGTATTTTAGAGTTTTAAAAATAATCACTAATGATTTAACATTTGGCTATTATTATAATTCTAGATGTGTCATGAATTCTTTAAAAGATATTCGTGTAATTGCTTATGTTTGTGCGTAGCTACATATATTAAAAGAGTCGTTCAATTTTTTACTTTTGCTTTTTAAGAATTAGATTTTGGCAAGATTTTGGGATTCTTTAGAAAAAAATTTCTTGAAAAAGTCATAACGAGAGAATTGTAGTTTATAAAGCAGTTTAATTTGCGTGAAACATTAAGTGAACGGTCCTTAATGTGTACCCGAATGTGTTCAAAACTTTTTGTTTTCTTTACTAAATCTTTATATAAATTCTATAAACTCAGGTTCCAAAACAATTTAATTGAATAATCATTGAAAGATTACATTGAAATATTATTTTTAAATGTTTTGAGTCTTAAAAATCTAATAAAATTCAAACAAACCAAGTTTGTTATTCGGTAGTTTATCTTTAAAAAAAACATAGTTCTTACCTTTAGCCTTATGCTTATAATGAGAAATGAGGGTAATCCAAACTATTTAATATTTAAATACACAATAATAATAAATATTTCAAGCACCAACTTTGTTCAAATTCGTTGAAAAGCACACTGAGATTCGCAGAAAAAAAGTACTCCCACAATGAAAGATTGAAATCGATGCAACTTTAGTTTAATGCATTCGAAATGTAATTTTTGAGAAAAGTAATAAACATGTTGCAGAATTCCCTAAAATTTTATGAGATTTTGGACTTTCCTTCATAAATTATTGAGCAAGTTTTTATTACTTCCTTATCATTTAAATTTAATGTGAGCAGAATTTTAAGTATTTGCCTGAAAAAACTTATACATATTTCTTCTAATAACTCTCTATAATCAGTTGCTCATGAATGACGCACAATACCCATTTAAAAAATATTTATGTCCGATATTAACATCAAATTTCATTTAATTACTGTAGAATTATTTAAATTATTTGGCTATGATTCAATCAATATTCAATTTCATTGAAATTAATCAATTGATGTTTTATATGAAAGTTTCTCAACAATTATGCAAATTTCATCAATAAAAGCATGAACCTTCGCAAATATCTTTTATCGAGAAATGTGCGAAAAATAAAGTTTTTATAAATTTGCAAAATTTAAAAGACTTCCAAGAAGATCTTTGATTGTTATGTATGCAAGATTTAAACCCATCAAAAAATCAGGTTTTTTCGCAAACATAAAAACGTCAGAAATCAGCATGTGGAAACGATACATAGTCCATAAATATTCTAAAGCAGACACCAAAAAAAAAAATCAACACAGTCAAAACTTGTAAAAATGCACTCGAAACGAAATTTAATGCGCAAAACAAGAACGATTCAAAATAAATAAACTTTTAAATAGGTTAACACAGAGGAAGCAGATTTTGCGCCGCTTGTATCAGCGACATGTAAAGCTGGCTCTATGAATATTAAAGTTCTCTTTAATAATGGATATAATGGAGCTATTCACGCAAGGGATTTTAGAAATCCTTACTGTATGACATTTGGAAATGGAAGTAACACATTAGCAATGAGCCTCAATTTGTTAGCAAAGCAAGGAGCATCTGATTATTGCGGTATACTTGTCAGTAACGTAAATGAAGATGTAAGAACTGCTACTTAATTTGATTAACGATGATTTAACATTATTTTTTTCGATTAAAATTCGTTAGAATAGCGAAGAGAGATCAGTTCAATTAGCTGTCCGAGTTCATCGGACTTTAGAGTTAGCTGAAGATAAATTTTATATCATAACGTGTGGAAAGCCAACATTACCAAAGTAAGATTTCAACAGCTCATTAAAAATGATTGCAATAATTAATTAATTTATCATCCATTTCATTACCAGAGACGACAACTCGCAAGTTGTGCTCAAATTCTTCGAGGACGATCGTCGTGTGCGTGAATTAGGTATGGCTTTTGTTTATGTCTGCATACACCTTTTAACAATACAGAAAAAAAATTAGCATTCCATTGTATATTCAATAATGTATGCCAAAAAAAAACAAAAATTTATCATTGCAGCATATGGCAGAGAGTACGTATTAAAGGCTGAAATTAATCACCAAACCAATGACACACACCTCTATCGTGGGATTAAAGTGAAGAGTTGCTTTGCGTTCAATAAGAAGAACTATAGTTATCCTTTAATCGATGATCGTGGATGTTCAACAGATGGAATTTTGTCAAGATTCATGTCAAGCAGTGATGGAATGACTGCTACTTCTATGATTGGTGAGTTTTGAAGCTATTGATTATTTGCAATTTCTTATAACTTAATTACTTCGATGGCCAAAGACATCAATTGTGATCTATAGGCTTCCTTAGATAGCCAGTAACCACTTGCCAATTTCTAACCCCCTGCTTCCTTTTGATTGGTTCTTCTTCTTGCTGCATATTTGCACTTTATGAGCTATCACTTTTTAAATTAATTCCTTTACAACTACACTGTTCATTAAACTCTATTAAATACTTTTCACTATATCAAGTCCTAAGTTCCAATACCAAAAATATCTCTGTTTTCAAAATAAGTAACAATTTTAGAAATCACATCATGAGCTTAAAAGAAAGAAACTCTGTAGGTGTCATACATAGATTTTCAAAAGAATTTCCAGTAGTTACTAAATTTCAATTTGATTCCAATTAAAGTCATCGTGTTTTTTCATTAAATGCTACTTCTCTTGACAAAATCATTTCATTTGCACAATTTGTTTGGAGCATTGGCCGTAAACATTCATGTTGCGTTACACATTTGTAACTCTTTTTTATATCATTTATGAAATTTTTTACTTTTTTATTGTTTAGATGAGACCATGCATGTAGCACTTTGGTGATATATCATTAAAAAATTTCTTTTTATTTACATCACATTATAGCGTCAATGTTTCGATTCCCAGAAGGAGCTGAACTTCACATACAATGTTCAGTGAGTTTGTGTGCTGAAAAGTGCCCAGATGATGAAAAGTGTGTCGATACGAAGTCATCATTTAGAGATGAAGATAAGTCAGATGTTGTCTTAGCAGCAACAACAGTCTTTGTATTAGATCCAGCAGAAATCAGTAGATCAGCTGCACTTTGTGATGCAACAGGAATCAGACCTCATTGGTTACTTTGGCTTGCAATCATCTTAGGAATTTTATTCTTAATCATGCTTTTAATGAATTTGTTCCTTTGTACAGCCATGTCATGTTCTTGCGCAAGAACTGAAGTAATCGAGAAAGAACCATCCATAATTGAAGAATACGATCCTTATAGAAGTTGGCATGGAAGTCAGTATGGCTCAAGATATTCCATAAATGGTAATGGAATGAAAGGTTACAATAATAGTGGCGGTTCAACAATCCACTCTAATCGAACAATTGATTCCGATTATGCCATAGTTCATAGCCGACCTGGCTCATCTCGACGAATGTAAAGAAATAAAGAGCTTTATCTCTATGCCTTATTACATCACTTCAATTTAATTTCAATTAATAATGCTCGTGTCACGAAAGTACTTACTAAACCTTTTGAACGTAACATTATTAAGAAAGTATTAATAAATATCAACATACATGACTCTACTTCCCATCTAATATCGTATATACCAGTATATACATATATATACTTCCTCATGTGAAACGTACTGCACTTATTTACTCTTAATCCCTCATAAGGCGACAGAAACTTTTGATCGCAATTTTTTATAGAAAAGAGATTTTGTCCATAGCCTCTAGTTTGATATCTCTTGCTGGGTCTGACTAATCTGAAAGTTACATAAGTGAACATTACGTTACCTTAATTGACAAATTCTTCAAATCTATGCGAGAAAGTGCGCTCTCGTCAGTCTTACAACTATTCTAGTTTCCATCCGTCCATAATAGAAGAAATTTATTAAAGTTACTTTAAGAGATATATGATGATGTAATTAATTAAGATACCTTACTTATAAAACGAAGAAGAAGAAGAAAAAATAATAAATGTTAATTGTACTTAATTCTGATGAATGCTAATATAAGTGTAAATAAATTGAAAAATCAAAAAAATTGGATCAAACAAAAACACAAGCAGTTAGTTCATTTATTTCTATTTCTATTAATCTCTTTATTCATCTTACTTAATTCTTCTTATACATAATTTTAAAAATCCGTAAAACATTCATATAGTTAATATCTAATAATAATAATAAATCTTATTGCTGTGTATCATGAAACAAATTTTGTAGTCTTGTTAACTGTGATTGCTTTGGTTGCTGGGTAGTTGTAGGCGATGGCAAATAATTTTTTGGTTGTGTATTGCTCGAGAAATTAATTGTACGTAATACCGTCCAATTATTATTTGAAGCTGATTGAGATCGTTTTGGCGGTGAAGCATAAAGAGCTTTGGCAATTACTCTCTTTCCTGTCCAACGTTTAGCAATGAACTTGAACCTCTCGATCGCAATTATTAGTAGAGCAATTGACCTGGAAAAATACATCACATTATTAACAACATGCAAAATACATTCAGCGAATGAGAAGAAGAAAAAAATACAAAGGTGTTAAATAAAGATTCAAGTAGGTGGATGTACGTTGGCATGACTGGTCAGTAAACTAGCTTCAAACTAAATTAAATTAAATTTCTTGAAGCTCAACAACCGTTAACGACCAAGAATTTCTTCCGAGATCCAAAAATGGTAAAAATAAATAAAAAGGAATTATCAATTAGATCTGTAATTTGCTATGAATATTACTACTTATTCATGGAAATTGATGAAATCTAGTCATTTATAGAACTGAAAATTTTTAAGGTTGCTTACGTATTACGTACGTATTTCAAGAGCTTTTGTTACCAACAATATCGAGGCAAAACTGCATGCTTCGCACAGAAAAGAGTGTTATGATGAGGTATAATTATTTAATTTACATACCTAAATGTCTTTCGCTTCTTAGTGTCCGCCTTGTAAAGAGAGTGAGGCGGTGAACCAATTGTCGTGGCTAATGTAATTAAAAGGAATTTTTTCTGGAATACAAGTGCTTTACGGAAACTCTCGCTACGCATAAATCGTGCTATTAGATAATTGTTTTGTTCTTCCAAATCTCTCATGTCGTGGTAATTTTGAACTAAGTTGGTGCTTCTTTCATATTCTAAAACTTTCTGCTGTAATTCATGTCTTTCTGTAAGTAATCTTTTGAGTGTTTCAGCAATTGGCGCAGAATCATCCAACATATTGTTATATCCATCCATTTCATCAAATTCGTTATTTCCTCTCATATAATTTCGTTCTCGTACCTTATTAATCTCTGTCCGTAACATTTGATTATCATTTAAATGTTTATGTACCTCTCGTTTCAATTGATCAATGTAACTTTGCTGATCGGATAACGTTTTCTTAAATCGTTCTCGTTCTCTGTCGACGACTGACTGTAAATCCATCACACGATCTTTTTCTACGTCATTTTGAGATGTTAACATTTTAATTTCACTTTTTTGACGTTGAATCATCTCAGATTCCAGTTCCAGATCATGCATTCTTTGTGCCTTATTAAAGATTAAATTACTATCAAAAGATTTGGTTCGCTGAACCCCACTAAGATGTGATGACAATGAAATCAATTTATTCTTTTCAGTTTCAAGTAATCTCTTTAATATAGACTCATTTTCCAATGCTGCTTTTAGTCTCATATTCATGGACTCTATTAATTTTGCATCTTGTGAATGAATATCACTAAAGTGCCTCTTTTCATCATCAAGCTCATTCGAAAGTGCTAAATATTTCACTTTTTGTTCTTCCAATTCCATTTTGAGCTTTTTTATTTTATCGCCAATTCGATTGTTGTCTCTACCGCCTAATTCCTCAATTTCTGAATTAATATCAGATTCACTTTCAATGGCCTTAATAATCTTTCCATCCAATTCAGCTGCATAATTAAGCTCATCGTCTAATTTAGATGCAATTTCTGCTATCGAGTAACGATCAATATTCTCATCAATGCCATTGTTGCTTTCCTTCTTTAATGATTCCACTTCATTTTCCATTTCATGCAAATCAATTTTACATTTTTCTAATGAAAAAGTTTTTACGCACAGCTCATGTCTTAAGCTTTCAATATTATCTTCCAATTGTCGATTCGTTCCCAAAAGTTTATCGCATTGTTCTGCTTTGCTTAGCAATTGTTGTTCATTTTTTACATAGCTCAAGAGATCAAGTTCTAATTTTTTCAGCATTGTTTCTTTCTCGACCATCACATCATCATAGGAAGATACTTGCTTCTTCAAATTGTCCAAATCAACAAGAACCCGCTCATTATCTCTGCATTTATTTTTCATAACAACCAAATCTTCTGACAATTGATTGATTAGTTCTTCTTTTCCATTTAATAAATCACGCAAACTTTCCAGATCTTGTGCTTGTGACTTGAGATTCAATTCCAAGTCTTGATTTTTTAACATAAAATTTGTCAATTCGCCTTCCTTCTTTTTTAATTCATTCTCAAGGGCATTCGATTGTATAACACTCGATTGGAGTTTCTCTATTTCCTCATCAATAGCTTTTTTCTCCATTTTAATATCTTCATACAGCTTAATTTTCGATTCTAATTCTAACTTCAACTCATTTATTTGTTTATTCTGCTCATCGATTGTTGTTTTAAGTTTGTGTATTTCTTCATTAGCATTTTTTAACCCGTTCTGTGTTTTGTCATGCTCAGCAGAAAAGTCTTCTAATGAACTAAATTCAATCTTTCTAGGAATTATGTGTGATGGCATGTGAATTTGCGATTGCTCTTGTGATGTATTCATTGTTGCTTTATCTGTTAATATCTCATTTGTCGATGACATTGTCGAATCTGAATTTCCTGCTTTCAGCTCATCCTTTGATTAATTAAATAGAGAAAAAATAACAATTCTTATAAACGGTGATTCCATTTTCAAATTTGATAAAGTTCAAAAATTGAACTTAAAAATAACGGTTTTTTAAAAAAAAATTTAAAATTTAAATAATAAAAATACGTTAACTCACCATTTTGTGTTCAGTAAAGTTAATTTGAGTTGGTTGCTGTACAGCTTTTCTAAGAATGTCAGGCTCATCATACTCTGAAATCATTGTCAGAAAGCTACTGCCAGTGAATTTAGAATTATTTATTTGAGAACTTTGCTTTTGCATTAAGCTACTTGTCATTAGAGAAATTTGTTCCTTAAGATTATCAATTTCTTCATTCTTCTCTGCAATCATGGTTTCCATAAGATCAGGAATCATTGCCCTATTAATCATTTCACTTTTTATCTTATTTTTAAGTGTCTCAATTTCATTGTCTTTATGCTTCAGCTCATTATTTAATTTTTCATAAAATGACTTGTCGCTATCACTTCCTTGTGCCAATTGCTGATCTTGCTTCTCTATAATTGACTTACTGTTTTCAAGAAGTTGATTTAAATTGGATATTTGTTTATCTCTTGCAGATAGAATTTCTTTCAAGTTAGACAATTCATTATGAAGATCATGAACTCTCAAAGTCAAGTCTGATGTATTCTGCTTGTTTAATTCTTCCGCACGAATTCTTTGCTCGTCAAGCCTTGATTGTAATGACGAAATTTTTATTAATTGCTCTGACATCCGGTCTTGTAATATATCCTTCTCTTGTTGCAGTTCCTAGAATTGAGGGAAAGAAAAGAAATTGCTGTCATTATATTTATTTATTTGTTGTCATTAGCGCACAATATAAGCGTGCGAGAGAAAAGTCATGCTGCTGCGGGAAATACATATTCTTACAAGTAAAAATGTCTCCATGATTTTCTTGGTGGCTTGAAAGAATTTTGTTCTTGACTATTAAATTTATTTTAATAGCATCATTTTTTTTTTGCAAGCTGAATTTTTGAGACTTTAATATGCCTTAGTAGTAGCTTCGGAATGCAGAACATATTGAAAAAACAATGAAATTACATTCAGACACAATAAACAAAATGCTACAATTAGCGTCTGAAAATCACGTTAAAAACAAAATTAATACGGGTTCACACTCTCAAAACTTTCTTTGAATACATTCTCATGCATTCTAAAAATAATAATATCACACATAAATCCATGAGAGAGAGCATATGACTGTATATGACTGAGAAGAAAATTAAAATTGCGGAAGCCGAAAAAAATTTTATTTCATGATCACAACCATTTTTACTTACAAATATATTGCCAGAATTTTCCATTTTTCATCAACTTTAACGACTTGTGAACACTATTATCATAATAAGCAAGCAATGAATGATGGGATAGTGTAATTAAAATCTATATCTTTGGCTTAGAACTTGAGAGAAAATCGAGAAACACAAAAAACAAAATGCTAGTGACTTCCTCAAATTGTAGATTGAAAAGAAATTGTGTATTAAATTGAAAATCATGCAAATGTAAGCGCTTCTCGTTCTCATACAAAACAACAGAGAATTGATGTATGTGTCTCATAGCGTCTGTATATATAATATATGCATGCATGAGCTATTATCAATTTATAAATCAAAAAAAAAATCTACTCACTTCGAAATCTTTTTTCATTTCGTTGATAGTCATTTCTAGATCCGTCACTTTTTTAATGGTCGCTTCTTCCATTCTATTGTGCTTTGATACTTTCTCCAAAATTCTCTGAACTTCCTCAAATGGCAGAGAAATTCCATCACTTTGAGTTTTCCATAGTTTTTTTGGACTTCTGTCGGACCCGTCAATATCAAAACTTTTCGAAACATCTTCTGATGGACTACTACAGGCAGTGTTCGAGGCTGCTGACGAAAATGCATGAAATGCTTCTAACGTCTTTGTTTTTCGATCCATTAACATCTCAATGGTCTTCAAATGTGATGTCATCTGCTCATCAACCAACTTTTGTTCATTCGATGGTTTCAAAATTTTCAATTGATTTTCAAGGCTTTTAATTCTCTCAATATATTCATTTTCTTTATCCAAATTGGATTCATTCTTTTCATCTTGCAGGTCAATAATTTTTTCTAGCTTTTCACATTTATCCACCAAAACATTCTCGTTAAGAGTTTTCGTCTGAATTTGCGACTCTAAATCGCTTATAATTTCTCGTAAATCAAAAACTTTTTCTATCGATGCCTTAAGATCTTCTTCTGATTTATTCTTAAGTACTGACAAACTCTCGACTTGTTCCGTTAACTCTTTAATTTGCTCTTCACAACTGACAATCTGTGGAATGTTAACATAAAATACATTTTTAGACCATTTCATGAATGTTAAGTAGCTCATCTACTTACATAATCAACAACAAATTTAGGATCTACGTTCTAAAAAAATTTTGATACATTAAAATGCGTGCGAAAAACATTAATTAAAGACTAATTTTAGAGTGCCATTGAAAGAGATAGTCACAAAGGAATTACTACAAAATCTCAGACATTTTACCTTCTTTTCAAAATTCTGAATAGCCGATTTGTCCTTGTCCTTATTTTCTTTTTCCTTCAAACTAATTCGTAGTTTCTCAACCTCTTTTGTAAATTCATCTCTCTCAGCATCTCTTTCTGCTGCTTGCTCATCCAAAAATTTCTTGTTCGATTTTAGTTGCTTATCAGCTACTTCTAGCTATATATAACAATAAGAATAATTTATTGCACTTAACAAAAATCATGACTAATAGGCAATAAAGCTAATCTTTATCTCTACAGGTACTAAAGCAACGACAGTTAAAAATGAAATTTTTGAATTTTGCAAAACATTTTGAACTTCAATTGAACCACAAATTTTCAAATTTAATGTAACCGTTAAGTTTTTAAACTTTTATAAACCGTTAAAATTTTGGTTCCAATTTAGGTTTGATAGTAATGACTTACCTGTTTCTGTAAGTCTTCACGCAACTTCTTCTCACTATCAATAAAATAATCAGTTTCTCGACAAAAGTCTTCAATTAACTGATAGAGTACGACTGCGTTGTCAAAGTTTGTTGGTTCTGCGAGAAGCTCCTTGGCTTTATTGTGAACACTTTTTAAAGAATTGTGATGTCTTTGAATTGGACTTATTGTCCCAAATCCCTCAGTATATTCTTCTTTTTGAATTAATGGAGAATCAAATTTTTCAACTCCATTTTCTTTAACTTTTCTAGGTCCATATCCATTATTCATTCCATCTAGGAATATTGGTAAACTTTGAGCTTCCTTATACACATTTTCGCTCGTATTATCATTTTTGTGACACATTTCTAATGATTGATAATGACACCTCAATCCATCTTCCTCTTCACAACTGTCTGCTTTGTTATCATCTACTTTCTCTATACATGCAAATGATTTTTGCTGCCGTTCTTGTATTTGCTCTGATAATTCCAAAATGTTGTTTGCTTCTGTTTTCAAACGATTCAAACAATCCATTATATTAATTTGAACAGAACCTTCATTTTGTTGTTCTGGAGAAATGAAATCTAATAGCTTTGGATCTTCAACAATGGAAAGTAATGTTGATATGTCTGGTTTGTACGTTAAGAATTTTTTTGTAGACGATGAAACTGTTGATATATTCAACTCATCTTTTGTTGAATTGATTGTTATATTAAGATCTTCATCGTATTGATTAAAGCATTTTGCGAGCTCACAAAGTGTAAATCTTAATGATGATGATAATTCTCTAAAATTATCTCTTTCATTTAGAATTTTCCCAAGATCGCGGTGCTGATCAAAATTGTTTTGTCGCTTCATTCTTCTCTGCACTTCAATATCACTATCGCTTTTAATTCGTGCCATCTAATGAATAACAAATGAGCGACAAATGTTTGTGAATTAATTAAAATAGTAAATTTATTTTATGGAATATCTAATTATTATTTACCTCTTCTTCATGCTTTATTTTCAACTGAGCTATTTCCAATTGATTGGCTGCTGTTAATTTCTCCCTCAATAATATTAGTTCCGGAGGCCAATTCAATTCGTCTCGGAAGTTTTCTGATAATAAACTCTGAGGAGAATAAGGAAGCGACGTTAGTAATGAACAAATCAGAATTGATAAGGAAAATGATCAGTTATAGTTTTGCTAATATGTTAATAAAAATAAAAATAAATACAACACACAAAAACTAGCTAGCTTGCGATCTGTACAGTCTCAGGATGTGAATTATTCTGACTGCTTCACATTTTTTGTGGCATTTTATCTTAAAAGTTTATGCTTATTGAGATAAGAACTTTTGTGATTCATTTTATGCTGATTTATCTAGTTTTCTGTTCTGAATTCGCATAAATTTATCTTTAAAAATTTCATTGTCATGTAATTCAGACTTTTTGTGTATTCGTCAAAATAAAAAAATTCCTGTATAGTAATACAATATTTTCAAACAAAAATCACTTTTGTATAAACAAACTGCCTCAAATTCATTTTCACTGGATATTCTAAACAATATAGACTCAATTCCCCACACCTAATCAACACTTTTCATTCCTTTACCTTATTATTTTTAATTATAAACTTTTTAATTGTGAGATTATTGAATATTTCTGTATTAAGTGTACACTTAATAAAATTTGTGACTTATTTACGCATATGCTCCCTTGCGTTTAAAGTTCTAAAAATAATTTACATGCTTCCCGATCGTTCATCTCTCACATATACTCAATTCATTCGCTCACATGTGTTCTTGTTTATTTTTTCTTTCTTTTTTTTTTTTTTGATGTCTCTTGAGCATTTCTCGAGGAAATTCGATTACTTTTGTGTGATTTCGAATTGAGATTCTCCAAAAAATTCTGATTTCTCTTGGCATTAGAAAACTTTTACTTACTTGTATGTTCTTCTCTATTTCATGTAAAACATCTTCTCTGGCCAGTATCACTTGTTCTTTTAACGATCTCTCATAATCTGCTTTTATTTTCTGAAGTTCGTTATAGGCATTAAAATCGTTAGGAATATTATCTAATTGTGATTCTTTTGCGGATTGATGTGACTGTTAGAACATGAATAGGGATGATGAGAAAGAGTTAGCATTAGTCTTGTTAGCACACAAATCGGGGAAAATTGTTTAATTGTAATTATTAATTAAGTTAACACAAACACCAATATTAAGCACGTTGCTGCTGTACGTACGTTTTTAATTTTACATAAAAGTTTACGTACGTATCTGAATATACGTATTCAAATACACGTACGTTTTTACATTACGTATTCTCAACGTATGAAAAATACGTAGAACTTAAAAATTATAATTAACGGATATAGCCGTTAAAATTACTTACAGCATAGTCGTCGGTCAAAATGTCATCTACGTCTTGATTCGTGGATTCAATTTTGCGAGAATGAATGGACTCGTTCATAGACAGCACTTCTTCAGTGTATTCCTTTCCCAAATCTTGACAGCGTTTCTCAAAATATTCTCGAAGTTCCTTCATATCGTCGGCATGCTTAATCTCCAATTCTCGTTTCAAATCTTCTATACAAGATGAATCGCTTTTAACAGAACTTAGCAATTGCCTTAATTTATTGATTTCCAATTCCGTTTCTTTGCGTTCTTTTGCAATATTTTCTTCAAACCTTGACATTTCTTCTTGATGTGTATTTTTAAGCAAATTGACTTCACCTTCAATAAAGGACTCAAGCTTTGGCCATAAATGGTCAAAATTTGGAGCATTTAATATTTCACTGGATAGTAACTTTTTAAAGTCATCGATTCTTTTAGAGAATATCTCAATCCGTCCAGAATTTAATGATTTAAGTGATTCTTCTGACGCAAGCTTAGTCTTTAACATTTCAATTTCATTCGTTAATTTGGCTCTTTCTTGTGACGATTCCTGTAACTGATTTTGAAGTGATTTTATATATGTTGCACGATCGTAAAACTCGCTATCAACATCATAAATCTTTGAATTAAGGTAATCGTTCATGGTTTTATATTCTGTACTGGTTGTGGCTATGCTATTTAAAGCCGTTTGATTTTCCTTGAAAATTTCTTGCGAATCCAATTGTTCATTAAAGTCATTTGATTCTGCGCCTCTGTCAATTACTGTATCTTGTGCCTCACTTTGATCATCAAATAAGTTACTTTTAAGGATGTTTCTTACCAGGCTACCTTTTTCGATTTTATCCTGTAACATGATTGGAGGAACGGCTTTTATTGGCTCCTTTTCTCTTGACTCTGTTTCTGATTCTTCCGTTATATCGTCGAGTATATCATTTAGGAAATCAGAACTAATTTTCTCCATTCTTTTAATAGAAGCTTTATCAATAGAAGTGGATTGAGCAGTAACTCCAACACTTTCTCGATTTTGTGATAACTGCTCAATTTGTTGAGGTGAAGCATTAACATCATTAAATTTCTTTAACGAACTTATGCTTACTTTTTTATCATTAATAAAGATTGTATCTTCTGTTGAAGGCGAAAGTTCCTTATTACTGGTACTTACTTTTATAGGCACTATAGTATCACTGTCTCTTCCATCAACATCATCATCATCAGCTGATGTAAAATGTTTTGCAATATTATCTAAAGCTAGAATCTCGTCCACATTATCGTCAAATAGCTTCAAATCATCATTCTCGTGTATGACTCGATGATGTTCATGCTGATCATCCTTTGAATCATTTAAAAATATAGGAATATCATCTGAATCGTCAAAATCTGAATCACTAAGGTCTTCAAGTTTTGATATGTCTTCAATTATTTCCTCCTCTACACTCTCGTCATTGTCGTGCTTAAAGCGATCCATTATTTCAAATCATTACTATGAAATGCTGCACCTAAAACAATCAATTGTATTCATATTATATACTTATTTAAAGCACTTTTTTATGTGTTACACATAAGATTTGAGTTGATCATGCATTAAAAATACTTTTTGAAATTGGGTAAAATGTAAAAATAGCGACTTAATGCGCCGATCACTCAACATTATAATTACTTTCAAAATTCTATCTTTATCACTTAATGATCAAACAACTTCCAGTGTAAATATTATTAAGCCTTTAACTCCATAAATAGACTTTTTAATAATTTAACAAAATAAAATTTTTTTATGTTATGAATTATGTTTCTATGGAGATTTTTTGACATAAACATTTTTCAGTTGTAATGCTTACAGAACTATCCCTTCTTTTTCTCCAACTGTTTAATCGATATTTTCTCTATCCGTTGCTATAGAATTCATGAATTTTAACTCACTATAACTTAGTCTTTCGAGATTTATTTAATTATGTAAAATTTCTTGTTTTTACTGTGTTTTTTTGTCAACGACTTTTGAATTTATTTTCAAATAAATACAATTTATTTGAATTTTTCGTTACCGTTACTTTTTTACGCAACGATCGGTGGTTAAAATGCTGTTGATTCTTTTTGCAACATGTGGTTCCTTTGTGCTTGTCTTATTTGTTTTTTGGCGGTCTTTTAATCCATTTTACAATATTTTATAATGCACATCAATTTTTATGCTGATATGCAGACCCTTAAAACACATTCAAAGATGAACAGTATGCAAATGTAGGCATGCTTATGATACGAGTGATAAATGTGTGTAGGTATTTTTGGGCTCTAGCTTTTTATCAGATCTGAGATCTACACAGTCAGGATTAAAGAGTCGTTCGAATCAGTTGTCTTTTAAAAAAAGTGAGAAGTGAATAAATTGGATAATTTAATTAATTTTGTCATATCTCTAAGTCGTTAATATTTGGAGACATTTTGGTGCTGAATCTCTAATTTGTGAGCACGTGTTCATGAAAAAATAACGGATATTTACAAAAATATCTTTAATTGCGGATTTATTCAAATTAATTATTTATCCTTGGATTTCTAAATTAACAGCTTATCAGTGTCGGCTTTTAAGAAGGCTCTAGCAAATTCCAATTCGAGTATTAGCCAAAAATTAGAGAAAATTAATTTCTGGATGAGTTATTTCGCAATTTTTCATCGATATTTTGTTCTTGCTCAAAGTAGTTCATATATTCTTAACGCTGTTCTGTACACTTTCATTGAATCATGTAGAATTGATTTTAATCATGAAGCTGTTTATCTTATCATATCGTAAATTGAATAATTCGCTGAAAATCATGTAGTAAATCACAAAGTGAAATTCTTTAGCATTTTATTTCTAAGAATGAGCAAGCATGGAATTCACTTATGTCGTCCAATAGCTAGAATCTGAAGCTTTTAGGGATTTTATGGGCACTTAGCAGTAATACTTTGAATTCATTTGACAATCTTAGAGCTTATTTAATTTGTTTAAAAAATCAAAATGGGAGTTTGGGCCAGTACCAGCTATAATAATTAAATGAATATCTTAACAAAGGCAAAGTTAGAGCTGGGGTCAAACTTTAACCTTTTTGGATTATTTTTTACATTTTGCTAGGGGTTTTGACGGAAAAGGAGCTTGTTTTTTTCGTTACCAATCTTCTTTAATAATTTTGGGTAAAATTAAGTATAAATACTTCAAATATATACAAATCTGCAGACATCAAAAGCGTATGTAACACCTTTCAAAAGGAAGATACTGAAACATCCTGGGAATAAATTCTAAAGTCACTAATTCACGATATGCGCTCTAAACATCTCACGTCATTCATTTCCATGCTAATTCTGAGGATACGTGTTGACAAGTTCACTTACGATGAGCTATTCAAATTAGATTTCCGTCGTAAAATAAGCAAACACAGAGAGATTGAGAAACTTAATTTGATTGTTATTGAAGTCAAAAACGTGATTCACTAATAAAATTAATATTTTTCAATAGACAACTGACGATGGGGAAATTTTACGTCATTTCCGTGCTGATAGCTGCATACATTCTATCAGTATCAGGAAATATAAGGAGAATACGTAGCATTGACCTATCTGCTACACATTCGCTTGTATCTGAGACAAAATTACCTGGTGAAGTTATTCCGAACAATTATACCCTTGACTTGAGACCCAATGTTGATGAAGCTACATTTAATGGAAATATCGTAATTATCATTACTTTCCAAGAACCAACGAATAAGGTTGTACTGCATGCCTCACATACACTAGATGTTGCAGAAAATGAGATTAAATTAATTGACATAGGAATCGATTCCAAGTACGCTTAATACTTTCTTCCTGTGGCATGTAGCTGAATAATATCCATTTTCTTTATGAATTTATAGCTTAGATCCTGATAGAAAGTTTGTGAATAACAAGGACATAGAAATCAGACGTATTGATAAGATAATGAAGAAATCTTTATTGGAAATTTATCTAAAGGATACAGTCAAGCAAGGAACAGTTGCAAGATTAGAAATCTCCTTTAATGGAAAAATTTATGAAAATTCTGAAGGGATCTTTAAAGGAAGTTACATTGATGGATTGGACAAAAAGTAAGAAAAAAAAATTTAAAATATTTTAATTCCTACCAATCATGTTTTTTACAGGTTCTATGTAGCAACTTCTATGAGACCAAACAATGCGAGAAGACTTTTCCCATGCTTTGATGTAAATCCTATCAACCACTTGCTTTCTATTGATCAATAAAATAATATTCTTATTATTATAGGAGCCAGCATCAAAAGCACCATTCCTTGTGTCCATTTCCCGACCAAGAGGCTACATAACGCTGTTTAATACTCCTATGTCAAGTTCCGAAGCCATGTAAGTAAGCGTTCATTTATGTCGAACATCAGAAGCCCCTTCCTTTTGAGGGGTTACGTATTAAACGAACCCTAAGTGACACACGTCATAAATGAACAATTTTCAATGCATTTTTTGATTCAATAAATTCAATAATATAATGCTTACAATAATAAAATCATTACAGCGATGAGAATTTTATTTTGGATCACTTCCAAATTACCCCACCAATGAGCACATTTGCTTTTGGATTCTTGATTTCACAATTGACGGTTGTTGAGAAAACTGATTATTTACAAGACCCACACATCAAAAATGTTTGCATTAAAGTTTATGCTCGATCCGAATTACATGCTGATCTTATAAATACTGTGAGTAACATCTGCCATGTGATATGAGTCATGTGTTACATTGTTTATTTTTTAGAGAATCCATGAGAGAATTGAAAAGACCTTCTTAGCGATTCGAACATATTTTGGAGAGGACTATCCATTGACCAAATTAGACATTGTAGCTTTACCAAATTATTCCACTGTTAAGCCTGCTGATAATTGGGGCTTAATACTTTACAAGTATGTCTTGATGTTTATCTTAATTACCGTATCTAACCAGAATATTCTAGGGAATCTGAACTTAATCAAAACACATATTACTTGATTGCTCAAGAACTTGCATATCAATGGGTTGGAGCTTTGATTTCTCCTTATTGGTGGACCGACTTCCATATCAACAAGGCTATTACAGGTGCGGGAAATTTATGACTTTATACGCCTTAATACTAAAAACAATATTTCTTCATTTAAGGCTTTATTGCTGCAAACACAGCACTCAATTTGGACAATGGAAGTGAATTTGATGGAAAGTGGCCCATGACAATTTTATACTCAATCTATTATGAATTTTCTAAAAGATATCCACATTCCCGAATCACTGGTATGTCCATTGATCTCAATATGCTATATGTATTTTCAAAAATACAATTTTTCAACAGGTATGAAGCAAGAGACAATTTGCAGTAAAACAGAGTTGGTTTTGCGAATGTTTAATTACACAATGGGCGTTGAAACATTCAGAAAAGGCTTACAAAAGCTGTTCATCAATCGAAAATACAAAACATTCTTTACTGAAGATGTTTGGACTTTATTAACAGAACAGGTTCATCGAGATAATAAATTAGACGGAAGAGATTCGATTAATGCAATTGCTACAAGTTGGGTACAAAAGGAGCGACTTCCAGCTGTAACAGTTACAAGGAACTATGAAAAGAGAACAGCAACATTAAGTCAAAAATTATTCTTGAGAGAAAGACCACATGACGTTCCTGAGCAAGAAAAGATGTTATGGTGGATTCCTGTAATCATCGTAAAAGAAGATAAGCTTGACTTTGATGATTTTGAACCTATGAAATGGATGAAGAAGGAAAGACAAGTTGAGGTTTCTAATATGCCAGCAGCTGATAAATTTATAATCATGAATCCTGAAGAAATTGGACCATTCCCTGTTAATTATGATGAAAGAAATTGGAACATGATTGCTAATTTCCTACAAACTGAAAAGAGATTATTGATTCCAATTAATACACGTGCAAAGCTTCTGCATGATGCTTGGAATTTGGCATATGCTGGTTCATTGAGTTTTGCAACTGCTCTTAATATGACATTATTCATGAAAAATGAACGTGAACATATCGTATGGAATCCAGTTTTTACTATGATGGACCATATTGGAAAACACATTGATGACATTCAAGCCGTTCATCAAAAATTTAACGTCTATGTTGCACAATTATTGATTCCATTGTACGAAGAACTTACAAAGACAGAAGAAAATGAGGAAAGATGGATGAAAAACTTGAGAACATTATCAAAGACATTCTTGTGTCGTGCTGGCTATAGACCATGTATTGAAGAGGCTCAAAAAGAGTTCAAAAAATGGATGGAAATGGAAAATCCAGAAGAAGGAAATCCGTAAGTTCTCTACTTAAGAGTTCACTTATTAATTATAATATTTTGAACTTTAAATTTAGGGTAGCGAATCAGTTTATATGCCCAGTATTCAGATACGGAACAATGGAAGAATGGGAGTTTGGTCTCAAGAGAGTTATGAATTTCCCATCAGAGCGTCGACAAAGTGAGAGAACATACTTGCTGAAAACATTAGCTGGATGTCCAAATCAAAATGAAAAGATCCTTCGATTGCTCAATATTACAATTTTAGAAGGAAATGAAAACTTTACAGAAAATGATATCTTTTTAATCTTCAGCATGCTATCAGGCAATTCAGTCGGCTACTCAACATTATTTAAATTTTTGGAACAAAACTGGGATGCAATTAAGATCAAGTATGAAGACCGGGACTTGATAAATTATTAATAATTGATTAAAATGATTTTTTCAGGTTTACAAACAAGACGAATTTATGGGACAGTTTGATTAGTACTTCCTGTGGCATTTTTACGACTCAACGTGGTTATGATATGGTATCAAAATTGTATATCGCCAAACAGGGTGAATTCGGAAGTGCTGAGCACATTATTGAAAAGTCTTTGAAAAATATTAAGGAGGAAGCTAAATGGAGCAAAGAAAACCTTCCAATCATTGAAAATTGGCTTGACTTGTATTTTAAGAATTCTGGCAATTCTTATAAAGATAAGTTTGTCATGTAAAGTATTAATCCATGCCATACAATTATTATTATTATTATTCTATTAACAAGAATGTCCAGATCTGTGATTTGAGGTGCATTCATCTATTCTATATTTTTTTTAAACAAAAATGCTGATTAATTAAAAAGTAATTGAGGACCAATATTAAGAAAGTTTTGGTCACATTATTGAAATGAAGTCAGCGATAAAGATTTATGTATAGGACAATAAAATTTATGCCTTTTCACATATAATAATATTCAATTAAGATTTTTATTCCATCTACATTTCTGCTTTAAAACTTATTCATCTAGGAATCTAAAGTAAAGTAAGATCATCAATAAATTACATTGGATAGGGGATTAATTTTATTTTTGTGGGAATGAAAAAAATATATAGAATTTGTAAGATATATCTTCGATTAATTTATGTAGAAGAGCTTTCTCCAGGTTGTCTTGTATTTGTAGCCTCTGTTGTATTATCTTGTATGGTCATAGCTTGCGTATAACTTGGTGGATTCATGTCTGAAGATGTGGGTATAATTTCATGGCTCTGCATTGCAGCAGCGTAACTTGGTGGTGCTTTCATCTATCATAATTACAAATTTAAATAAATTGATTTTTATTTTGGAATTCGGATTTTAGGTATATTACATTAAGTGCCTCCTCATAGCCAGGGAGCAATGAATTGTACAGGTTTTCTGTATTCATTGGTTGATCTTGGATAATGTAGGATAAAATTGTGGCGTTTTGACGAATTGTCAAGTATTTGTAGCATCTCCAAACAATGCCTGCATGTATCAAGAATAATTAAAATAAGATAATCACACTGTCGGAGCACTGAATCACTCACCAATACAGTATGCTTTAAGCATGACCATAAATACAAATGCGAATAATACAAGGATTCCTAATGTCTGTGAATCCACTCTTAATAGTTCTTCTTTGTATGGTAAATGTTTTGAATTCTCAATAATTTTGTGAATTGTACGAAGGTAGCACAGATAACCAGCTGCACTTAAAGTTGTTATAGCAAAATCACATAATTGAAGGAAGAAGAAGGGCAGCAAATGACTCGGACGGTTCTTCATTGCACCGTAAATCAACATTAGCGTTATTGCAATCATGCACAAGCAAACTAGACCGCCCTGTAATAAAAAACAAGGTATGAATCACACTCGATTAGATAGTAAATAAAAAGTATAATAACAAACCATATCTATGTCATTATGATTAAGTGAATGATCTCTATACGGGTCTTGTTCGAGAATATTTCGAGAAACTGGTGTTGGGAGTGCATCAATGCCATCATCATCCAATTTATTATCACTTGAATGGTGTATAATTGCTGGATTTTTAGCAATAATACCGAGTAATGTGAGTGCAAAGAGATTAAGAATCTGGAAATTGAATTGCGCAAATAAAAAAGTTGTATATGAAGAAAAAAATTGATTTCATTAGAAAGGCAAATCTCACCAGATGCCATGCTCCGATAATGATACAAGCTGTTTTAACATGAAGGATTCCAAAACAGCATCGAAATTGACTCGAATTTAGCTGATTAGACATACTCTAATCTATTTAAAAGAATAATTTTCTACTTTGAATTTTCACAATTTCTTTACCTTTTTTTCCTGTCTTCCAAGATGATGAATTGTTTGTAATTTTAAAATCCGTTACGATAATCTTCTTAGTGCCAATATTAAGGCACACATGATCACTGTAATATTGTTGGAGGGAAACTGCTGAGATTTATCTTTACATTAACTTTTTATTATTAGGTATTAATTCTTTAAGTTCTTATTACCTTCTAAAATTTATTTCTCTTAATTATAGTTTACTTCTGCAGCAACTTCTTGTTTTGTTTTTTTTTTTGAAATCTTTCTTACAATTTTCGTTCTCTTAGCACTAAATATAATTAGATAATTTGGAAAAATATTTTTTTCGACAATCAAGCCTTAGAAAAAAGAAACAAACTCTCTAATTTCGACTAGCGCATTGAAGTAGATCGTTGCGTAGTCTTTTTCTTAAAAATATCATGCAACGATTTTGCATAAAATTTCTAATTTAAAGCGCTTGATTATCTTAATAATTATTTTTATGAAGTTGAATATTAAAAAATTTGTAGATTATAAATTTGTAGCAAAATGATTATTGAATAATGACGAATTATTCAATTCCATCGTCAGTCATTTCATCTTCTCCGTATTCATGCTCATCATATGTCTCGAAACGCGATGAATCCTGCGAGAAACTACTTTGACTTTGGTCGACCATCGTCCAATCCTCCTCGATAATATCATTTTCAAGCTGGTTCTCCGTGAGATAACCATTGCCATACACTGAAATAAATATTCAGTTAATAATTTGCTTTGCATAAAGTTTACGTAGCACAAAATACGTGCGTAAAATACGTACGTATGTCTTACGTCATAAAAAAATGTAACTTACTTTCAATGTACTTTTGATAGGCTTTTGGAACCATTTTCTTTAGCTTCTCAATGTCTTCTGCAGACGATTCTCCCTTATCCATTCCTAAATCAATTCACAAGTGTCAAATCAGGACTTTAAATTGATCAATATTAATAGCAATTTACCTAGTAATAATCCCATCCGCTTCAGTACCTCAAAATCATCTTGCACTTCAAATTTGTCATCGAACTTGAGCAAATATTCACGCCTAAAAGAATAGAGAAACATTAAAGTTTATAATCCAGGAACAGAGCAACTTGAGATGCACATACTTATCATTCGATATGTTGCAGTTAATGTGAGTTTTCTTATTTGTATTAATAACAATGAATGGCAAATGTACGGCTGAATTTGCTGACGGGATGATTCCTCTCTTTTCAAGATTCTTATTTCGCTCAATGAGACTTTTAAATGACACGTGCTAAAAGAGAAGAAAAAAAAGTTAAGTAAGATATTTACGAGTGAGTGATGAGTTTCGCACGAAAAAAAATAATAAAATAAAATAAGAAGCTTTACCTTCAAAACAAGTTCTCTTAATTGTTGCTGCTTCTCCTCGATTCGCTTTCGAGTCTGTTGATTTTGTAATTCAATTTCTTCACATTCTTGTACTGAGGATGTAGGCAATCCAAGCCACTTGATTTCCTTCTTTTCCTTAGAAATTATATTCATTGCCATGAGAACATTAAGCGCGTCATAAACTCTTCTACGGATATTTTTTTGATCATATGATCCATTGACTGATGTGCCTGCATCCTCACTTTCCTCCAGCACCAGCTCGTCAGCGACCTCATTGTATGATGTTGTTCCCTTTTCCTTTACCTTTTGACATACGCGCATTGAGAAATGACGCAAGCCCTTCCCAGGCTTTTCATTTCGTTTTCGGTCCGTTTTCTTAAAAGTTGTGGAATTTGTTACTGAATGATTTGATGATGTTGACTGTAGTAAATTTGAAGGTACTGATGATGATGCTGGTAAACTACAATTAAACTTTTCTTAATCTAAATCCAAATTACTAATTGACTGTGTTCCTACCTTTTTCGTAAGTTTGTGTATTTCCCTGAAGTTCCTGGTCTCTCTGCGGATTTTGTTAGCTTAGTTGTGGTGATAACTGACGGTGCTACCTTTTCAATTTTCTACAAATCAAAAGCAAATATTAGAATCAAATAAGACACAAAGAGAGAGCTTTAGGAAATCCGTACCACATTATATGAAGCATTATTGTAATTCTGTAATGATTGTTGATACACAACATGAGGTGTTTGTGATGAAAAGGCCTGAAAGAAGTAAATTGATATTAATAATTTCGAGCGATCTAGCTTCTAGCTAATTCACTTACTTGTTGCGATGCCAAACTTTCTTTTTTGACGGTAATTGATGATGCTGATATCAATTGTTTTTTACCTATAATTATTTATGTAAAATATTGATAAGAAAAAAATGATCAAATAACTTATGCAGTATAGCTAGATTTAACCAGTTTAGTGATCCAGAAAAGATATCACTTAATGAGCATTAAGAAATTAATTAAAGTACATATGCAGATATTTGAGGTTTAATTCCTTGTAGGAATGCACAAAATGAGAAGGAATGGATGTAAAAAAGGATTTCGAAAACACTATAGAAATAAATGGAAATAAATTATTTGAATCAAATCCAATCGAATCTCAACATCCAGAATAGAAGCATTACACATTAATGGACATTTTAAGAAGGATATTGGTGCTATAATTAACACTTGGAGCTGTCTTTGCAATCGGAAAAATGCACAAATTTTTCGTGCAGGCAGAACTTAATGATCGAAATGATTTTTTAAGGAAGAAAATTTTCCAATTATAAAATTCGTGACTTACCATTGGCATCTGACACTAAAACATAGGTGGGATTTTGTGTCGTCATGTTATGTGCTCTTTATGATGAAATTCCGTCCAGAGCTACTTGATTTATCTGATTTTTAACAATAAATTAATATCTTGTGTTTTTTCTCAAAACTCGAATATTTTAGGGGGATTTTAGAAATGACGAAAAGCACACAGGCTTAATTGCGTTAAATTTTAGCGATCAGTTACTCTTTTTCCTTTTCTATTGCCTAAAACGTACCTCCAGTGATCCAAACTTATGTTAATTATCCTTAATATCACTTCCAATTACTATTTAATTTAATTACTTTTGAGTTACAATCGACAGCAATATTTCGATTTATATCCACTAATTAGTCTAACGTATTTCTTAGACTTGAAAAGTTTGCGCCTTAAAATTATCCGGCTTTTCAAGAACAAGTAATATATTCATGACGCCTATTATAATTTACATGCAGCGCATAATCTTAATCACTTATCACTGAAGCACATTATTATTTAAAAAAATTATTATAATTGATTTTTTCCATTCTGGATTATAATTTTCTTTGACTTTAATGGTTTTTATGACATTTACAGTTTAATACTATATTTTATGGATTTTTAAAAGGATATTCTACGATAATTTTTAATCATCTTTCTTGAGCATCTCGCTGGATCATAAATAACAACTTTATTGCTGCATAAATAACATAAAATACATATTTTTTTGAAAGTTCAATATTTGAACAATAAATATAACAGTCAAAAATTTGAAAGGTCCATAAAATTTTAACCAAATGTCTCATTAAGACTTTTGACTCGACCGCGTGCAGTGCTCTGCATAAAAATTCTTAAAATTAATTATTTTAACTAGTAATAAAGCTCATTTATTAAAGAATTAATAAACAGTGAATTGTATTAAAGAGTTTAAAGTACGAGGAACTGTAAAAAGGTGAGAATAAATATAATTTAGGGGTTATGGACAGCCAAGCAGGCAAAATGTTCAATAATGCATTATGAATGTCAAAATATTGTGATAAAATTGAATTTATGTGTTCTTAAGAAAATTTACAAGCAGAAGCATAAAATTTTCTTTTTCAAGTTTTAAATAAAATACATCAAATCTAATCTAAATTTATACACAACTTTATTGAGAAACGAACGATAAAGTAAGCTTAATTAAATTACAGTCAGTAAATGATGAATTTCATGTTAAAAGAGTGATTTTGAAAAGTATCAACAAATTTTCCCAATCAAATGTCGCCATATTTAAATCAGTACTCCATTTTTATCGTTAAGATCAGCTTGTAGAAAAAATTAATTTACGTATTTTTTCCGACCCCACAGCAACAATGTCTGATTCACCAGTAAAGAAAGGAAGAGGCCGTCCTGCAAAGGTATTTAAATTCATTAATTTTAATGTGAGTGACGCTACAAAAAAAAGTAATTTCATATAGGCAAAGGTTGAGGAAACAGCGTCACCCAAAGCAGCAAAGAAGGAAGAGAAGAAAGTTGAAGAAGTCGCTCCAAAGAAGGTTGAGGAAAGCACTAAACCAGAGAATGGAGCAGCACCTAAAAAAGGACGAGGGCGTCCTAGCAAAGGCGATAAAGCAGCCCCAAAACGACCAGCCAGTGGAAAAGGTTAAATTTGTGAATATCTTAAACTTGAATTTCATTTCTAATACAATCTCTTGTAATACTTTAGGTCGAGGTCGTCCCGCCAAAGCTAAAAAGGTAGAAGTCGATGATGCTGAAGAAGGAAACAGTTCGGATTAATTAATTCGTAAAGTCATATAAATTTAAACTCAAAACACAATACAAAAACAAATCTAAAATAAATGTAGAAAGTGTTTTCTTAATACAAAAAAAACAAATTTGGAAAACTATTCTCCATATTAATAATTATAATAATAATATCCATATTATGAACCATTTAGTAAGTTTAAGTAATGCATTTTTTATTTCGTAAATTTAAAATTCATGTAATTTTCTTAAAAGAGTAAATAATACATACAAAGGATTTATTTAAAAATGTAACTTTAAAACAAGAACCGCATTTTAAATAAAATTTTATCATTTCTTAAACACAAAAAATCTTTGTTTCGATCTCGTGTCAAATTGGTCGCATTTATTATTATTATTTGGTCTTGATAGACGCGATGTGACAATTATTACATCATGCATCCGTTAAATAACGGCTATCACACTTGAATTTGAATAATTCAATAGATAAGAGTTGATGTGATAAAGCTACAGACTGCTACATACAGCATTATCTTAATCGTTTGGGTTTGCATAACCGTGATATCTTTAAACTTGATTAGTCGTAGAACTGCGCTCGAACATTACGCAAATCATTTTTAATTTATACGCAATTAAAAGTTTCACGAGCTTACGTAATAAAATTGACGCACGTATTCAATAAGTTTACCTGAAATGACGTACGTAATCAATGAGTTTACCTGAAATGACGTACGTAATCAATGAGTTTACCTGAAATAACGTACGTATTTACTAAGTTTACGTAACACACGTAAACTCTTCTGAAAGACGTAATAAAAATTAATAAGAGTTTAAGTACATTTTCACTTCATGAAATGGTTTTATTAATTTGAAAGTGTTTACTACATTTTGCAAAAAGGTATGATAAATTTGTAATATTAATTTATTGTAAATTAGTTTGCTTGAAGGATAACACATAAGGATATTTTTCTCTGAACGATGAAAGAAATTCTTCCAATTCTTTTTCGCAATTACCTAGTTTGTTGCTCTTCAGTAAATCATGAATGAGTAGGGCATGCTAAAAGATATTAGAAATAAATGAAATAATTATGTCAATGTTTTTAAAACAATAGAAAAGTGAGAATAAAGTTAAGGATAAGATTAATGTACCTCTAAATAAAAACCGTCTAATTTCGTTGATGTTTTCATTAAATCAATTGCTTTAGTTTTGTTATTTTCAGGCGATGTTTCATGTAAAATTTCGGCTGCGACTATTAATGCGTCAGGATTGTTTGGATTTCTCTTAATATAGTCTTCATTTAGTTCGACTGGCTTCTTCTCAAGAATTGGCAATTCCTCTTTTATTTCCTGTAGTAAAACTTGCTTCAAGATTTCATCGGCTTCAGCCAAATTAGTTTCAAGGAGTTTAATGAATTTAAACACACACATATGCAGTGCTGCAGAGTTTGGATCAATCGAATATGCTTTCTTTAGTGCCTTTAGCATTATTAGAACCTTGTTCTTGCGATAATAAATTTCAAAAGTCATTAAATGAGTCTCAATTAAGCCTGAAGATAGCATTTGAAGAGGCTTAAGGAATTCGATTGCCTTTGACAGAGGATCTTCGGTTCTTTCCAATTTCTCTGGGATCAATTCATCAAGCTGCGGTGCTTCAGGATCACCACTGTCTTGATTTTGCTGTTGTTTTGATTTATTATATTGTTCTTTCTTCTTTTCAGCTTTAGCTTGTTGTGCATTCTCAACTTCTGCCTTCTTCTTTGCCTTTCGCTGCTTATTTTTCAACTTTTTCAATTCAGCAGGCGATAAGTTTTCTTTTTGATCAAGTATAGAAAATACCAATGCAATTAGAATATTGAATTAGCTTGTTAGCATAATTAAATACACAATAAAAGAAATATTTACCCAAATCGATTTCTTCCGTTGCTGAACTTGCCTTCAATGGCTCATCAAATAGCTTTATGTACACCTATGAAAGAAAAACTGTTAATGTATGCTAATCAAATCATACCTAGTGCGTTTTTAATTATTGGAAAACGATCTTTTAAAATTTAAATTCCAGTGAATGGTTTAAATTTTGAACTTTTCTTATTCAAATGTTTAAAAAACCTTTAAAATTTGAAATGCTGGCAACTTGAAATGTATTATAATTTACCTCGATGGCACATTTAGCCGCTTTAAAGTAGAATGGATGGTCACGCAGACGATTTTCCAAACGAAGCAGGTCAACATAAGATCTGAGAGTCATCTTACGAATGCAATAAGTGTGGAAATCGAATTGATCTTCAACAATTTCGGAAAAGTGTCGTTCGATTTCGTGACATTTCTTGAGGGAATCACCGAGTTGGTTTAAACGTTTGTAAGCAAGTGCACATTCTGTTTGGAACCACATACATTGCATTTCATTTAAATTTTCCATGGCAGAGACTCCGTCTCGTGTAAACTTTGCACACATTTCTTCTGCTTCCTTAAGCATGTTTGCACGTAGCATATACTTGGCACATTTAGAATTAATATATCTATCAGCCGTATCTAGTGATTGTGCTTCATCCAGCCATTTATAGGCCTCAATTGGATCTCCAGCATGTTTGAAGATTTTACCTTTGACGACAAAGAGTTCAATTAATGTGGGCGTATGTTCGATTGCTGCATCCACATAATCTAGTGCTTTTTGAGTATTTTTCTGATAGTCAAAATGTTGTGCTAAGAAATAATATGTCCATAATAATGCGGATGCTGGTTCTTGCGCAAGTCCCGACTCAAAATCATCTTTGGTAAAATGTCCAGACGCTTTAAGATTCTCGCAAAATTCTAAAGCCATCTTTTCAATTGTCGATACTTTATATGAATCTTTATATAATGAGCGAATATTCACAAATAATGGTGGAACTCCTTTACGTAAGTTCTTTTTCAAATAATCGCTAATCAGCCCATCGAACGTAGTCCCTTGAGCTACATCCAAAGGCAATCTTTGAACGCACAAAGACTTTGGAAATTCCTTTGACATTTCCTTATAAAATTGTACAGTTTCATCTGAACTTTTCGTTTGTTTTGCTTCCAAATAACACTTGAAGTATTCTGCATTATCTGGATTACGTTTTATGAGATCCATATATGTACCAATAGCTTTATCATATTTTTTAATTTTAAGGCTCAAGCTTCCGACTATTTCTTGAACTACAACTTTGTCTAAAATTTGTCCTTGATGCTCCTCTAAATGAATTAAAGCCTTTTCAAGATTGCCCGATTCTTGAATTACTTGATTTTGATACAATAAAAATTCGCTATGCTTATAATCATAACTTTCGACAGTCTGTGATGTTCTGAACGTTTCCATTATCTCGTATGCCGTGTCAAAATCATTTAACAAATGATAGCTCATAGCAAAACCAATCCATGATGCATGCTGTGAAGGACGTAGCTTAAACAACTGATGACGAGTTTCCTAAAATAACAGTAACACTAGTAAGACTCTGACAGTTTAAACCGCAAAAATAATCTACATACTCTATATCCTTCCAAATCGCCCATTTGAATTTGGAGCAGTGATAAATCTCTTAAAATTTGTATATTATCTTTTTCCCATTTAAGAGCATTACGATAGCACTTGATGGCCTCATCATATCGCTTATCTGAGCGTTGTAGAAGCCCATAAACATGCCAACAGACATGAGATCTAAGGTCATTTCTTAGTCCTCTGCGAACATGATCATACGCTTCATCTTTTCGTCCCAGACAATTTAGAGTCAAGCCTTTCATAGCTAATGTCTCACCATGTTCCGTATGTTTTGGATTGGTGAGAATTTGCTTTGCTAATTTTAGGCCATTTTTATACTGCTTCATTTCATAGCATTTCTAAAACATAGTTTAATTAAAATTAATATGAACATATAACCTCGAAACTGGATAAAATTGCAGATATTAATGTATTTGCATAAATCATATTAATAAACAGTTAAGTACACTTGTCTTTTATGTTATCAACATGATTCATTCTTGAACTATTCCACTTAATTAGATAAAACAGCTATGATACATTCTTAGCGAATGTAAAATCATTAACTCACCAGAATCTTCCTGAAAATTGCATTTTCCTTTGGCGGCAATGGATCAGAGCTCGGCATTTTTGCTTCTTTTTAAACCACTCACTTATTTTTCCTTACAATTGATAGTTAAATTAATGTTTTTATGTAAAATTCTCAATTTTTTTGCAAGCACTGAAAGTAATGCCCCCTGTTTTTGCACAGTAAGTTACCCCCTCCTTGTCAAAAATTATTTTTTCAAAAATATTCCAACCGTTATTAATAATACATGTCTTTGATCTGATACTAGTCTTGTTTTTACTTATGAAATGACAGACATCATGTTGAGAATCGTGATTTAAATTACTATTATGCTAGGTATTGTACATTTAGAAAAATAACTGAAAATTATTATTCAACTTAAAGTTCAAAGTTTGAACTCCACAAATTTGAATTTTAAAAAACCGATAGATTTTTAAATTCTTAAAAACCAGTAAAAAAATTATAAATGCTTCCGTTTCCGTCGTATTTTGTGTAACATTTATTCTTCGCATTGCGCATTGGCTGTATTTATGGTAAATTCATTGATCTGAGTATCAGACATCTTCAATTTATGTCTATTAAATTACTACAAGCGAATCAATTGATTTGGTTTATTTCTATACCTAAAGTTTATGTTTAATAGATATAGAAATTATGCTAAAATAAAAATCTTTATGATGCTCGTAATGAAGTTATAAAATTTTTCTTATAAGATAGCTTCACATGCTGATCTTTAAAGTTCCGAGATTTAATAGTACTTACATTTCATTACTTTCTTCTATGCCCATTGTTCCTTCAAATAATTTTGCCAATAAAAATGGTAATAAAATTCACTGAGGTCAAAGTATTGCTGTTAATGAGCATGGCTAATTTTTATACCAATGAAAATAAAAAAATCACTGCCGAGGTGTTTGACTCATAATTTTGACGTCGGTAATAAGTAGCTAGATATACGATACGTTAATTGTGAAATTTATAGTATCTGCAAAATACTTTAGGATCAAGAAATTTTTGAAAAGGATGGAACTCAAAAGAGGTGAGGGACTTAAAAATAAAGCTTACAGAAGTTTCATTATATCATTTAAAAAAATAAACTTGCTGTTCTGAGCAGTTCCGACATTAAGATCAATAACTGAGTGTTAAATGTGTTCCAACTAATGCTAATGACGAGTGAGCCGTCCTTAACTGTTTAAAGTGAGAAAAGAACCACATGTTTGATGACATAACTTACTTGTACCCCAACAAAGATAGGCTGTAATCTTCATTGTCAAGAGATATGATTGAAAAAGAACCAAGCGAAAAAATTCCAATGTTGAGTTCAAGATTTCTTAGACATTGTTAACAACCTCGAGTAAATTAAATGATTTATTTGATATCGTCAGTTTATCATTGATCACATGACTTTTTGACCTATTTAGCTACTTACTTTGAAATCATACAGAGACACTTAAACGACAGAAGAGTGTCAAACTAATGTATATCGATAAAGGTAGGAAGGAAAAGAAAGGTAAGAAAATTAAACACTTGAACATTTTATGATGAAAATAAATAGTAACATCTTCAAGTTGGAGAGCACATTTTGCAAAAAAAAAAAATAAAAATAAAAGTTTAAGAAGAATGAGGAGATTTTCTACGAAACTGACAAGTGTGTAAATTCATTGAAAACTGTTATTAAAACAGTTTCTTATTGTTATGTTCATTAGAAATATTAAATTGTGTTTTTATTATTCATCTTCTCCTTTATTGAATTTTAATAAGTGTTTGGAAAAGAATAACAATAATCTATCTATCCATCCAGGTCGTATAGATTCTCTCTTACATTATGTTGTTTATTTTTCTATTAAGTGTGTATAAAGAATATCCAACAACAGAAAAAAATGCTGAGTAATTATATTATTTTAAAAGATATGTTTAATATTTAGTGCGCTTTTAAAATGAGAAGAGAAACATATAATTTTGAGTATTTTTTATAATTCCTTTATGATATCCGACATCACATTTTCACTTTTAAACTCGGCACAATGAGACGTAAACTGACTTCAAAGGGAAGCATGTTTCTGAAAAACGAGAATAAAAGTATATGTAACGCTCTGTGTGTAAATTGAATTATTAAGCAATTTTGTTCCTAAAAGACTCGATATAATGCAAAAACTAATTCATTTTTATTTTACAAAAAATAAGGAAAGAGAGAAGCAACGACGAGAACAATGAAAAAAAAAACACACAGAAAATGTTTTTCCTTAAGAGGCTTATCATTTTATTCATTTCAGTTCACATACACCATATTGTGCAGCATGAAGACTTTTTAAGTAATACCTAATTTTTTGGTGAAATGAAACTCGAAGGATTATTGCTGTTCTTAAATTAAAAAAGTTTGAATTTTATTTAAAACCTTCCAAAAGTTGAATAATTTCTTGAATTTGTATGGTTTTAAAACATTCAAAATTTGGCATTTAAAAAATTGAAAGGCATTTAAAACGCCATTAAACTAAGAATTTCATTCGTCTATTCATTTGTGTGTGATTCTTAATCGTATTAAGAGATTTACATTTTAATTAACTTTGCTACAATTTTTTAATCATTTTATTTTTAAAATAATCGCTGAAAACTCAGAGAAATTTTTTAATTCGTGCTGCAAATAAATAATACAGTAATTATATCGTATTTTTCGTATTATTAAACATCAAAAAATAATAATACAACAATTGGGAATAATTTTCTGCTTGAGGCAATGAACATTGAGCATATTGAAACGTACTTGAGGGGTCGATGAATCCCATGAGATGAATGATATTCGGATTACAACTTGTGGTTGTAGGATAATAGAAAATGATCCTTGTTAATCGTATTGTCAATACAAAAGACCTAATAATATCAAATTCTATTGACGAAATTTCATTTTAAATCTTCTTTTCTTGCTGAGTATTATTAATAATTTTAAAAGAATTGAAATGTAATCAAAATAGAACCAAAAAGAAATAAAGAAAGAGATAATCAGTTCTCGGTTGAGAATTTGGTTTCATGTCAATTGTTCAACATAATAAAACTTGCAATTTCACACAAAATAAAGTATTCTTGTTGAAATTTGCCACTTTTTGTGCTTCTTTTTGTGTTGTCGAGAGTTTTCTTAAATAAAGGAAACTAAAGCAATCTCTTGATCTTCTGTCCTATGAATAGAGCATTTTTCACTTCCTAAAAATTCTTTCTATTCTCATTCTCCTTCAATTTCAATAGTACCTACAAAATAATAATAGTTTCTATTATTCTTAAAATTGTGCTCGATTCTTTGAATCATTTTATTAACCAATCGCATTTCATGTAATTAGAAACAATTTTTTAACATTTAAAATTTCAAATACAAAATTGAATGAAATATAAATTGATGATGAATATGCTCAAAAAAATGAATAATGTGTTTATAGAAAACGCTTTCAATATTTTATTTTTCATCATGTTGTACAGCGACTCCTCGAGTTTTTTAATAAATGTTGTAACAATACGTCGAGGTATACACCTCTAATTTTGGTAAATAGGCAAATTGATTCAAACGTTTATGTTTGCTTTTATACATAAATATAGAGATGTTATTATAATCCGATGATCTGCAGGAAGGAAAAATGTCTGTGAATTTTTGTAGCCCAGACATTTGTAAGTTTTTGGATGTAGGTAATTTATTGAATTTTTTTTATTAACATCTTTCAATTTAAATTAGATCAATTTAATAAAAACTCTTTTCTTTCTAAATATTTGGCGTCATAAGTATATAATATTCAACAAGGAATAATATTCATTAATAGCTCAAAACTGAAACTAAAGTCATCAGAAAATTTGTCTAAAATCAAATCACTCGACTAGTAATTCGCATACTTAATCTAAATTGGTATTAAGCTGGATCCAAGAGTTATCATTAAGGTTAGAAAAAGTACGCTAAATAGAAATTTAGTTTCAAATAAGTTTTCTTATAAATTATTTCAGAATTCGTGTGGATTTGACAAGACAAATTATGGTTGAATTCAATTTTAAAGTATATTGCTTGTTTGAACATATTAAGCACAAATTAAGATAAAATATGCATATGAATCTGTCACAAAATCGTAATAAGTGGACAAACCTTTACCGAATTCTCAAAAATTAAATTTCTAGCAATTTCTTGAAAACTCAGACCATAATTTCAAGTTCACAAACAATTTGTCAGAAAGATCACGTTTTGTGACTTTTGTTTCATCTTAAAAAACTATTACACTTGCAAATTTGGGTCAATACTGAATCGTGAACAACATATTTTGGATATCCTATTAAATAAACTCGTTCATAGGTCATATTTACACATTAGTTGTTTAATGAAGAAAAAAAGTGCCGAAAAATCTTTCAATAATGCATGACAAATTATGTTTTGACTGATTCTATTAAGTTACATCAAATGAACCGTTTATTGATTTTTTTTTGTTAACTTCATAAACGATATCCACTCATGTACAACACGCCATTAAATCTTTTCCCCAAAAACTTCTATCGTGCATTACTTTTTTTCTTCTGGAAATTTCAAAATCATTGTTTGAGTTATAACCTGAATTGTTGAGCATATCACAATGACCCTCCATAATGATTGGTTTCCATAACCCCTCTATAAAGTGCAAGGTATATGTCGGACGTGCCTGGTAAATCAGTAACTAAGATTTCAATAAATTGTATTGTTATATAAATGCAGCACTGGAATTGCTTTTGCGTTTTTGGGTAGTTTTATTTTATTTTTTGTTGGATAGACTTTTCGTAGAGATTGTCTTTTTTTTCTTAAGACAATTTTTTTATAGAATTGGAGTTCTTTTTGGAACTACAAATTACCTTCCAAACTCTGTCGCAAATGCTGGACATCATGTTATGTGCCACTTTTAATTATATCTCAAAATGGATCATATTGGTTTTTGATTCTAGGGTAAGATGACATTTTGATCATTTGATCTGTTCCGCATCCTTGCTAAATACCGGCCCAGATTTAGAAATCCAAAAAGAAAAAAATAATTTTGACGGAAAACAACTTCAAATTCCTCAAAACTTGAGAGAGTTTTCGACGCGTTATGTATTAAAGATGAACATTGTGACTTTCATATGTCACACATTTTGAAGTTTTTAAATTATTTTTAATGGATTTAAATCCATCATCTTAATATGATATTTTAAATATAAAAATGATCACACCTAAAAATTTCTGATGATTTTTTTGACAATCTGTGTGAAAACTCTCTAAACTGAAGATAATTAGCTAATCTTTAACATTATTTCAAACAAAACCTGCTTCAGATGATTCAAAAATTGAAAATGTTTTGGTATTGAGCGTGACATTTATTTATCCACAAAATACCTTTCTTCAACCATCTTTTCCCCCCATTGAAAACCAAATTCTCATGAAATGAAGAAAATGGTCTTGAAAAATACGAAGCAGCCATAAATGGCGGATGTAACACACAATAAACAAATTTATTTAAAAGAATTCCAAAAAGATATTTGTTGTCTCTCCATTTTTGACTCCTCTGTTGACTAAACATATGTAGATAAACTATCGATATATGTGTGTTTTGACTTGTCACCAACTTGTATATTAATATAAGTGTCATTATATCAAGCATCTAACGGCGGGGGTATTAAGTGGAGTAGAAAAATGTTGGACTTTCTTATTTCACTGCATGATACAATATTTTGAAGTTTGTAACCATAAATGAAATCAAATTCATTATGCACACAGCATTTCTAGTTGATTAATTTGTATTCCAGCAATTTTTAACAGTATTTTTTTTTGTGTCTCCTTCCAAAACAATAAGCAATTACAAAAGACATATAATTTATAGAAATAGCAAATTATATACAATAAATGCTGTGCGTAGTCAGTAGCATAAAAAAAAATTTCGGGCATAGAAAACAGCACAAAGTTGACACAGTCGGAAACAATTAGAGTATGTTTTATTGAAAATCAAATGTTTTCTTTTCTCAACAATAAGCACATGCCAATTATTTTTCCGCGTAAAGGAACATAAATAAATAATTTCGAGTCAGAAAAAACACACCAACTTCTTCTTTTTGTTCTGAATATAAATTTTATACAATCATTTTTGAAATAATATAAAAAGTATTTCTTTCTCTATGACTGAACAATCAATTTCCCTAGAAATAAAACGGAAAATGCGTTAAAATATTTTTCTGGCAAATTTGCTTCAAATCAAGATGAAAATATTCTTTTGACTGTAAGACGATTGAGTTTTGTGGGTTTGAATAATAAAGCAAGTGAATAAGATTTATTGAACAACTGTTTGCTGCGCTGTTTCTTAAGTTCAATCTCTTCCAAACAAATGAATCGAAAGATTGTAAATTTGAAATTTCCTTAGTTTTATAATTCAAAGATTTAAGATAATTGGGCCATTGTAAATTTTTGAATCAGTGCTGTTAAGTTACTTGGTTTTTAATGATTTGAAACTTTACGGCCAATTTTACTAAAGTGGATTATTCTTGATTTTGGATTATCCACTTGAGTTTATAGGAAATATTTCCAGGCGCCCAAGGTTATTAAAAGATCTATTATATTTTCTGGGAAGAGAACTTTTCTACTTAAATTTACATATACTTAGAATTTTTATATCTTTACTAGTTCAAGAATTATAGCAAAAATTGAAGTTCATCTACTAGATTTGACAAGAAAATTGGAAAATTAATACTTCTTAAAGAAAAGCAAAAGTTTAAAGCATACAAAAATTTCAGGACTAGTCTATTATAATCCAAAATTAGAAGTACCAAAAAACTGAAGTGTAGTATTCAAAATCGAGGATAATCAACTTTAGTGAAACTGGTTGTTAATTTTTTATTGACCTTTGCGCGATTTTAAGATAAAAATTGGAATAATCACAATTATGATAAAATTTCAATTGTTTCCATAACTATCCTAAGATTAAAGATATCTTTTGGCAGCCGCCTAGTTCATTTATGCCGCTTATAAAGCTTATTTTTAATTCATCTATTTAAAACTAGTTTTTGATGCCTAATTAAGAACTATTCATAACATCTGTCTACACCATCCCATGTAATTATTTAAATAACTTTGATCGTAAAACCTGGTTAAGTCACACAAAATTCAAGTAACTTTAAAGTAGTTTCAACTAAACTCATTTTAAAAATATCTTAGTTTTGATCGAAGACGCTATCTATGCAAGGACATCTCTTTAAAAATACATCTGTCATCTTCTGAGATCATCGCTTTATGTCTTAATGTTATCCTTAATTCGAAATTTCGTCAGTTCCTTTTCAGCTTTTTAAATTCAATTACTGTTGAATTAGACTTCTCCATAGTCAAAATGTACAGACAATTGTGAAGAAAAAAATGTTTAAACAAAAAGTCTCGAGAATTTAAATAAATTTTGCTTCAGTTTGCCATTTGACGTACATTATGATTCCTAATTTTAACTTTGATGTCAATTACGTGCATTATTAAATCATCACCATGTAATAAAATTCTAGTCTATCCTTGTAAGGGAGACGACTTCTGTTCAAATTATTCTATAAATGTTTTCGATCGTAATTTAATTTCATTATCTTGTAGTTTTAGAATGTACCAAATGCATCCCCTACAGGCAAAATGCGAAATATGTATTTAATACATATTTCAAGCCTTACAACATCCCTTCATGAAAACAAATTCGATTGTAACTTAATATGTCATCATTGAGCAATAAATGACACATAATAAATTTGATTAAGCAAGCATTAGATTAGATGGCAATTAGATGCAGCTAGTTGAAAAACGTTTTTGGTATTGTAAGTCATAAATACTACTTTTATTTATTTTCCTTAATTTATTTGTCAAAGATAGAATGCTAGCTTCTGTGTAAGTTCACTAACATGGTTGCAGTGCCTCCAGCTAGTCACGATTATGGAATTTACAAATGTTTGTATTAAACTGAAATAACTATGCGACAATTTGTGAAGCACTGCAACTTTATATAACATAACCAAACTAGTAATAATGTGTAGACCTCCCTTTAACTGCTGTAAGTGTCTGGTTCGATGGGAATCGAACCCACGTCCTCAAAAGAGGTGATCAGAGATCCCTGCCACTCGGCTACCTAGGTACTTATCTCAATTCGGCAATCCGTCATACACATACAACCAGTTTCACAGTGAGCCCTATGCTCAGGTATATCTACTCTAGATATGCTCTTCAAGTCATATCATATTTTTACCACCAAATAAAATTTATTTTTTTAAATAAAATCAAACTTAACGTTTTTGAACAAAATGTCTTCTTTCTATAGTAATTTTCAGCACAACCTACATTTCTTAATCGATCAAATAAATTAAGTTAATAACAAAAATATTTATTATATGTTTTTTTAACAATTACTTCAAGTTCCTTTGTATTGTGCCTCACATTCTCAGAAAAGGAAATAGCAGCAATAATAACAGCACTAGCTAAATTATAACATACAAGAAAAAAATGTATCGAAATGTCACTATTGTAATGAAAGAATGATTTTTATCGTTTTATTCCTCGAGTCTATTGCTACTTACTTAATTTACACTCTTGTATTATATATTATATTGTTTTGTGTTTGATACATACACAATAAAAATAAATAAAGGAAAATCAAATTTCATTATGAAAAGGTGACGAACGAACAAACCTTACTTCTTTTATTTCCATTGCTATTCTCAATTTACTCTCCTATATTAAATACATGTTTTTTTGCTGTTGTTCGAGAGTAGCAGAGAACAAATAAAAAATCTTTTCGAAGCCACACCTACAAGGGAGTGGTTAGTTAACATATATAAATATTTTTTTTTTCTGTACATTATACAAGACAGGAGATGAAAAAGAAAGAAATCATGAAATAAAAAATATTTTAAAAATATTTATAAGTATGTAGCCAAACTGATTTCTTTCTTCTTTTATATTTTTTGTGAGAAAGAAAAATATTATTTAAGTAGGAAATGAGCAAATCAAAGCGAAATATGAAGAAATGAGATTGAATTGTTATGTACATAATTCATCTAAAATCGATATATATGCTCACTTGACATGCGTCTCAAGAGTGTATAAAAATCACTTTACATATATTTTTTACACGTTAAGTACCATAGAAGAAATGTATGTTTAGATTTGTTTGAATGCATTTTACTCACTTCTTCTTGTACCTAAAGATGAGATTCTCTCTTGCTATGTAGATATACTCAAGTATACAGAGAAATGCAAATTTGCGACTTGGGATGTGCGGAGTAAGTAGATATATATGCACAACTCTTGGTGTCAGCATAGGGAGAGAAAAAAATCTCATAGCCCGCACGACGAAAAATTCTTTTCTTTTCATTCGTTGTTTTCTTTTGTTTGTTTATGTGTGATGATCAAAAATAACAACAATATTGCGAGAAAACAAAAATTGAAACGAAAAACATTAGTCCAATCGTTGCCGTTGTTCACTCTATGCAGTTTTTGTTTGGTTAGTCTTGATGATAAATCATGTTGCTTGTATGTTGTGTTGTGTGTTGTATGTAAACACAAACTAAATACATCAAACAAAGTGTTAAAGAGAATGAATGGTTTTGTTGAATAACAACCGAGGCATTCACAAAAGTGTAGTGTTTACTTTATAAATCGTTTTTTTTTTTCTCGTTCAAAGTACTGATATACACTCCCATCCTATAGCCACAAGTCGGTCATTTATTTTTATTTTTTCGTTATTTTGTGACATTTCGAAGTAGCAGCAGTTTCACTTTTGAAGTTGTTGCTTAAATATATACAACTTGATTGATAAAAAAAAATATTATTTTTTTTTGCTTCCTTTAATAAACCACGGGATTTTTTTAAGGACGGAGAAATTTTAAAAACCATAAAATATTAATAAATCTGGACCTTGTGAAAAATCAAAAAAAAAAGACATCCACAAAACAAATGATTTGATAAAAATGTGCAGTAATAAAAAATATAGTAATATGAATATAAATGAGGATGTAAACCAAACTGTTAATAATAGTAGAAATGTGTCTGAAAGTGTCGAAATAAATCAAAATAGTGATGAGAAAATTTCTAGTTTTAATTCACCAAATCATTCATCCCATTCGACATCATCAACATCACCGATCTCTATTAATTCAACGTCAGATAAATCAATGGTGCCTAACATTAATCAACACACATTAGATATTCTTGAAAGATCATCAAATTTCCTATTCCCAGTGAATAATACCAGTGAAATTAATTCAATCGACAGATATAGACTTCAATTTTGTAATTATGCTATGTTAGAGCGAATGAGAAATCAAACAAATGCGGGATTACAACAATTCTATCAGCCATTTGCCGGATGTAATTCACAGCTTGCATTTTCATTCTTTCAAAGTCGCGTTTTTCAATCGGAAGAACCAAAGCCACAACATTCGTATATAGGCTTAATTGCGATGGCTATTCTTAGCACAGCAGATCAAAAATTAGTTTTGTCTGACATCTATCAGCATATACTAGACAATTATCCGTATTTTCGATCTCGTGGACCAGGATGGAGGAACTCAATACGACATAATTTATCATTGAATGATTGTTTTGTTAAAGCTGGTCGATCTGCAAATGGAAAAGGACATTATTGGGCTATACATCCTGCAAATCTTGATGATTTTAAAAAAGGAGATTTCCGACGGCGTAAGGCACAGAGAAAAGTACGGAAACATATGGGATTAGCTGTAGATGATAATGATGCTGATTCTCCTTCACCACCACCAATATCCTTTATACCGTCGCCTTCTCATGTACTACATAATTACCGATTTAATTTTTCAAATGAACATCAACAGCCATGGAATGCAAAATTACTTCAAAATGTATCCACAGCATACAGCAATTGTTCACGTAAACGACAATTTGATGTGGCATCATTATTAGCTCCTGACAGCGATGATTACATAAGAAATAGCTTAATATTAAATAATAATAAGAAAATACATTTAAGTCAAGAACAAGAGGATGAAGACATAGATGTAGTAGCAAATGATGACTCCATCACTCCTACATCATCAAATATAGACTCAAAGAATGAATGTTTAAACACAAAAATATCTCCATGGAATAACTTATCACCATTAGCACCAGATAATAAATTTTTAAACTATTATGCTACAGGACAATATCATACAAGTGTAAGATCATTAGTACTTAATGAAACCATACCTGAATCGTCCTTTTTTGAAAAGAATAAATATCTTGAACTTTTAGACAAAAAGTAATTGTGAAATTTAATTAAACTGCAAATTTTGAGCATGTATTATTTTATAACAAAATTCTATTATCGTAAAGTTATAAGGATGTTCATTCATGTGACGGAAAAATAAAACTTTAGTTGTACATTAATAAAAATTAAATGGATAATAAATGCTGACGAATTTATTGATCTTGAATTATTTTTCAGGACAGTTTCAATGAGTCCGACGGATTAGAAAGGACTTCTGTTTTAGTGGTCATGCAAAGGATTATTTCAAATATTTGACACATACAAATGATTCCAATAATAGTAAAATTGTAATTAAATTTCAACAAATTTTTGTCTGGTATATTCTAAGTTCTTAATCCAAAGAAGCTGTATAACAACAAAAAAACTAATTTCATTTAAGGAAATAATACAATCGCATGTTATGAAAACTCCACCAGAAAAAATGACTGTGCTGAATTCTAGAGGTAATCTGATTAAATGAAAAAGTCGTACAGCAACTTAATCTAAAGAACATTTTGAAAAAGATTTTCTTCATAATTCTTGTTGCTATGAAAAAGAATAGTTAAATAGAACTGCATGTAGCTTACAATGCGATTTATATTTATAATTTATGGTATTATTTATTCTACAATCCTGTGCTGAACGATTGTATGATGTCAAGTAAATGAAATAATGAATGCGTTTGTTCCATTGAAATCCTTGATTTAAATTGAAAATGCAGATTTTGTCAGGCAAATTCTGGATTGAAACTGAGGTAATGAATTAAACTAAAACGATTAGCAGTCTGAAATGTAGATTAAGGATTCACAGACAACGATTTTTGGTCAGTTTTCTTGTTTGTTGTGATAGAAATATCAAGTCTCAAATCTAGTGAAGTTATCAGATTCATTACTTAATGATATTGTTCAAAAAAATCAATTTCTCTTATCTAGATTAAAAACAATCTGATATCTCTTTTAAGAAGAAGTTGTTTAGTTTTGAAGAGCTCGAGTTTTAATTCTGCTTTTAGAATTGATTCGAAATCTAGAACTACTTTTCTAAAGCTTCAGAAAATCTAAACCTAAGTTCAAAATCTTCTTCAAAATTTCTAATGAAATGAAATTTTTATCATTTAGTTTAATAATGAATATCTAATGACACCACAAGTGCTTGGAATCAACTCAAATAGTATTCATAAAATTCTTGAGAATTCAATGGAAATGTTTCATGATTTTATGTTTCTTTTCGACTCCTTCTACATCCTTTAGCATAATGCACAACTAGTTGAAATGTTTATTTAAGATTCTTTTCTAAAACTCGCAATTTACAAGAAAAAAAGTGACCACAGAAAAAATATTTTGGTACATGGATGAAGACTTGAGACATTTTCATGAATGAACATAGCTTTAATCCTAATTCTTTAATCGTTTCCTTGTTTTTCTTTCTTCTTTGCTTTCCAAAAAAAAAATTCTCTTTTTTTCACAAAAAATCATTTTTAAACTGTTTATTTTACTTATGAGGACATTAAATCCAATTATTATGAAAACAATTTTTACTGCTGTCTTTTTTTTTGTGAATCGACCAATTGTATTCAAAAGAGATGTGAATAATAAAATAACATCCCTAAAACTTAACAAACATTTTCTATGCTTAAACTTTAGCTATTGATTATTCAAAAATCATAAATTGAAACTCCCATGAGATTCGAATAAAATTTGAATACAGTCTTTGGGTATAAGGAGAAAATTATTCCGTTCCTGCGGAGATAATTCGAGTTGAAAATTGTTTTAAATTTTTTTATTTGGGAAATCATGTTTGCGCATTCTGGATGGGTTACAATTTTTATACTAAGGAATTACCCGTCAAGCACTGGGTTTTTGGGCTTCTAAAAGAGAATAGCCATTCACGACTTTTTATTAAAATTAAAAACTAAAGATATTTTTAAATTTTCTAGATTTTCAGGTAAAAGAAACATCACGTGGAAAGACAAACAGAGTGAAGTCGAGATTGTATCAAATAGTCTTGTTACTTTTATTAAAACTTATTTTGAACTGTCTTGTTTGGTTGATTTGTATATCCGCGTGTATGGATCAACTGATTCAACTTTATCCACTTCTTAATGAATGGTACTTAAACGATCATTTAAATATAAAATCTTCAAATTTGTATGCAAAATTAAGCCAATATGTTTACAAATATTCTCGATTGCTGGACAAATCTTCAACCGGAGATTGTTAATTATGAATTTGTTAAAGTGGTATTGGGGTCGTTTTCTAGTACTACCCCTTACATCAATGATCGTTGGAGTTCATTTAAGGGGTAATTCAACTGTTGCTAAGGTAGTCTAGAAACTAGTCTCAAGATTATTAGATTTTTTTGGTATTTAAATTTTAAAAAAATTGCAAAAAAGTTTTAAATTTTTTTTAAATTTGTTATAAAAAATTTGCAAATTACGTCACGCAAAAATCCCGCTAAAGCGTGACGTAATTTGAGAACGGCTCCAAACATTTTTTTTAAAAAAAATTTCATTTTGTATAAAATCGCGCTATTCATCCAATACACTTAGCTAAGACACAAATTTAAACACAAACAGAATAAAAAGAATAAATTTATTCAGGGGTCGTTCACTTATGACGTCCGTAATTAACGGTCGTTTTTCAAAAATATTAATGGATTTCTAGGAATTTCTATTGTTCTTTTCTTGCTGACCCTCCCCCCCCCCCCCCGGACGTCATAAGTGAACAGCCCCTCAGAAATTAGTCGATTGTATGTCCAATTGACTTCCCAAACCCCAATATGCTGTAAATAATTGATTAAGATATAAGGCACATTCTTTATTTGTGATGTCATTAATTTATTTATTTTGAAATTTATCCAATTTCAATAAATTTGAAACATTAAAATTTTTTAAATTAGAAAATATAAAATAAAATAGAAAATATTAAAATTTTTTAATACATTTTTTTAGACGGAATGTGATTACAAAAACTAGATTTAATAGATTCAAATGTTCATTATTTTCTCTCTTTTTAAAATAACAAATTAATAAATTTCCTTGGTTAATGATTAGCCCCGAGTGACACAAAAATTGAAAGTCTGCCATTTAGTACGATTATGCTGCTTATAACGGAACATTTATGCAATAACTTCAAACTAATTCAACATTGAAAATGAGATTCATAATAGAAATTCCCTTGCCCAATTTTGGCTGTCTAATTAACATTTTTTTTTCTTCATTTCCGTGCCACTCAGGTATATGATGAGATTCACAAAACAAAAAAACAAAACGTTGTGATGTGTTTATGTCAGATTCAATTCGTGATATGCAACAAAAATCTCAAGAAAGTAAGAAGAGTCGTTCATAAATGATAATCATTTTTACGAGAGGAGAGGGGTCTATGACAAAGGAGTAATGCCACGATGACGTCACTTATGAACTCTCGACAAAGAAGTAGCTAGATTTGTCATAATAAGTATTATTCCTATTTGTCAAATTTAAATTAAATACGTGTTAAAAATTAAGCATGTAAATGCATGTACGCAATACTATTTTCGTAAAATAGTGAAATTGGAATGCATAACTTCTGTTATTGGACTGTTTGTAGTTAAATAGCAGAGTTTTTTTTTCTTCTTATTCGAGATTATGATTGAGATTATTATCTTACTATGCGTGTGTGTGTCTCTCTCTCTTTTTCTCAATGAGTTAATTTTGTTCATAATTTAAATTTTAAATTTTTTATTCTTGTGTAGATGGCTTCAAAATAATTCTTGGATCGGAATCGGCTAATAATTGACTTTCCTCAGCCATAATACTGCTAAAAATAGATGCGAGAATTTTAATGATATACACACTAATTATATTGATATTAATATTCAAAGACTAAATATTATCATACCAATCTTTATCGTGCATTAATTTTTTACGTTCTTCTTCATCCTCAAAACGTGGAACATCTGAGACGGAAACTTCATATTGTGTATGTGATACCAAAGGATCTGTAGACGGATTTAATGCCATAATGTTTTGTGTGCCATTATGGCCTTGCAGTTGACGTACGAGTCGATGCTTTCGTCGATCAGAACATGGACATATCATTATGCAATTTCTCCTCCAATGTTCAATCAGTTTTATGTATATGCCTGATAGAAACAATAAAATATAATATATTAACATGTCAAAATAATCCAATCATAAATGTATGTGATTTGTTACCCAATAAAACAAATCCTAAGGATGCAAAAAAGACCCCCAATATGATGAGTGTAATGTCAAACTCTTTTTCACGTGGAAACTCTGATGACATATCACCACCATCATTAGTCATTGAATCTTCGTAATCGATAGTTCCCAAACAAAAGATGACTAATCCAACTGCTAAGAATAATAAACCACCAATTAGCAGTAAAATTTTCATCCATGTCTTATGAAATATTATTTTTAATCGTGATGAGCTTCTTGTCTGTGCGATGAGAGAATTTGAGTTCTCGAATGTGACTGTCGTCGGCTGATATACTGAATTTGTTGGCATTTTTTTCCAATAATTTTTTTATTATTTTTCAATACTTTTTTCCTTTTCTTATTAAATATTTGATGAAAAACTTGTAATTTTCCTAATATTATGAATTTTCAATCATTTAACCGATCCATTCACGTGATTAAATTAATTGTTTTAGGATTTATAGCTTTTTAAATAACTTTTTAATACTATTTGGGACGTTTACTTAATCTTTAAAAAATATTGTAATGCACAATTCTTTTTTTCGTTCTATAATTTGTTTTACAATTATGGATATACTAAGTAATAATATCACCACACCTTATTGTCATCTATATCAACGCATTTCCACAAACTCTTTTCACTATTATCTTGATAATGCGCATCTGTAGTGATTTAAAGATATGTAGAGAATTTAATACAATTATTTTTTATGCTGTACACTTTTTAATCGACTTGTCACTATAAAAATAGCAATTTTTTCAATATAAATTTTTCTTTTGTTAAAATCGATCACATGTCACCAATTTAACGGATTTAATCAAAAAAAATTTGAAATTTATTTTCGAACACCTTTCGAAATTACTTTTGAATAGTTGAAAACTTTTTTGTTAAATTCTTAATTAAATATAACAAACCACAACATATAAGTGGCATGATTTCATGAAACATTTTACTTTTTAACCTTTTATTTTGTTTACAGCTCAACAAATAGCTGAATAAGAGTCATTTTTAAGAATTTTCAATTTCAGAAATTTGAATGTTTATTTTCGAAAGTTCAAAAAGGTTCAAAGATGAATTTCGAATTTTATAAAACCGTTGAATTTTTATTTGTTGACTAATGCTCTCATTCATACTGTTTTAAGAAATATTTTACACTCGTGAGAATACAAAACAAAAATAATCTTGTAGTCACTTAACTTTCTAAATCTATTCAGGAAAAATTCAGATAAACATTTAGATTATGGACAAATTGACAAAAATAAAGCTCAAGAGAAGCTTTCGTAAAAACTATTGTACAAAAACTGATTTTGCAATTTAAATTTGAAACGACAGTTGTAAAATAAAAAATAATTTGTATCACTAGTTTTGACTTTACTGAATAATATAGCTTCAATTTTAAATTTAATAATGTTTTTTAACAATAAGGTTACATATTGTGGTCGAAATAAGTCAACGAACAGCGTTTAAATAGTCAATAAAAACAATAACAAAAGAAGTAACGGTTATTCGGAAAATTTGAAATTTCCAAAGCAATTTTTTTGCAGTGAATTTAAAAATTAATTAATTAAACTACTTAAAACCACTTAAAAAATCATAATGAGTGTATTAGAAATTACTGATGATAGCCACTTTCAAGCTGAATTACAAAACGCTTCAATTAAGCTTGTAGTTGTTGATTTTACCGCAGCCTGGCAAGTTTTATTATTCTGCTTAATCATCGTCTAGATCTAATTTGTTAAATGACTTAATTTTACAGGTGTGGACCATGTAAAGCTATTGCACCATTCTTTAATTCATTGCCAGCTAAATATCCGAAAGCAATCTTTCTTAAAGTTGATGTTGTAAGTACTATTTTATGTGAGAAAATAGCTCTTGTTCCTTAATGCAACAATGTCTCTAATATCTTCAGGATAAGTGCGGTGAAACAGCTGGAATGCAAGGCGTATCAGCAATGCCTACCTTTGTATTCTATCGAAACAAGTCAAAGATTGATAGAATTCAAGGAGCTGATGTTAATGCATTAGAAGCTAAAATTAAGCATCATTATGGCGCGGAAGCTAGTAGCGGTGAAGAGGAACCAGAATATGGTCAAGGATTAATGGATTTAACAACATTCATTATGAAGAATATGTGTGAATGTTTAAATGAAAGCGATGATCATACTTTTCAACATTGCTTAGATAGCGGATTTTTAGCATCCGATTGCGACGAGCAGTTAATTATTTCGATTACGTTTAATCAAGCAGTCAAGATTCATTCTCTCAAGATTAAAGCACCTGCGAAGGAAGGGCCAAAAACTGTTAAATTATTTATAAATCAGCCCATAACGTTTGGCTTTGATCAAGTTCCAGGATTAGCTCATCAGGAAGTCGAATTTACGCCTAAAGATTTAGAAGGAAATTTAGTAAATCTTCGCTTTGTGAAATTTCAAAATGTACAGAACATAATTCTCTTTATTGAGGACAATCAAGGAGGTGGTGAAAGGACTGTTATTGAGGAATTGAAATTTATTGGCGCGCCAATTGCAACTACTAAAATGGATGACTTTAAGAGAATTTCTGGAAAGAAAGGAGAAAGTCACTAGACAACAAACATGTACTGCTACATTTTATATTCAATCTTTTCATACATACGAACTGCTGAAAATCATTAAAATAATAATAATAATAATAAGTAATACAAGCGGATATATTTAATCTGAAATAATTTCTTTAAAGTTTTTTGTTTTATTTGTTTCTTAAATTATATGAGAACACTAAAAATTAGAAAAGAATGGAATTAAATAAAAGATTTTTCATTTTTTCTTGAAATAAAGAAGAAGAGATTTTTTTCTTAAGGATAATTATTACAAAATAGAGTTTTTAGTAGTAGTATCATCTAGTTTAGGTTTCTTTATTGAAGATGGCCCAAAATCTTCATCGTCATCATCATTTACGTTCTCAGAAATCTCGGATTTGTCTGAAAAGCTGCTGTTTGCTGTTGTTTCAGGTGAAATGAGTGACAAAATTTCATTTTCGTCGGAAGCTTGTATTGGCGACGCCACATTCTCCATATCATCACCTTCGCTAAATTCATCAGAAATATCTGAATCGTCGTCGTCAATGTTATCTAATGTAACTTCAGCACCATGAAAAATGTAGCTCCGAGAATTTGGTGAAATTCTGGCATAAGAATTCGAAGGCAATAAGCTTGAGAGATTATCAATATTCGAAGAATGAGCATCATGTTGGGGGATAGGATTCTCTGTTATATCATTTCCTGGCGCTACTTCCTCGATTATTTTCTTTGATGGAAGTGTTACTGTTACTTCCTTTAAAAGACAGCTTGCATCACATGTTTCTTCGTATCCGTTGTTTTCCTCGATCCTAAAAAAGAGAAAGTTTTAGTACTATACAAGTGAAAATAAGTTGATAGATTGGACGTAAACTGATTATGAAATAAAATTGTTTTCTAGGTATACGAATTATTTTGACGTACGTTTATATAACGTATACGTAAGATTTACGTACGTTATTGCTTCGTATACGTAATATTTTTACGTACGTTATTGCTACGTATACGTAATATTTTACGTACGTTATTGCTACGTATACGTAATAGTTTTACTACGTTATTGCTACGTATACGTAACTTCAATGTCTTGATTAAAGAACTGTGAACTTACATTTTGGAAATATGATTAACAATAATATCAGAATCTCCGAAGAGATTAACGTCAAAGTTCATGTGTGGCAAAGGTTCCCGATTTATCAGAATTTGGGGAATATGAGATGCTATGAGATTTGGAATCATTGCGACTGGCTTAACTTTGAGCGATGATCCAATAACAATTAATAGGTCACACTTGTGCCTGTCAGCATCGATGGATTCATGAAAATCATCGGGTAATTCCTCTCCGAAAAATACAATTTCTGGTTTAAAAACTCCCATTTCCACTAACTGCTTCAACTGCTCACTGTTTTGTGTTTCGTCTGCCAAATTCTCGTCTATGTGAAATGTTGTCGTTACATTCTTGTTGCAAATATGACATAGTGGAATTCGTTGTTGAAAAATGTGATCACGAATGTCATCTCCACTTATTCGATATCTGCATTTAGTACAGCGAGCATACTGAAATGATCCATGACATTCGACTAATCTCGAGATGTCTGCAATTCTTTCTAATGTATCAATATTTTGTGTATAGTTACGAAGGAGAACTCCACGATCTTCCATTTTCTTAATAAACAAATGAGATGCTGAAGGTTTAAATTGCCCCGGGTAGATTTCACGTGCGAACTTGTAGAACGGACGAGGATCTTGTGTGAAATATTTAATATCAAACATACTTTGTGGATCCGGTAAATTTGGATATTCGCGCGATAGACGACTATATATACCATCTCGTGAGCGAAAATCTGGAATACCACAGCTTACAGACACTCCTGCGCCAGTAAGGATAATAATGTTTCGTGCGAATTTTATCAAGTGAACAGCATCATCAAAACTACGAACATTTTCCAATCGATCCCTTTGTGGAGTTATAGCTAATGATATAATTCGCCATAACATTGCCTCGCTCATATCCTCTGGAACATCAAAATTGTGAAGTAAGTTCTGAATTATAATCCTTGGATTCATGCCTCTTTGAATTTGCTGACGGACCTAATTAGAGATAATTATATAGTCAATATATGTATTTGGAATTGTGCAAATTGATATAATTACCCAGTTATATACACTTGTTGTGTCCACTTTCTTGACATTTTCCGAATCATCATAGTCCGAGTCGTCACTTTCATCAGAATCATCCTCATCATCAGACATTTGATATGGATTTATAATCTTTGAGGATTGTTGAGCAAAAGTCTCTGATGTATTTTCACTACTGCCTTCTTCATACTGACTATAATTGCCGGAATCGCTCGTTTCTGTCATATCATCAGTTTCTAAAAAGCCATCAAATGTGTTAATTACAGTACATTTTTACTAGTTTTTTATTAGAAAAATTTCGAGAAAATCTTCAAATTTTGTTTACAAACAAACAAATTGCAAAAAGTTCAAAAATCTACTAAAATTCATTAAATTCCACTTTATTACATACCTTGTATATTATCTAAATCATAAATATTTAAGTTTTTACAATCTAATGGGCCTTTTTTTAAATCTAAATTTTTAGATTTTTCTATATCCTCCATTTTTTCTTCAGGGGGATAAGTTTTTTAAGGAAAACCACTCAAGAGACTGCAAAATTTGTGAAATTATGCTATCCCCCTATTGTGCAAGTCCAAATGCACTATTTTATCTATTCACACTGTCTTTACTTCCTTAATTATGCTTTAATATCTATTTTATTAAAAATCAACCCCTTTTCCAATTGTTTATAAACTTATCGATTGAATCGGTTTGCACGTATTTTAAATCGGTTCTTACAATTTAAAATTTCAGCCGTTATTAAAATTTGAATATTTTTTGACGGTTACATTTTTAAAATTAAGATTTTTGATTGGTTTTAAATTTCTTTCACAAAGGTGCTATTGAGTGATCAGCATATAAGTTGTGGTGTGAATATAGCTCGTCTAAAACCAAATTAGCCACAAAACGTAAAATTCCCCTCATGCTAAAATAGCAAATTTAAAATTTAACAAATCGGTGAAGCTAATATTAAAATTATTATATTTTAGAAATCATTAAAATTTATTATAAAAACTTTTTAAAAATATGGACATTTGAGATTTGAAGTTATTTAAAAATGATTCAATAAAAAAATCACAAGAAAAAAGGACAAAATAGGTAATTTTGTTTAATCATCTAAAGGAATTTCCATCCATACCAAAATTGCGCAATCGCAAGGATTTTCTGAACAAAAAAGGATTTCATTTTTTTCCACTTTAATGATATCTTATCTTTGTGTAATTTTGTGAATAGATCTTAATTTTCTTCGGTAAGTTTTATTAAAATTCCGTACCCAAAACTTTCCCGAAGTGAGTGATGGTTTTAATAAATTTAAAATTCTCAAGAAAAGCTGTTTAAAAAGCTTTTTAGTCTTTTGACATTTTCCTTGAAAAGTTTTGTGGAAAATCTCATTATTTTTTTTTTAAAAAATCATGAGATTTTCGTGATGACTTTATAGTGGTACCATTAATCAAAATCACATTAAAAGCATGTTGTACATAAATAATGTATTATTAAAACTTCCTATATAGGAAAAATCGATATCAAATTTAGTGGATCAAAAAAAAGTATTCAAAAAAATAGCAAATAGGCGTAATAACAAAATGTCTTCTGAACCTGATATCGATAATTATCATCTTGGATGCTTTCAGCAATCATCTAACCATCATAATCCAAACATGCAGACAAAAAGAAGATCATCGTATAGTAATAGTCACTTCGCTCAGCCGTTGAGTAGTCAAGGGATCATATATAAAGATTCATGTTCTATAGTTAGTTCACAGGATAATTTGGGGTGCTCCCCATCTCATTACGATTGCTATGGTAATCGTCCGCAATTAAGATATGAAGAAAATATTTGTTGTATACCGCCATCTCCAGCCCCAAATAGTGACAGATTTGTCATTGGAATTTCCGCTCCGCAACATAGATTAATGGTTCAGCAACAGCAACAACAAAGAACAATGTCACCAAGTTCAAGGTAATCATACTATTTTTATCTTTTCCCATCATGTGTACAATAATTTCCTTTAATCAACAGATATCGTGTTCAAGATAGATATCGTGATGTCTCATCACCAGGACATTTTCTTGTAAATAGCACTCCATTATCATCAAATGATAACTATGCAACATACTTGTCGTCAGCTGTTCATACACCAGTTAAACGTTATATCCCCACACCACCTTTATGCACCACTGATCAGGTTCAATATAATGATCAACCAACATTAAGCAACCCAGGATATCATCTTTCAGTCTCATCCACACAAAACTCATTAAATCAAATTGGCTCATCGCAAACATTAAAGCCACAAAAATCAAGAAATTCATCGCAACAGCAACAACAACCACAAAGCTCACAATATCGCATTAATATGAAATGTTGCTCCGATAAACAGCAAATTACTTCATCAACTTTACCATTAAATTCCTCGAATACTGATCACTATGCAACAACACCAAGAATTCGATCGAATATGAGTAGCATGAAAAGTAATCAGTCAACTGCTTCCAATTCCTCATCATCGAGTGCAGCATGCTGCTCTCAAACACAATCTATAATGAATGCTCCATATATTTCACGCGATTATTCTACAGGAATAACTAAAGTTATAACACCAGTAAATATGATGAATCAAACGGATCAATCGTGCATCAATTGTCGTCGAACAACTGGTGTTCATCAACAAACGCAAACAGGTCCTATTAGGTATGCTACTCTGTTTTTAATTAATTTTTAAATAAATAATTAAAATCCTTTGTTTAGTCCAATACCACCACAGCAGTTGACGTTGTCTGCCATACAAGACAGTCATCAATCTCAATCACCAATTAGTCCACAACCATCTACTCATTCGATGGCATCTGCAAAGTCAGGAGAACAGACTTATTCGTCATCAGTTCCACTTCCAAAACAACCCGAAAAGATTGAGGAAGAACCAACTATAGCACCTCCACCTGTAGTTTTCGCAAATAAGCCACTCCAACAAGCAACCACACAACAGGAACAATCATCAATGTCACATTTACCTGTTCAGCAAGAGTCATCAATTACAGGCAGTAATCGTTCATTCGTTTTTCAATATCATCACGATTCATCATCAAATTTACTGGTTAATTCGAATGCTAATCAACGTAATATGTTACAACAACAGCGCCAACAAAATCCATCACGATATTCACGAAAACAAAAAGTTAAAGATTATGTGAAGCGAGAGATTGCAAAATTTTTCGGCGTAGATATATTGAGTGAGGAAGAAGAACGCATAAAATGGTTTGAGAGGCAAAAACGTTTAGCAATTCGATGCTTTGGACAGCTTCGTGATGATATGGATTGTACAGGTTCACCACGTCATCAAGGTCGGAATGATCAGCAGTTGGGATATAGACCTGATATTTTACCACAAAATACAGATGAATCTGAGAGAACTCATTATAAAATTGAAAAGAAAGCTTCAGTTGCCACTATGATGTGGAATGGAGTTTCATTCTTGGCTAGTCGTCGTCATGTTAGAAAACAGAAGCAATGGTCACGATCATTTGCTCCAGCACACGTAAAAAATAATGATGATAGTGACTTGTGTGATGGGATATCTCCTTTACCGAATGATGAAACTTTTTTTGATTCACCAAATGCAAATTCTGGCAACAATCAGGATGAATATGGATATAATCGTCAGTTGTATTCTACACCAAGCACATCAGTTCGTAGTAATGGATGGCAAATCAAGTCTAGTCAACATGAACATGAACTTATTGCAGCAACTGGTATGCGCCCTGGAACTCGAATTTCAGCACAATTGCTTGATGGAATAATGGATAATTCACGTCGTCAAGTCACAAATGATATCAAGTTATTGAGACCAAATGAATTGGATGATCGTCATGATTATAGACCATTTTTTACATACTGGGTTAATACCGTTCAAATTTTGGTTTTAGTCATATCCTTAATTTGCTATGGTGTTGTATCTTTTGGTATCGGAATGGAACAAAAAACTGGTCAAGTAATGGTCACAAATTTAAACTTGCAACAAGTTTCTCACCAAGAACAGCGAAATGTTTGGATTGGACCGCGCTCAATGGATTTAGTTCATTTGGGAGCAAAGTTTGGAGGTTGTATGAGGCGTGACGCAAGGGTTTTGGATGTAATAGCAAAAACTAAGAGAAAAGAACGAGAAACGGCTTGCTGTATTCGTAATGATGATTCGGGATGTGTACAAACTTCGCAGGCAGAATGTTCAGTCGGTGGATTATGGCCCACGCAGAAAACTATATCGACATGGAAGAAGTGGTCTCCCGGTGATGGTAAAATTGCTTTCTTCTTAATTCCTAAATTGATGAAATTCATTATCGATAATTTTGTTTTTTCTTTTCTTTTGTAGGACCTGGCGGTAGAATTTCAGGGTCAGTTTGTGGACTAGATCCTAAATTTTGCGACGCTCCACAGAGCTTTGAATGGCCTGATGATATTACAAAATGGCCCATTTGCCGTAAAACTAATTCATTTTCTCATCGCTCACGTCTGAAAGATCATACAGCTGAGCATATGGTTTGTGAAATTATTGGACATCCCTGCTGTACTGGCGTTTATGGGGAGTGTCGCATAACTACTAAAGAATATTGTGAATTTATTAATGGATATTTTCATGAAGAAGCATCTTTGTGTTCACAAGTAATAATGGCTCTAATGATTTAAATTTCTTATGATTAATACTATTTTAAAATTCATTGTAGGTTTCGTGTATGAGTAATGTCTGTGGAATGTTTCCATTCTTTTCACATGATGTCCCTGATCAATTTTATCGTCTTTTCACGTCACTTTACTTACATGCTGGAATTTTGCACTTGGCTATTACAATTGCTTTTCAGCATATATTTCTCTCAGATCTTGAACGACTCTTAGGGCCATTAAGAACTGCCATAATTTATATAGCATCTGGTATTGCTGGAAATTTAACTAGCGCTATTTTCGTCCCTTATAGACCTGAGGTAGAAAATCATTATTTTGTTTTTTCGTGATCATATCTAGTAACTGTTATGAATATGTAATATTTAGGTCGGACCATTAGCATCCTTAGCTGGCGTAGCTTCATCACTCATGATAATTTTAACATTCTGTCATTGGAAACAATTGAAGAAGCCCTATTTAGCATTGATCAAATTACTACTTATATTAGCATGCTTATTCGGAATGAGTTCTATGCCTTGGCAGCTTAACTTTGCTGGCCTTATAGGTGGCATAGTCTTTGCAATTGCTTTAACATTTGGACTCGTTCCATTTGTAAGCATTACAAAATACAATCGAAAATCGAAGGTAAGCTTGCATCAAATTTTAAATCATATTACAGTAATTAATAAATTTCTTATTCATTTCCTTTAGATAAATTTAATTTGGTCTTCAATGCTATTCCATTTATTCATGTACATTGTCATGTTTATCATATTTTATGTATTCCCATCTCTGTTTTCTTCAATTGGATTCGTCGGAATCGGACATTCAAGTGACCATTTCGAAGGATATGATGAACATACTATGAGTAATAATAATAATAATAACAATAATAATAATCAATTTAATAGAGTCATAAACAATTTTAATGTTGCTGGTGGGATAGTTTCAAGTGTACGAAGCATTTCTTCTCAATTTCATTTGACACACAAAAATTTACATTAAGATTTGATTCCGTGAATGAAAAGAAGCTATAAAAAAATGAATATGATAAGTATAATTACCTACCTTACTTATAAGTAATTCGTAAACATAATTTAAATGCAAAAGAAATTTAATTTCTGATGATTCTGCTAAGTTGCAATAACTTTATCAATTTACAAACAATTGTGTTGTTCTAAATGACACGAACTTCTGCACAAATCAACATTCTTTTCAAATTTGTTCAACAAATAAAAGTTTATAAAAGAAAGGAATCGGTAAATGTGAAGAAATAGCCATTGGAATTATGATTTAATTCATGTAAATTTTTGTTATTTTTATTTATGGCTCTAAAATAGTTCAATAAAAAAACCTTACTTAATTATCCAATAACATGTTTTCTATTCTCTAGCAAATAATAATTTGAGCTTTTTCAGACAAAATTGAAGTTTAATCCTTGCGAGGCCTTAAATATTTTTGGGGAACAAAAAAGTGAATTTATGAATGATTTTTAATCCAATTCTTAGAGCTGCTCGAACGTTATGATTATGAATTTCTCAGGAAGTATAAGTTGTACCAGGGGAGTAGCCAGGGGGGAGGGGGGGCATAGGGGGCCCGGGCCCCCTTACGAAAATCTGATAATTGTTTTATTAAGTATTTATAGAGAAGAACCAGTTAATTTAGAGGAAGTGATGGAAAAAATGTCAAAATCAGCACGAACTAGTGTATCGGGTAGAAACCCAATGCGGATATATTCACACCGTACCATCAAAAGTCTTATGGATAGACCAAGATTTGCTCAGCATAAGTATGAAGGGTGGGCGTGAAGTACGGCCGAGACCCATATCGACACAGTTCAAATGTTAAACCTAATTTATGTCATAATTATGTCAGCTACAAAAACACTTAGTTTGAATTTTTTCACCCTCGGGAACACTATGAAAGAGTATAGCTGATTTTGTTCCAAATCTCGGCCATACTTCACACTTATTTGAACCACATTTTCTCGTAAATGTTAAAATATTATTAAAAAGTAATTAATCTTGAATTATGTCGCTATTTTGTCAAGTGTTTTAAGATAAAGAATTTTTTTTTTGTTTCCACAGTGAAGAGTATGAACAAAATTCAGATGGGGTAGTCGAAATTTTAGATTTTGATTTTTTTTAAGCTATGCATTGCAAAAAGTAATATTGGTATGTGATTTATGTCAAAATAATGTCAATTCAATTAAAACATCCAAAAAATGTTTTTGACAAAAGTACACCATAGAAAATCAATTTTCAATTTTGGACTAGGGGCAACCCTAGTCAAAATCAATTCTCTCACTTTTTTCTTCGAGGGTTTATAAAAATGGATTGAAACTTTGCATAAATATTCTAGTGCTTAAAACAAATGCAAATAAAACATCCTAAAATTTTTTTGAGCAAGTATTTAGTTTAGAATTTGGTTTAGAACCAAGTAGGAAATACATTTTCAATTTTGGACTAGGGGCGACCCTAGTCAAAATCAATTATGTCACTTTTTTCTTTGAGGGTTTATCCAAATGGATTGAAACTTTGCATAAATATTCTAGTGCTTAAACCAAACGCAAATAAAACATTTTAAAATTTTTTTGAGCAAAGAACCAAGTAGGAAATACATTTTCAATTTTGGACTAGGGGCGACCCTAGTCAAAATCAATTTTCTCAATTTTTTCATCGAGGGTTTATCCAAATGGATTGAAACTTTGCATAAATATTTTAGTGCTTAAAACAAATGCAAATAAAACATCCTAAAATTTTTTGAGCAAAGAACCATGTAGGAAATACATTTTCAATTTTGGACTAGGGGCGACCCTAGTCAAAATCAATTTTGTCACTTTTTTCTTCGAGGGTTTATCCAAATGGATTGAAACTTTGCATAAATATTTTAGTGCTTAAAACAAACGCAAATAAAACATCCTAAAATTTTTTTGAGCAAAGAACCAAGTAGGAAATACATTTTCAATTTTGGACTAGGGGCGACCCTAGTCAAAATCAATTTTGTCACTTTTTTCTTCGAGGGTTTATCCAAATGGATTGAAACTTTGCATAAATATTCTAGTGCTTAAAACAAATGCAAATAAAACATCCTAAAATTTTTTTGAGCAAAGAACCAAGTAGGAAATACATTTTCAATTTTGGACTAGGGGCGACCCTAGTCAAAATCAATTTTGTCACTTTTTTCTTCGAGGGTTTATCCAAATGGATTGAAACTTTGCATAAATATTCTGGTGCTTAAAACAAATGCAAATAAAACATTCTAAAATTTTTTTGAGCAAAGAACCAAGTAGGAAATACATTTTCAATTTTGGACTAGGGGCGACCCTAGTCAAAATCAATTTTGTCACTTTTTTCTTCGAGGGTTTATCCAAATGGATTGAAACTTTGCATAAATATTCTAGTGCTTAAAACAAATGCAAATAAAACATTCTAAAATTTTTTTGAGCAAAGAACCAAGTAGGAAATACATTTTCAATTTTGGACTAGGGGCGACCCTAGTCAAAATCAATTTTGTCACTTTTTTCTTCGAGGGTTTATCCAAATGGATTGAAACTTTGCATAAATATTCATGTGCTTAAAACAAATGCAAATAAAACATCCTAAAATTTTTTTGAGCAAAGAACCAAGTAGGAAATACATTTTCAATTTTGGACTAGGGGCGACCCTAGTCAAAATCAATTTTCTCACTTTTTTCTTCGAGGGTTTATCCAAATGGATTGAAACTTTGCATAAATATTCTAGTGCTTAAAATAAATGCAAATAAAACATCCTAAAATTTTTTTGAGCAAAGAACCAAGTAGGAAATACATTTTCAATTTTGGACTAATGGCGACCCTAGTCAAAATCAATTTTGTCACTTTTTTCTTCGATGGTTTATAAAAATGGATTGAAACTTTGCATAAATATTCTAGTGCTTAAAACAAACGCAAATAAAACATTCTAAAATTTTTTTGAGCAAAGAACCAAGTAGGAAATACATTTTCAATTTTGGACTAGGGGCGACCCTTGTCAAAATCAATTTTGTCACTTTTTTCTTCGAGGGTTTATCCAAATGGATTGAAACTTTGCATAAATATTCTAGTGCTTAAAACAAATGCAAATAAAACATTCTAAAATTTTTTGAGCAAAGAACCAAGTAGGAAATACATTTTCAATTTTGGACTAGGGGCGACCCTAGTCAAAATCAATTTTCTCACTTTTTTCTTCGAGGGTTTATAAAAATGGATTGAAACTTTGCATAAATATTTTAATGCTTAAAACAAAAACAAATAAAACATCTTAAAATTTTTTTGAGCAAAGAACCAAGTAGGAAATACATTTTCAATTTTGGACTAGGGGCGACCCTAGTCAAAATCAATTTTGTCACTTTTTTCTTCGAGGGTTTATCCAAATGGATTGAAACTTTGCATAAATATTCTGGTGCTTAAAACAAATGCAAATAAAACATTCTAAAATTTTTTTGAGCAAAGAACCAAGTAGGAAATACATTTTCAATTTTGGACTAGGGGCGACCCTAGTCAAAATCAATTTTGTCACTTTTTTCTTCGAGGGTTTATCCAAATGGATTGAAACTTTGCATAAATATTCTGGTGCTTAAAACAAATGCAAATAAAACATTCTAAAATTTTTTTGAGCAAAGAACCAAGTAGGAAATACATTTTCAATTTTGGACTAGGGGCGACCCTAGTCAAAATCAATTTTGTCACTTTTTTCTTCGAGGGTTTATAAAAATGGTTTAAAACTTTGCATAAATATTCTAGTGCTTAAACCAAATGCAAATAAAACATCCTAAAATTTTTTTGATCAAAGAACCAAGTAGGAAATACATTTTCAATTTTGGACTAGGGGCGACCCTAGTCAAAATCAATTTTGTCACTTTTTTCTTCGAGGGTTTATCCAAATGGATTGAAACTTTGCATAAATATTCTAGTGCTTAAAACAAATGCAAATAAAACATCCTAAAATTTTTTTGATCAAAGAACCAAGTAGGAAATACATTTTCAATTTTGGACTAGGGGCGACCCTAGTCAAAATCAATTTTGTCACTTTTTTCTTCGAGGGTTTATCCAAATGGATTGAAACTTTGCATAAATATTCTAGTGCTTAAAACAAATGCAAATAAAACATCCTAAAATTTTTTGAGCAAAGAACCAAGTAGGAAATACATTTTCAATTTTGGACTAGGGGCGATCCTAGTCAAAATCAATTTTGTCACTTTTTTCTTCGAGGGTTTATCCGAATGGATTGAAACTTTGCATAAATATTCTAGTGCTTAAAACAAACGCAAATAAAACATCCTAAAATTTTTTTGAGCAAAGAACCAAGTAGGAAATACATTTTCAATTTTGGACTAGGGGCGACCCTAGTCAAAATCAATTTTGTCACTTTTTTCTTCGAGGGTTTATCCGAATGGATTGAAACTTTGCATAAATATTCTAGTGCTTAAAACAAATGCAAATAAAACATCCTAAAATTTTTTTGAGCAAAGAACCAAGTAGGAAATACATTTTCAATTTTGGACTAGGGGCGACCCTAGTCAAAATCAATTTTGTCACTTTTTTCTTCGAGGGTTTATCCAAATGGATTGAAACTTTGCATAAATATTCTAGTGCTTAAAACAAATGCAAATAAAACATCCTAAAATTTTTTTGAGCAAAGAACCAAGTAGGAAATACATTTTCAATTTTGGACTAGGGGCGACCCTAGTCAAAATCAATTTTGTCACTTTTTTCTTCGAGGGTTTATCCAAATGGATTGAAACTTTGCATAAATATTCTGGTGCTTAAAACAAATGCAAATAAAACATTCTAAAATTTTTTTGAGCAAAGAACCAAGTAGGAAATACATTTTCAATTTTGGACTAGGGGCGACCCTAGTCAAAATCAATTTTGTCACTTTTTTCTTCGAGGGTTTATCCAAATGGATTGAAACTTTGCATAAATATTCTAGTGCTTAAAACAAATGCAAATAAAACATTCTAAAATTTTTTTGAGCAAAGAACCAAGTAGGAAATACATTTTCAATTTTGGACTAGGGGCGACCCTAGTCAAAATCAATTTTGTCACTTTTTTCTTCGAGGGTTTATCCAAATGGATTGAAACTTTGCATAAATATTCATGTGCTTAAAACAAATGCAAATAAAACATCCTAAAATTTTTTTGAGCAAAGAACCAAGTAGGAAATACATTTTCAATTTTGGACTAGGGGCGACCCTAGTCAAAATCAATTTTCTCACTTTTTTCTTCGAGGGTTTATCCAAATGGATTGAAACTTTGCATAAATATTCTAGTGCTTAAAATAAATGCAAATAAAACATCCTAAAATTTTTTTGAGCAAAGAACCAAGTAGGAAATACATTTTCAATTTTGGACTAATGGCGACCCTAGTCAAAATCAATTTTGTCACTTTTTTCTTCGATGGTTTATAAAAATGGATTGAAACTTTGCATAAATATTCTAGTGCTTAAAACAAACGCAAATAAAACATTCTAAAATTTTTTTGAGCAAAGAACCAAGTAGGAAATACATTTTCAATTTTGGACTAGGGGCGACCCTTGTCAAAATCAATTTTGTCACTTTTTTCTTCGAGGGTTTATCCAAATGGATTGAAACTTTGCATAAATATTCTAGTGCTTAAAACAAATGCAAATAAAACATTCTAAAATTTTTTGAGCAAAGAACCAAGTAGGAAATACATTTTCAATTTTGGACTAGGGGCGACCCTAGTCAAAATCAATTTTCTCACTTTTTTCTTCGAGGGTTTATAAAAATGGATTGAAACTTTGCATAAATATTTTAATGCTTAAAACAAAAACAAATAAAACATCTTAAAATTTTTTTGAGCAAAGAACCAAGTAGGAAATACATTTTCAATTTTGGACTAGGGGCGACCCTAGTCAAAATCAATTTTGTCACTTTTTTCTTCGAGGGTTTATCCAAATGGATTGAAACTTTGCATAAATATTCTGGTGCTTAAAACAAATGCAAATAAAACATTCTAAAATTTTTTTGAGCAAAGAACCAAGTAGGAAATACATTTTCAATTTTGGACTAGGGGCGACCCTAGTCAAAATCAATTTTGTCACTTTTTTCTTCGAGGGTTTATCCAAATGGATTGAAACTTTGCATAAATATTCTGGTGCTTAAAACAAATGCAAATAAAACATTCTAAAATTTTTTTGAGCAAAGAACCAAGTAGGAAATACATTTTCAATTTTGGACTAGGGGCGACCCTAGTCAAAATCAATTTTGTCACTTTTTTCTTCGAGGGTTTATAAAAATGGTTTAAAACTTTGCATAAATATTCTAGTGCTTAAACCAAATGCAAATAAAACATCCTAAAATTTTTTTGATCAAAGAACCAAGTAGGAAATACATTTTCAATTTTGGACTAGGGGCGACCCTAGTCAAAATCAATTTTGTCACTTTTTTCTTCGAGGGTTTATCCAAATGGATTGAAACTTTGCATAAATATTCTAGTGCTTAAAACAAATGCAAATAAAACATCCTAAAATTTTTTTGATCAAAGAACCAAGTAGGAAATACATTTTCAATTTTGGACTAGGGGCGACCCTAGTCAAAATCAATTTTGTCACTTTTTTCTTCGAGGGTTTATCCAAATGGATTGAAACTTTGCATAAATATTCTAGTGCTTAAAACAAATGCAAATAAAACATCCTAAAATTTTTTGAGCAAAGAACCAAGTAGGAAATACATTTTCAATTTTGGACTAGGGGCGATCCTAGTCAAAATCAATTTTGTCACTTTTTTCTTCGAGGGTTTATCCGAATGGATTGAAACTTTGCATAAATATTCTAGTGCTTAAAACAAACGCAAATAAAACATCCTAAAATTTTTTTGAGCAAAGAACCAAGTAGGAAATACATTTTCAATTTTGGACTAGGGGCGACCCTAGTCAAAATCAATTTTGTCACTTTTTTCTTCGAGGGTTTATCCGAATGGATTGAAACTTTGCATAAATATTCTAGTGCTTAAAACAAATGCAAATAAAACATCCTTAAATTTTTTGAGCAAAGAACCAAGTAGGAAATACATTTTCAATTTTGGACTAGGGGCGACCCTAGTCAAAATCAATTATGTCACTTTTTTCTTTGAGGGTTTATCCAAATGGATTGAAACTTTGCATAAATATTCTAGTGCTTAAAACAAACGCAAATAAAACATTTTAAAATTTTTTTGAGCAAAGAACCAAGTAGGAAATACATTTTCAATTTTGGACTAGGGGCGACCCTAGTCAAAATCAATTTTGTCACTTTTTTCTTCGAGGATAAATCCAAATACAGTAAAACTTTGTATGAGCATTCTAACCCTCAGGTCACACATTTCTGAATCACGTTGTTTTTGAATGTACAACCAAATTTATAAAATTTGGGTCTGACGACATATAGAATACATTTCTTGCTTAAGATATTTAAAACTGTTTTGTATAAATAGTATACTCACACAAAGTTTCACTGTAATTGGATAAACCTTCGAAGAAAAAAAGTAAAAAACTAGATTTTGACTAGACCTGCCCCAAGTTCATAATTGAAAATGTATTTCCTACTTGGTTCTTAGCTCAAAAAAATTTTTTTCATCCAAAGTTTAATTTAAAAAAAAGCACAGTGAACTTTTAATTTGAATAATTCGTACGAAAGGAAATTTTTTTGCTTTTTCTGAAGCAACGGCTGTTCCTACCTTGCCTAAAAACAATACAGCTCTTCTATAGAGCAGCACGGATCAAATGTAAAAAACTAGAAGTCTCTACAATGTCTCGTTATTGAGATTTCTTGCTGATTAACTTGCTTGTTTGCTTGCATATTTTGCGATTTTCTTAGCAATGCCGCAACCAATTTGAAATCTGTTTTTGCAAAAGATGTGAAATTCAAGGCACAAACTTTTCATCTCTGAACATTTTAAGCTATCTTGCTCCATATCCTCACAAAATTCAAAAAACTGATTTTTCAATCTGAACAAAACCAATAGATTCACACGTGAAAACGGTGTGAATATAAAAATTAAATTTAATGTATGAATAATGAATTAAATATTTAAACGTATGAAGAATGAATATAGATTTAAGCATACAAAATAATGGTTTTTTTAATTTTCGAAAATGCCCCCCCCCCCCCTTAAAAATTTTCTGGCTACGCCCCTGTGTTGTACATATGTATAATACATTCTTTGGCGTTACAAAAGTATTTCAATAACATACAAGAGCTCATTTCTCTGCATAAAATCATTAAAAACTTCTTTTAAAAATACAAAGTTTCACTCTAAAGAATGTTTCTTTTACTTATGTCCAAAATACACAGTATAAAATTAAGACTAATTGAAATGACGATGTAACATGATATGTTCGTTTGTCGCGTTGACGATGCAGGTACTGGTTCAATATAATTAGCAGTAATTATTGCAGATAATCCCAAATTACTTACGACATGATGACTTCTGGTGTTAATAAGATTTGTAATTTTTACTGCTTCTTCGCGACACACTTCAATTTCTATCAATGTAGGATCCTTAACTATATTATACACAACTATCATAATATCAGTCTCAATTGTAAGAAAACCAGATAGGTAACATGAAGGAACTTTGATTAATTTCTGAAGTGACTTAAGAACTGATTTTAATGTTATCATTTCAAAATGCGTATTGTTCATGGCGTAAATGCCTCTGTCAATTTGTTTCTTTGAATAAATTATCTTAACAATGCCTCCACAGACAGGACAACAAGCTCCTGTTGGAACTAATCCTTCGCCACAATAGTGGGGAATATTCTTTGGACAACTAACATTTTCACATGCTGGTCTTTTGTCGATTGTCCCTACTGTTCTGCAGTAACCATAATAATCAATCATGGAGTAATCACTCATGGCTTCACATTCACTTTTGTATGTTACTCCCTATGTTTAAGGAAAAATGTGAAAATTAAAATTACCTAATCGAATGAGGCTTAATACTTACATTTATTCCACAAACAGTTCCAGATCTTCTACAAACTTTACTGTCAAATACACCAGCATAAGCTAATTGCTTCTTTGCTTTAATTAAACTGCAAGCTGATGAATGAATTTTAAAAGTTGTGTCAGTCAGCAATTCTTGTTCACAATTATTAGAATTAACTGTAACTATATAAAAAGCAATTAATCAATTAATATTCAAATCAGGCTTTCTTAGACCTACCGCATTTATATTGTGGACAAGCATGCCTTAAGCTTGATAGACAAACTTGACGATTTGGGAAGCATGTTGATTTTGGAAGGCAATTGTTTTGTTTGCATGGATCTCTACTCTCACATGTGCCAAACTCAAATTCAGTTTCCTTCATTCCAATGCATTTTGCAAGGCACTCAGAAGCATACGTTTTTCCATTAACTCCACAAACTGGCACATAATGAGGTGGGCAATTACAGGGTAACGTTGAAAATGATCTGACATCAGTTATGCCTTGCAAACGGCACTGCTTTTTTGTACATGTGATTTCCTCGGCATAGCATGTACACTTATTACATTCGATACTTAAAGAAGCACCATGTTGAATTGTTTGATTTCCTATTTGGCACGATTTCGGTGAAACGCATGGTATGACTTGACATTTTTCAATATTTCCGTCGTTACATTTACAAATTTTATAGCACCCTTTCTTTAACGATGATGGTATTCTTACGTAGCTTTTCGAAGGAATTATGTAATTTGATCCATCACCTATTTGACAGCCACCTTGTTCGCAATAATAGTTATTTGTATTTCGATCTATTTCACAAATTTCTGTTGTGACATTGCACTGATGATTTCTGCATGGAGAAATTATCAAATCTGTTTCTCTGCTAAAATCCTCATTTGGACTCAAATATTGTTTTATTGAAACACACGGAACATTTCTGTTTGGTGACAAACTTGAACAGATGCTTGTTACTAACATGTTTTGCTTTAAATCTAAACATTTTCCTAAGAATTCCAAGCAATCTTCCCAGCATATTTGATTGTAATGCAAAGATCTTGTCGACGGTTTAAGATGTAATATACAGGAAACAGTTTGCAGTAATGGTATACATGTTTTTGATTGAATTATTGGAAGATTAAAATCGAAAACATTTAATGTTTTCTTTAATATCCATTGCTCGTATTCATTCCTTGCAGTTAAGTCTGAAATTGGATTACAATTTCTAAACAGCTCCGTTGGTCGATTATTGAAGTTTTTACAAAATGATAAACCATTGCAACCTATTTCAACTGGATAGTCGATTTCTTCAATACACTGTTTTAAATTAATTTCATCATTATTTTGTAGGCATTCCTTTTGAAATGTGATAGGTAGCGAGTAGTTCTCGGCATATGAATAAACATTAAAGCAACTTCTTTGGCAATGCGTACTTTTAGCTTTCTCAATGCAACAATGTAGTTTTGTCGAATCGATTCCGACATTTTTAATTCGTGAGACATCACTTCCGATATCATTTCTATTGCTTTGAGGCTTATTGTTAAGAAAACATTTCCAGAAATCCATAGTCACTTGAATCATTCCACATTTATCCTCAACAATCTCAAGAATTTCGGTTTGTGTTAAATTTTCACTGCCATTTAAATTGCTCTCGCACGTGTCACGACATTCCTTCGATGGAGCAAGTCGGCAGCAATGCGTGAAATGGTTGGTATTTGAGAATACTTCTGTATCGATATTATCATAAACACAATTTATTACGTTCGCGTTACTCTCCATGCAATTTTCATACAACTGTGACTCTAAAATCTTCACAGATGTAGTCTTATTTTTTCCCAACAGCATTTGTTGACATATCGTAAGGCAACCATGTGTTTTTGCATTTGAACAGCAATCTATTTTTCGCTCAAATGTTTTGACGCATGAGAAAAGTGAAAATTCGTCACTTTCGCGGCAAAACGATTTTAACGTTGACAATGATGATGAAAGTGCACATCCTTGAAAAAGGAGGAAATAAGTATTAAAATCATTCTAAATCTTATCAGTCATGAGAATTAAAAACCTTGCTGGCAACGAGCTTTATTGACAGCATGTGAGCAGCATGATCTTCCTATCCAATAAGATCCATTGTCAATCAACTCCATTGCTTTATTAATACAGCCCCAAAACTCTAATTGCAATTCGGGACACGATTTCCGGAGATTATGGAGGTAAATGTCCCTTGCTGATGCCATTGTTGTTAATTTATAAAGTGAGAACTGAAAATTAAAATTTATTATTTCTTTCACACTCTCTTTGAAGCATTCGCGTGCTTTGATATTTATAGAAATAAAAGAGTTTTGCAGTCTTTCATCTGTTTCTCTTTATGAGAAATGCAATTCTATAGTCTTCTTTTCTATTTTCAAAGTGTTTTATTTTCTCTTGTCATATTTTTATTTTACTGTTTTGTGTAAATATGATTTATCACTGATACTTACGCTCTCGCATGCTGATCGACAAGGCTCCAAAACGCTCTTACAGCACAGAAACACATCTAAATTGTTTTTGATAAGAAAATTAAATAGAATTAGCGAAAGAAGAAGCAATAAAACTTTTATGGCAATAAACTTTTTTGCCTTTTGAAATTGCCCATGCAGCAGTTTTATGATTTTTGGTCGGAGCTCTATTAACTTTTTTTTGATCTTTAATACCGAAATTATGATTTTATTGCGCGTAACATGTATTTTTATGGGCTTAATCTCAGCAGGAAGCTGGAATGAATTGTTTTAACGAAATCCGCGAATGAGATCATTGATGGAACTGATTGCGAATTGATTTGTGATCGTATGTGAATGACTTCTACTAATGTCTGACACAAATATTTGAGATTGTACCACCAAGATTGATTGAAATCCGAAACTTTAAACCATAGATTTCGATTATATCAAGTTCTACTTAAAAATTGATGGATAGTGCGTACCACCCAGAAACTTGATTTTATTTGCGATGAACTTTTAATATAAAACTCAGTATTACCCATTTTATGATCGTTTGATGGTCCATTGCCTTCACTAAGCGTAAACTTTGATAACATTTGACACATAAACACAAGTATGATAAAAACGTTCCTCATATTGAGTAGTTCTGTATGAAAATTTCCACTTATCCTCTTAATTAATCACATTTTCATCTCCTTTGATGTTGTATAAGAGTTTTTCAAGATCTACATCAATCAATATTATTTACATCGTTTAAACGAAAACAATCAACGATTTTATATTTATCACTGTTTTGATTGCTCGACGTAATCATTCTCGCAGTTCAACATAATTCACACTGTAATCACTATACAGCAACAACATAACCGATTCGTCGTTAAAACTAATTGATTTTAATTGGTTAAATTGAAAATGTGTGAACATTACATAGTAAAATGTATTTTCATTTAGAAATAAAAATTAGTACACATGAGGCGATTAATGGAAGAAGTAGGTTTCCTCAGCAAAAACTGATCTCTGACTAATTTTTCATGTCTGGGAATTTATTTTATTTTTTAAAATAGAAATTCTCATTTCTTACTCTCTTGGTTTCTCTCTTTGGTGTGTTTTTGTCAAGCACTTTATATTCAATGTGCACTTTTTTTTATTTTGAAATTATTTTGACTTATGTTGTCTACTCACCGAGTACACAAAGGGAAAAGGGAAGAAGAGAAAATAAGATTAAAACGATTTTCACGCTATTTATGCCATAAATCGATAGCATTATGAATGATAAATTAAGTGATAATAAGCCATGAAATAAAAATTACGGACTTTATGGGATCATAAAAGATTTTTATTAATTTGCCTAGTCGTTAAAAAAACGATGATCGAGTCGACAAAGTGTTGTGAAGGAAGTAATCAATTTTATGAGAAATTTCGCTAATTTACGTGACAATTTTTGTGAATTATTTTTGAATCATTCGAACGGAAGTTTTTAATCAAATTGTTGAGTTCAACAAATCTTTTATATTTGAAAGATTCTTGGGTTCTTTTAGTATTTTAAATAATCACTTAATTTATTGTTTTGACATTTGCATATTTTGAAGAAAATTAACAGTCGAAAAATAGATATATGCAACCTTAAAACTTGTATTTTTTTACAATAGCAATTAATTCTATTAACCAAAAAATATAAAATTCAAATTCTTAATAATTTTAAGAACCTTTTTATCAAGTTTGATTACGATTACATTTCGATTAGGATTTGAGAAGAAAACCAACAAATTTCTTCCAAAAATGGCTAGCAACGCCCCTGACAAACCTCTTCCCTCATAGCCCGTATTGATCTCAAATTTGCTGTTTGTTGTTTGTTTTTGTCCTTTTGATCAGTAAACTTCAGATTTCAAGTATAAATTAAAATGTTCAATTTTTAAAATTTATTCATTTTCCTCGATAAAACAAAATTACTTACATGCTTTGCATGGAAGTTATTACATGTTTGAAATGAACGACTCAAATAAATTCAACTTGATAGTGAAATTTTACGCCTCTTAAATCATTAATCATTAAAGCTATTCCGTCGTTTAGTTTCACTAAAATCTGGTGTATCGACATCAGTTCCATAATTATTTTTCAAAGACAAAAAATTATTAAATTTTGACAATCACAAAATTTCAATTCAATTTTTAAATTCTAAATTTGCAAAGATATTTGAATTCTGGGACAAATCACAGTCAGAATATAAGAGTTTTAGAAAAGTAGCACAACTTCAATTGTTTTTGAATTGAATTCAAAATCCAGCATTGCTTAATATAATTAGCGTTCAATAAGAAATTATAAGGGAATCAAAATTCATTTCGTTAAATGTTTAATAAAAATAAATTGAAATCTATTAAAAAGTTTCTTTCATTTAGTTCAAATAATATCAGTTGATCTGACAGCAATGCCATCATTCGACAAATTATTAACATATTGTCAGTTAATATAAAATCATCTGTTGCGCCAAGTGCGATTCACAGTCTTGATATAAATTTTGTGTGAATTCGTTCAGTTTTAAAGAGTATTTAAGTATAATTGAGGCAACAGATGCAGTTTCATAAATAGGAACAGAATTTTACAAATAATTTGTGACGAAAGTTGATAAAAAAATATTTTACAAGTCTACAAATTGAGATAACTGACTGATGTCTCTATAACAAGCCGCAGTTTTTGGTTGTATTACTTTAAAAATTGACATAAAACAGAAAATGTCATAAGCAAGTGGTCACTCTCACTAATTTATTGGAATTCATCAAGTTAGTTTTGTTTTAACTGTGTGCTGTGCTACATCATTATACTTCTGAAAATTGAAGATTTATTAGTTTTTGTGTATTTTTGGTATTTAAATGATTTCTAATAAACTTGAATTGATTTTGAATCAATTTGAGATCTAAAGGAGCATCTTAATAATATTAGAATATTTGGTGCCTGACTAGACTTTTGAAATATTCTTGATATTGAAGAAAATTCATTAGCAAAGACCGTACTTAAAGAGGTAAATTCAAGTCTTGGAATTCAGCAAGTTTAAGCGAAATTCAAAATTTTCGGTGTCTGAAACAAATATTCAAATTTTTAAAATTTAAATTCTAGCAAGTCTGATTAATCTTCTTTTGGTTAGCTAGCCCCTGACTTCCTGCAAAGGTTTTGAATAATCTATAGATTAAACACATTAACTTAAGAAATATTATTCTTTTAGTTGTGGATATTCAGGAGCTATTAGGCATATTATAAAAAAAACTAAAGGTTTAAAGTCGTTCAAAAAATTATCATTTCTAATTTAAGAATAATCTACCAAGTATAATTCAATGTTTTCCACAATTCTAAGTTTTATTCACCCCTTACCACCATCAAACTTATATCCCACATTCTTCTTATACTTTTTACTTGTCAAAAAACAAAAATATCAGGAGGTAAAGAGCATATTCATTTTCTTCACTGTTACCCGCAATATTTCTTTAATTATTTTTATTGATCACATCAATTGATCCCAATTGCTTGAATTAAAATTTATGATGAGGTTTAATTGAAGTCTCATATGCGCAACTTCTCTTAACACATTCAGTCTTTTTCTTCATTTATAATTTGGAGCGTTAGAGGGTTAGAAGACACGAGAAGACAATCATTATTTTTTGTCGCATGCTCGTCAGAGAATCATTTCGATTTGTTACAGTTAAGTGAAAAGTGCGTTAAAATCTAAGTCCGAGAAAATACCAGGAACAGCATATCAAAGGAATTGCCAATAGCCCACTCACTCACAGTTGGTGTGATTGAATAAATAGAAGTTCATTGCCCATGCTGCTTGTTTTAAAATTCAAAGTATGTTTTTTGAAATTAAGTATTCATAGGTACAATGATATAAAATTATAAAGAAATGAATCACAACCTCCTGAGTGAGCGAGATAATTGGTAATGTACATCGAGAGACTTGTGCTTTCTTGTTGGACTTTAAATGAAAAATTGTAAGTATCAACTTCTATTATCATTGATTTTTAACAGAAGCTTCTTCAAATTTGACTGTAGACTATGAAAATTTACAGCATGTAAGTTTTTCTTTTAAAGACTGCCAGCTGTTGAAATTTCAAGTGCTTTAAGAAGAATTGGTACTTTATTTTTGATAACAGCTTGATTTTTGTGGACATGTGTTCAAGTTTGTGGTTAAAAGGAATATAGGGCTATTCAAAAATGAAGCCCATGCAAAAACAAAAGCAGATGGTAAGCTTTACTTAAGATATAACTTTAAAACATGAATGGATACGTATAGCAAACAGTCCTAATGACTAATGTGTATTCAACTAGCATACAAACTTTCGAACGCAAACTTTCGAATGAGATCTGACACCCAATGCCTTGGTGACATCTCAATCAATTCAAAACCCCTACGATAATGGTTACTAGCCATATTCAGTAGGTTATCCACAAGTTTTATAATTTGAACCTTCTCTTTGATGTCTATATAGCGTTGAGTCCACTTCTTCTTGGACGGATAAATAATACATTTTACACGTTCTTGCTTCTTTACAGACTGATACGTGGACATAAATATTTTGTCACTTGCAGATAACAAAAAAGGAATCAACTATCTTGGAGCCTCTCTGTTATTAAATCATTGTATTGATCAAAATAATGAAGAAACGAGTACCGTGTGCTGAAATATTTTAGATTAGGGTAAAGACCATGGGTTCGAACTGATAAATTACATTTTGATCATTCCATCAGTTTTGTACCCTTGGTAAAAACTAGAAAATTTCTAGTAAATTGATGAAAAGTTTTTGAAGATTCATTTATGGTAAAAAAGTCTGACGATGTCATGAAGTTCATCATGTATCATCAAATAAATATTAAATGTATTTGTGACTTCTATTATTTCTAGGAACATAAAAATTAAGAAACGTTGGTGACATTAAAAAGAATGATTTTGGTTGACCTTATAAAGTTTATCAAAAATGCGACCTTTGACTTTATTTAAATAATTTTAAGTGAAAAGATTACTTCCTGTCTTTTTTGCAAACTTAGTCGGAATATGTACATCATTACATTCCATTTACTTTAGATCCATAGCATAGCTGATAACATTATCTATTCATTTCTTATCATAAATGACATTGACACATTTCTTCAACGAAAATTGCATGCTGTACATGACTTTTATATATTCATTATTTACTCACAAAAAATGTGTTGCTGTACAAGATTATTCGTCCTAATTCCCTGTGAATAAATGTTTATTGCTCAAGTAATAAATTAAAATAATAATTTTTAACGAATGCTCTATTTCATCATCCTTTATTTTTATTTTAAATGCAACTAAAAAAGGCAAAAAATTATAAAATATAAACTTTTTAACAAAAAAAATTGATACAATAGATTAGACTTTACTAGTTGTATCAATTGAACACAAAGTGAAACAGAACTATTCAAAATAGTAGGAGTAAAATTTTACAGATATTTATAACACATTCAGTTTTTTTTCTCGTTGATATTTTTTTTTTTTTGGCTTAAACAATTATTCATACATATTTTTAAACATTATTGTCTTCGATTTGGGTAAAATTCTCTAGTGCTTGTTTTAAACATAATTTTTTTTTCTAATCTCTGATTATTTACGTTCAAAATTTCAACACTTATTATATTCAAATAGTTTCAATCTAATTCAAACCTTAAACATTATTTCCGATTGCATGTTCGCAATACTCTAAATCTGTTAATGACGTATATACCCCAATCTGAAAAATGGGTGCTAATTGATTTAAAATTATGCCTATACCCAACTCCCTCCCTTGTACGTCATAAGCTACTACAGGTCTTTTTTAGGTTTTGAGGAAAACGACAAGAAAAATATCATAAATATATGTTGCAATAGTCAAAGATTCAATTTATAGATTAACAGAAAACAGTCTGACTGTATCAACAAAACACAAAACATAAATAAGATTTACAATGCACAATTCTGATGATCTACAAATTCATTATATGCATAAATACTAGTCTTTTACTGATTGTGGGTTTTTTTCACTCTTTCTAAAGGCAGAAGAACATAAAAAATACTGTAGAGAAGATAATTGATGTTTAAATAAAAAAATATATAATTGAAAAGCATGTTAATTTCTACTAAATCGTTACTGCGTTACTGATTAGTCAAGTATATTGTGGAGTTTGTTTTTCAGGTCTGAAGCTTTTCATATCTTTTTTTTAGTACAGGTTTATTCAAATTGAATGATGAATAATGACCTGAAGATTCTTATTGAGTCTTTTGAACGCCTAAAATCTTTTCAGCTACACCCAAAAAGTAAACCGTTTGTGCGATACCAAATAATGGAGCAATGACAATCATTCTGCATAGACCGCCTTTAAAGAATGCTGTTATTCCTTCGTGCTTGAGTGTTTTGCTGTTAAATAGAGAGGAACATAATCAATTAAAAATAATTTATAATCAATGATTTTTTGATGATTACGTTATGCAATCTCCAATTCCATTGAATGCCATTTCTCCTTCCGCTTTCTTGAGTGCTTGAAGACGTGTCTTGATTACGTCAAATGGATTGACAAATAAGGCAGCCTAGAATTAAAAAAATAAATATAAATACAAATATATAAGTACATTGTCAATAATCAAGTGCATTGAAGCTTACAGAAGAACCAGCGACACATCCAGACAAGAATGAAACCCAGAAAACAGCTTCACCGCTTCCGTCAGCCTTTCTTGGACCTAATTGATTGAGAGTTGCAAATAATGGGAAATAAACGACTGAGAATGTCACATCTCGTAAAGCTGTAGCTCCTGTTCCTTTATATAATCCACTGATTCCCTTTTCCTTTAACAATTGAAGAGTAATTGACGTAGCTGAGGTTTTTTGGACAACCTTTCCTGCCAGTTTAGCTTGAGCCGCAATACGACCAGCATCTTGCATTTGAATTTTAAGTAATTCCATTGGAGTTGTAATAATAATTTGACATAATCCAGCCAATCCACCAGCAGCCATTTGTCGTACAATTGGCAATGAACCATCTTTTTTTGTTAAGTGATACCTAAAGAAATCATTAGCTGCAAGTTTGATAGCTTTTTCTGGTGTAATAAGAAGGATATTGACGGCAGATCCACGGTACATTCCAAAATATCCCTCAGCTCTATATGTTTTCTTAAAACAATCGAGCCTGATCAAAAATTAGTAATTTATTGACAATAAGAAATGAGATAAGAAATCTTTAAATCTGTAGTGATAACTCACATATTTTTGTACATTTTCTCGCCATTTGGGCCAATTTGCTGATTCTGTAAGCGGGTCTTCACAAGGTCAAGTGGGAAAACGCAACTTACACCAATAATTCCTATTAAAAGGAAACAATAATTTTATAATCTCTTAATGACACAATTTCAAGTGGAATGAACTTTTGCATCAGTCTCTTTATACTGAGTAGCTACTGACTATTGTGCAAAAATAAAATAAGTAAAAGTTAATGACGTTTACAAATCAGTCGATAAACTAGTTCATTTTGTGGAATTTGTTCATTGTGCGCTCAACTTTTACTTTCAAATAAACAAAAGAAGAAAGAAAGAAAATGAAATGTACCTGCAATTCCTCCATTCATAATCTTAGGAACAAGTCTGTAGAAAATGTAAGAGAGAAGATAAATAAAAGTCATGTAGAAAATGATTGAATGTGGATGAATAATTTTTGTGTATCCTTTACATTATCACATTATATCGAGACGACGTATGTTGACGTACAAATTAATAGAGGTCTAATTCATGTTATGCAAATTTATTGATTTCCTGATTTTTAAGTTGCATTACTAAACAGTAGATTTGTGGCTTGAAAATAATAAAAAGAAGACATAGCAACAATTTTGAAGCTCAAATTTCAGTCTTATCATTCAAGATCCTCTTGTGGATTGTGTTATCTTTGAGCATAAGTGCTATATATAATCTGCGTAGCTGCCGTAAATTATAAATCATTGTCACTTTTGGAAGTTATTTACAAAATACTTTTGTCTATTAATAAATTCTTTAAATCCCTCGCACTTTTCTATTTTTCTCACTTAAATCAACTATAATTTTACTTACGGGAATTCCTTTCGTGGAGCTGGCTGTCCAATTGCAGGTTTATTGTTTGACATCCTCAATGATTATGTCTTCTAATGCCTTAAAATGCTAAAATTATGATACAGACTGACTTATTGCTATTAGGGGAATAGCAGCGTGAGAAAATTGATTTGAGGGGAAAACAACCTTACTACTTGAATTCAAAAGTTCACCAACGACTTTTTAAATGATGTGTCTAGAGTCAAGACTTTAAAGGATCTGACTGGAGCTTTATCGATTAGAAACTCACTGTTAAAATACCAATTTAATTAAGTTAAAACTGGATTCGTTTTAATAATTTATTTAAATAATAACATTAATCAACAATTTAGGTAGTCATTAAGTACATACAGTAACGGTGACAAAAATATAATTGTCAGAATATTACTTACTAGTCGTATTACTTAAGTTGATGGTTTAATAATAATAATAATTAATTAAGTAACAACACTAATCAGTGCCTGCCAGACCTTTTTAATGACAGAAAGTGGCATAGACTGATGTAAATGGACATATGAAACTTAATTGCAGTTCAATTAAATAATAGTATTATTATAACAAAGTCACTTAGACTAGACGATATAACTTAATTATTATTGTTATAGAGAATTTCTAGAGCTTTTTCGGGCTCTTGGCTTCAATTATTTTCGAGATGTAAGGTGTTCGGGTGTCTACACTCGAATCTATGTCATTTCTAATAAAATAAAATGAGAATTTGAAATTGAAATTTTCCATCTGATTTATTGAGTTCAAGACAATTACCTAAAATTATAATGTGGACCATCATAGCTCTCTTCCAACGAGACGATTCTCAATTGATGCCGCAAGCGACTCTTTTCGCGAAGCCTCTTTTTCTGAAATTCCTCTTCGACTTTTTGCATTGCCTCCAATTCACCTAATCTCATCATCTCTTTCTCCTCGGCTTCTTTCGACAATTTCTCAGCTATTTTTCGCCTCTCCACCTGCCTTATAGTACTCTGAAATTTGAATCGATTCTTTGATGATGATTTCTTCGCATGACTGTCTTCAATTTCTTTATGCAAATAATGAATATTAACGTTTTCATTTTCAATATCATTAGACTGTTGTATTATGCTCTGTTGAATCATTTTATGCGATTCAATTTGTCGAGTTTCGTCATTCCAATGTGAAGGAAGATACATAATGTGCTTTCCACTTCTCATTTGTGATATTATTTGATTTTTCTCTTTCTCCTTTTTCGATGACAATTCATCAATTGAATTTGGCTGTGAGCTCAATAGCCAATTATTATCGCTTCCATAATTATGGCATTGAATTCGGGCATCGCTATATTCATAGACATCAACAACAGCTTTTTTAAACTTTTGTAGACTATAGAAATTATTCAATTTATCTGACGAACTTTGATTGTCACGTGGGAGAGAAAGACTAAACATCCGTCCGTTTGCTGCCGCTTGTTGCTGCTCAATAGTGCCATTTAATTGGTAATTCATATCATGTCCATCAATTGATTCTTCATCTTCTTCAAGATCTTGTTGTGGTGTCCATGAATTCATTAAGTATGCTTGTGGTATTTGCATACTGTCTGGTGAATTTCCAATTTCTTTATCAGCGGATATACCACTATCACCACTCTTATTGTCCAATTGCTGTAAATTAAATGATGGTTCGCGGTAAATTTTCTCGATTTTCGTTTCCAATTTTGTATCCTCATTTATGAGCTGTAATTGCGAGCTGCTTGAACTCAATTTGGAATTTTTCGAATCATTCAAATTATTTATATCGATCTCAATAGATCGCCATGCTGCCAATGGACTAAAATGTGGAATTTGTAATTGCCGTCGAGGTAATGTTGGACGTAATGCTAGTAAAATGTTCATGTCTTCGTAGTCTTCTGAAGTCGTTGATTCTGTCATTACTGAAAGATAACATTTTTTTTTGTTTATGTAAATTTGTAGTTTAATTAAATAAAATTTGTTTTTAGAAAGTTAAAGATTTACCTTCGGTCTGTGATACATCAAACGTACTCATTTTTAATATATCTTCCGCAAACTTATTTACTATATCCATATGCGCATGATTCACTTCATTTTTGTCATCGTTTGTATCAATTGAATCAACAGTTGTCTCTTTCAGTTCATAAAAGAAATTATTTGGAGATATTTGCTGTTGTTGTGGTTGTTGCTGCTGCTGATGATGATGATGCTGCTGTTGTTGCTGTATTTGACGAATTGGACTTTCGCGTGAATATGCTGTCGGTGAATTGGACTTGATAATTTCAGGTTGTTTCTTAACGATATTTTGAGCATTCTGTGTTGGTGGTCCTTTAAGATAATTAAATGATGATGATACAGAATTGCCTGTATTTGATACAGTGCTGTTTTCATTCGATACTTTTGCATTTTTGGCATCAGCAAATAGCTGCTCCACAGAAGTTTCTGCTGGCTTTTTCTTTACATTTTTCCTATCAATAGTCTTCATTTTTTCATGGCTTTTAACACATACTGGGCGTTGCTTTGATATGGCACTAGTTTGAGGCGTACTAGTCTGAGGTGGTGGTAACGGCTGTGATGTAACATTTGCTTTATATCGCTCTTGAGTTGTAAGCTGACGATTCTTTCGTTGGAATTGAGGTGAATATTTTGGCTTCATTTCTTCTTTCTTTCGTCCAACATCAGTCATTAATGTCATATCGAAAGTTCTCTCACGTCTCAAATATGATGTCATGTTCGGTTTGATCGGATTCAATGGAACTGCTTGATTTTGCATTCTAATTTTTGGATTGTTTAAATTTTGTGTCGATGCCGATATTGATGTCTTTAGTCGTGGATCCATTTTCTTTGTCAAAGTGTCTCCAAAAAGTCGTTGATTTTGATTCGGCACGGCTTGTGATAGATTAACGGGATGTTGTTTAGGCCCCACCTATAAAACATAAAATTTTATGACAATGTTTCAAGCATGAAACATCTTTTTCTATGATTATTATTCTACCTCTTTTTGATTTCCACGATACGGAATATTTTTGTTGGTAATTGGTGGCTGTGGTGCTCGATGAGCTTTTTGCATATCATGTGTCTTTTTGAATTTTACATCTACTGTTTCTAATTTTACGGTATCATCATAGTGTCTAGGCAAATTGGGCTTTGATGGTGCTCTATGATTGATAGAAAGTTGTGTTGAGGCTCTTTGCATTTTGAAAACTGGCGGTGATGGTTGCGCCGTTCCATTTGGATTACTTAAATACGTATTTTGCGATTCTGAGATGCTTTTCGAACGATGAAGGCCGCACTGTTAAGGAAATTATTTTTTAACGTTAATTTCTTGAGCAACGGAAACGTAAATCTTTTGGAAATCTCCTCAAATTTCATTAAGTCTACAATTTTTTTTCAACTCCCAATAACATCGAATAAAGTAATTTGCATATTTCTAGTCATCTTATTAGATAACTAATTAAAGCCATCTATTGAAAAGACTTTAACTTACCTCTGAGTCTTTCCTTCCGCTTATTGTTCCACCCGATTGAAGTATAGCTCCATTATTTGTCGTGCGCAGTTTTGGTTCAAACTTAACATCAGGTAGCACTTTCACGGGATTTGGATTGGGCGGATAATTAGTGGAGCTTCTTAATTTACCGATCTCATGAATATTTAAATGTGAATTGGAATTTGGTGATCGAAATTGACTCTCATAAGGAATTTGGGAGTATCTTAAAAACTCTGTTGTCTGCCTTTTATGATCTATCATAGATAGATTATTCATGCTATTTGAGTTTCCCATTTTCACTTCTTAGCGTGTTACTTGCCTATCGCGTTATTTAATCACGTTACGTATGTTCTCGTCTCGTATGTGCGAATCCTAAAAAAATTTATGTTGAATTAATGTAATCATTAAGCAAGTGAATGCAGATCTAAAATGCAAGACATATTTTCTCGCATGTAATTCGAAAAAAAAAAATGAAAAGTGAACAGGTTTATTTATTTAAAAAAAATCTGGTTTTGACAAGTGAAATTTCTTTTGAAGCGAAGAAATAAAGTTATGGAGAGAAGAAAGGCACATAGAAAGGAGTGAGTAATAAATAAAATTGTCTCGAAACTTAATCATCATCTTTGAAGTATGCGTACGGATCACAAATTCTTCTTTTTTTTTTGCTATTCATATAATTGAGTAATTAATAAAATTAACAATTAACAAAATTCATTCCACAATTACACAAAAAAGACTCTTTGAGGTGGTGATACAATAAGATGAAATGTAGTAGAAAATCTTTTCTTTCATTGCTTAAATATAAAATTTCTCACAATGTTAAGCAGGTAAGTGAGAAAGTTGTATGAAATTTTTTGTCTTTCTTGCTATCACCGACCCGTCATCTCGCTAAGGAGATATTTTTTTAAAAATATTTTTGTTTTATGACAACTCCGTATTGTGTAAAAAGCTCATTTCTCATTATGATGACCGAAACTAAGAAACAAAAATAAGAAATGAAATTTTCTCATCGTCACCCGTTACCATTAAAATTGCCACATTATAATTTTTTTTTGCGTTGAACTTAATAATGTAATATGATTTGAAAATGCCTAACATAATGTCGATTCAAAATTCTGCATGCAAACCATAGTAATTACTTGCGATGGACAATTCTCTCAATGAGCTTTTGTTTCCAAGGTTTTCACTCTTTTATTTTAAGACAAATAACGGCATGTTTGCAATTTAAATGGACTTGACCAACATGAACTTTCCTGTGATTTTATTGCGCTATAGCGACATTTTTAAAGCAATATTTAGGAATTTACTGCATGCTTCATATAGGGGTATTTAGTAGGAGCAGTACTTAATTTCAAAACTTGCACTAATGTTCGTGTTTTCGTAATTGTATCTTGGTTCTTTTTTTGTAAACCATTCTAAGAACAACCTCTCCTCTTTACTTCCTGACCGAAAGAGGTAATTAGATTCATTTAAAAACAGAAAAAAGTCTACTGAAGACTGTAACCTGATATGTATGTTTTTTGCTGGTGGTCTCAGTGTGAAAGTGACTAATCTTGAATATTTTTAAATATTTCCAGACATGCCAAAGCTTTTTATCACCTTAAAAATTAGGTCACGCCAAACCTTTTTTCGATTTCTGTTTGCCACCACTTAAAAAGCATATTCCAAGATTCATAGCTTTCAGAAATAAATTTTAGATAACTATGAAACTTAGGACAACGTTCAGTTCTTTAGGTTTTTAGAATGTCAGTTATGTAGATTAAATGTTCATTTCCTCAGTAATAACTCGAGAACAAACCAATAAAATAGAAACAAAAAAATTCAAAATTGAATTCAAATTAACAAAATCTTTGTAGCTTAAATCTCGTGAGTTTTAATATTTTTGACTCAGCAATAAAACATGAGATGTAAAAAGCATTAAAATTTCTCTTAATTTCACCAATAAAACTAAACAAATTTCGCCGTGAATGGATCGTAAAATGAATAAATTATCAGCTTCTTTCATTTAATTAACATGTTTCTTTCAAGTCTTTCCGATTCTCTTGATGACAACTTTATATTATCACCTAGATATGCTTGGCGAATTTAGATAATTTCATAACGAAGCATCTTAAAAGATGTTCTGTATGTTTGAAATACACGTGAGATAAGAGTTTTATTTAAGCAGCTTTCGATGATGTGCTATAAACGGAAACGTTTCAAGACATTTGGAACTGCTCGTTCACAAATGATGTCTTTCAACAAATAGAACTATTGTACCATACTAGTCACAGATTATTTTCTCTTGAGTTTTGCATAGCTTCAAACTATCTACCCACTACCCATAAATACCAGACGTCATAAGTGAATGACCCAATCATTAAATTTAATTTCTTTGGTCATGCCAATTGTTATAATTATTTAACGCATATCAATCCGAAGAACCGCCCATGCGACTTGAAATGTCTAATTTAATTTTGATCCAAAAATGCACACGTAAAAAATCACATAGAAAAAAAAAGAATTGAATTGTAAGGCAAAAATTTTTTTGTTTGGTCATGACAATAATAAATGTAAAGAGCAATGAAAAATATTTTTCTCAAGGACCCTCGATCTCTTTTTGTAGTTATTTTATAGCATGTTGATGCGATTATAATTATTGTGTAATATATAGTTTGCGACAATTGACGATGAATTCTATTCTTGAAACATGAATTGAAAAATTCCCGTTTGGCGATAACGGTTTATGCTTAAGTGTTAAACGTTGAACATAGTAGCATCAACAAGAAAAACAGTGAATAATAAGAACAGAATTGTGGAAATAAGATGAGCATGATCTCATGAAAATAAATTTCACTAGACTTAAATTTTTATTTTTTATATAGAAATAATGTCAATAAAAAAAAGATATTTTTTTAAGGTAGGTATATAAGAAATACCGAAATAAATAAAAATATAAAATATTCTGCTGATTAAGAGGATGAAGCTTTTATGGAAATAAAAATTTATTGTGTATTTATACAGCGTAATGTATGGAAACAAATATGTGTGTTAAGCATACAAATGTGTTCATGCCTGTATACATTCTTTACATTGTCTATATGTATAGAAGAAAAAGAAAAAAAAATGTAAAAAAGTCAGCGGATATGGGTGATTAAAGCGCTCACAAAAAGCCACCAACGAGTGAAATTAACCATTTCCATTGATTGATTGATAAAGGTTTGGAACTGTTGATTCAGATTAATCTTTTAATTTACTGAAAAGCCTAATTAAGAGCTACAGATATTAATAGTAATTAGCATGCAATTTACAGCCAACAACTATCTCGCATTCCAATATTATTGAGATATTTTTGAAGGGGGTTCAGGAGATTCATGAAAATTTTACAATTTTTGAATGCAGGTTTCACTACTTTTTACAAAGATTCTTAGTCAAATTTGTCTATTAAACACTATTAAACAGGGAAGACCTGCAACACTGCATTTGTGCAGAAAATATCTTTGCTAGACACAATCGAATTGCTAATAACGGTATTTGCATGGAATCTAAAATCACCAGTTCTAGATAAAATCAATCGTGTACGATTGCTAAAATGTAAAAGTTGTGGTAGACCCGAAATCATTACTCTATAATTAATTTAAAGAGTCACCCAACCATCTTACCAAAATGAATAAAATATAGCACTTAATCCATAGAAAAATATGCGGTGGTTAAAAAAAATCTATTGATCTTCAAAAACACAAGAAGTAGTCTTAACAAAACTCTTTTTTTTGGAACATGCATGCATGTATTGCTTATGAACTTTCTAAATGTTTTCGTACTTATTTTTATGCTTTTTTTTATATTGAATACGTTTCATTTCACCAATGATGATCACGTCACTATCTTATAGATGATGAAAGAAATTTATTATGAATATCAGAGAAATTTTAATTTACGCGAAAGTTGCCACATACTTGAAATACATCGAATTCAATTCACAATTTATTTTACATCATGATTAAAAACTGTTTTTATATTGCAGGTTCAACTTAATGGATATTAAAAAATATCGGTTTTATTTCTAGCACAGTAAATATTTTTACAAAGTTTTTTTCAATCAATTATGGAATAATTTGAACTACCTTGATTTTTTTTTCTTCTCGCTATAAATGAATTCACTTTAAATGTAAAGTTGAAGTGATTGCTCGTTTTTTTATTTTTATTTTTGGGGTAATTTATGTCACTTTCATCATAGCCTTTTAAATTCAGGCCTCGTGAAATTTTCTTGCAATTATTAAGGTGCAGTTGTTGTTGTTGTTGAGAAACTTAATAAATAATAAAATAATACACAAAACTGATTCACACTAAAAGTGGACAAGTAGAAAGTATGCTACATTAAAGAAAATGCATTATTACGAAACTGTAATAATAAAGGTAAAGAAAAATAAAATATATATATTTTGTGTGCTCTACAACTAAGATCTTTAGATTCTTTATTTTTTTTTTCTCTATCGCGATCTTAAATTAAAGTTGTAGAGTCTTCGTTACTTCGGTTAATACTACACGGCTGACGCGAAACAACTGAGAAAGCAACTTCCAAGCAATGGATATATCCAAAAGACTGACTAAGCTTAGTAGTGTATGTGCTTGCAAGATGAATATTTTTCTTTCGTTCATTGTTTCTTAAATGCTTCTTTCATACATATCGTAGACTATTTGTAGTTGTTCATTATTTCTTATTTCTTGAAAAAATAAGCATAAACACTTGCGAAACTTAATAATTTATTCATAATATGAAATTTGTGGCAAATAAAATTTTATAGGATGTGCGTAAATTATATTATATTCATAATAATGGAAAATATTGCTTTATTATGTTCCTCTAATAGGTTTTTAAAGATTTTTTGATTGATAGTTTTCTTTTTAAATACGTTTTTCATTGACGATTGCAAGTTCTTTTATTGCTATTATGTTTTTATTGTCCAACGGTCTTTTGTAAGTTGAAATTTCCTAATTCTGACGTGTTTGGTATAATCACTGCTGTTTGTAGGCGTACTTATAAAATCGTTAATTTTCTTGTAGTCTTGTTTAAAAGAATCTTAGGATCATTGGAATCATTACAAATTTCTGGTATTTTTTGAACTTTATTAAGTTTGATCGATATTTCAAGATATACTCTAAATTAGTAAGGTTTTGCTAGTAATAATATTTTTAAGACTCTTGAGACTCGTCTTGTTCTCAATTTTGCTGCGAAAATATTGTCACTTTTTAAGTCCGTAATAAATTATTAAGCTCTTTATTCAACTTCACTGTTAATATTGGTAAATAATAAATATTGAAAAATTCCATTCATACTAATATAAAACATTCAAGAATGTGTGATCATTGCCAATGTTTGCTTATTAAACCAAGTTAAACAGTTCATTGAATGTTTTGAGTTATGGTCTAAAACAATAATAAAACCTTCAAAAATGTTCATCACCAAAAAATGCCCTAAAAGTTAAGGAGAGCTAAACACGTGGAAGATTTTTTTTTGTTGACAGTGCGAAATTTTTGAAAATAATTAAATTAAAAAGGAAATAATGGACGTACAAATCAATGCTGCACTTAATGGAATTAAGAATCTACGCGCTAGTGTATCTAATATATTTGAAGTAAGTAAACTGTTTGATTTAATATAAAATTTTATGATTTTTTTAAAATGCCGAAATAAACACAATTTTAGACAGCAATAACCGCTGAAGGAACCTTTTTACTAGAAGAATCCATTGCTTGTGTTACTCAGAACTTCAAGGAGACCGAGACATGCATAAACAATTTAAATGCTCCATCAGTTCCATTCACATTGGGAAATACTTCGTATCTTAATTATGAAACTGATTTGGAAAAGCAGAATGTAAGTAAATTAATATTGATCCTTCGATAATATATTTACTGGAAGTTGTTTCCTAGATGTACAATGAATTGGTGAATGGATACAAGTGGTATGAAAAGACTCATCAGTATTCAGCAATTGCTAGCACTCTGTTACAGCACAATTCTTTAAAACGATCGTATTTCTCATCATCCAACAAAAGAAGGAGACTACTTACAGGCGCACATACAGGTACAATAGTTAATTATAACAATATAGTAGCGTATCTTTTACTATAAAACTCGTCTAGTTCCTCCAAAACATGTCGATCATCTCATTAGCACATTCAACGTTAATAATATGCAGCTGAAAATCTACAGACCATTCGCAACAAACGCTTTTCTTCATGTGAGTAGCTTAATTTATTACAAAATTCTTAAAGGTGTACAATTTATGATTGATTAATTTGAAGATAAACTTGAGCCGTGTTTTGAAAGCAGCAATAATATTGCGCGGTTTAATGATCGAATGGGTCACTGTGAAAGGCTTTAACGAATCTTTGGATAATGTAGATGATCATTGGAGTGAATCGAGATATGAGGTCTTTCGACGAGTACAAAAGGCTGCACATTCTGCAATGCTTCACTTCTATTCACCAACATTCGCAGAATTAGCAATAAGAAGTTTCATAACATGGTTTGGAAGTTATAGTACTTTATTCAGTGAACCGTGTAAAATGTGTGGAAAACATCTGTTAAATGCACTTCCGCCAACCCATCGAGATGTTCGTTCATTAGATCCGACTCATGAAGAATGCAGGAAGTAGACAGCATAATTTATTTTGTCCAACTAACTTTAGGGATGTCAAAGTGCTCCGTTAGCTGATCTAATTTCTCATTAAACTTTTCAACCTATACAAACAAAATGGGAAATATTAATTAAATTAACTGATGATTATTTTAAGTAATATTCTTACCTGTTGTTTATGTGTAGTTTGTGCCTTTTCCTTGATCCTTTTGTTTTGCATTTTTTCTTGCATCTTTTTAAATGCCATTTCAGCCTTTGTAAAACGTTCTGGACCATTCTTGATCTGGACTGTATCTCTGTCAGTTTCTGCTATTTTTTGTTCCTCATTCTTCTTTGAACTCTTCTTCTTTTTCTTCTTTTTGGATATTTCACTGTCTGTCTTTAACTTCAACTTTCCCTTTGTAAACTGTGCATAATCATCAGACATTTCTAATCGTTTTTTTAGCTCAGGATATTATACAATTAAAGATTTTTCGTTTGTTTTGATTTTCCAAAAATTTTATAATTTTTGATCTCTCCAAAAGTTTTGAAAATTCAAAAAAACGTTATGATTAGACTTAATATTTTTTTACAAAGTTCAGCATTTTGAAATTTTGAAAAACGTTAATTTTTTTGAAATTTACTTTAAATGCTCGAAATTTATAAAAGGTTGAAAGGCTCTTTTTATTATTACACGCTTTTATTTAACTCACTCTGTTATGGAGCGTCAAATCTTGTAATCGTTATTTCGATCACTTCTACTGCTCCAATCGAGCTCAAATTTTTTATGCACACTTATTCTCGGTGAAAATACAATATTTTAACACTTTGGAACCACAAAAATGCTTAATTATAGTAAAATTTTAGTAAAACTTTTTTTATATGGGAAAAAACCAATGTCAATGACATATAATTTTGATTTGTTTAAAATATTATACTTGAAATGTTCAAAAGTCATTTACATGATTCATTATAGCTTAATTAATATTATTAATTATCAATTATACTATAAATTTGAATAGCTAAAGTAATTTTTTCATAGATATTCGTAACTGAAAATTTGAATTTTAAAAAAACCGTTAAGCGCAAGTCAGTTACGTTTTTAATACAAAATAACTATTGATATGCAAATATGCATTTAGCACAAATCGTTTGAGCATAATATATATGCTTTTAATGTATTTGATTGATTCTTAATGATTCACTAACATTTAATGAAATTCACTTTCTTTTTATCAACGGCTTGACGTAGTTTTGCATAACATATAAATGACATTCATTAAAATTAAATTTGAAAAATCCGTTATTAATACTTTAGTATTAAGTAGAAATGGTACGAATAAACACCAAATCTTAATGATTGATTTTTAATGTACTTTACTAATTGATGTTCAGGACACTTTTAAGAGTTAAATGTGTTTCCAAGTATGAATTGAATTATATAAAACGAATGAAAAATTTTGATAGTCTTTACTAATTACCCATTAAAAACTGGTAATCAATAAATAGTTGAACGAAACGGAGTGAAACTAAGTGAAGTTTAGAATTTTGAAAGTTGAATCGATTTAGAGATTTTAAAGACAAAAAAGTAGAAAATAAAATACTTTAAAAAAAACTTTTTTTAAAAAAAGCACGCTTTTATTTCCGATTACAGAGCACTAAAAAGGAGAAAATAATTTTTTTTGCTAAGCTCTCAAATTTGATACAAAATTTTATGACTCAAAATAAAAGCGTGGGGCGCTGTTATAAATATCACTAAATCTTGAATTTGTATGTTTACATAAGCGTTAGGTCTTCAATGTTTATAGGTTTGTCTAAGGAGAATGATGAGCCCATACAAATTATGGTAAATCTGAGACAGTAGACTTGATCTTTATGAGATTAATGTAGAGTTTTCTGTGTGGCACTAAAAATCAAGTCTTACTCTCCTGCTAAATCTAACTAGTTCCTTTGTGTCAAAAAATAATTTGAGATCAAATCTTTAAAAGGTCTTTCGTTTTAATGCAAAAGTTGAATTAAGAAATGGATAATTAAACTGAATTAAAATAAATTTTGGAAAATCTAGAACTAGTTTATATTTAACGCCCCACGCTTTTATTTTGAGTCATAAAATTTTGTATCAAATTTGAGAACTTAGCAAAAAAAATTATTTTCTCCTTTTTAGTGCTCTGTAATCGGAAATAAAAGCGTGCTTTTTTTAAAAAAAGTTTTTTTTTAAGTATTTTATTTTTGATCAAAAACTACTAATTTCTAGTAAAGTATCAAGAATATAATAGAATTCGTAAATGACAAATCTCCTAAAATTCTGATGAACTAAGTTCGAATCTATATTTAATTAAGAACAATAAACTGTCTATACCTAGATCTTCACATTAATTTAGCTATCGAACCTTTATTACTTATAATCAAGCAATGCATCTATTTAAATAGGGGAAATGATTTAGTAGAGAAATAACGAATAGAAGTTTTAGCAAATTAGAACGGAAGCGAGAAAAATTATAAATTTTAAAAGTTTTATCATATTTTTAACGCTTTTTTGAAGATTAAAAAACCCGTATTAAAAATTCTTATATCTGTTCAAAAATCAAATCGGAATTTAAAAAATTATTAAATACGTAAAAATAAGTACCATTAAATGAAATAAATAATTGAAAGTTAAAGATAAGAAGTGATATTATTATAATATTATAACAATATCATTTAACATAATTCATTTCCTTTTTCCTGCACTTTACATTGTTTTTCGTTTTGAACGGGAAACATCCAGTAAACACTCGGGGCAAAAAGTTAATTAAGTTTATCATTTTAAACAATAATAATTAAACAAGTTTAAAGGGAAAACATAACTGCCTGATAATTAAATAGTTTCGAATAGATCGAGGATATAAAATCAATAGAAATCTCATGAAAACTAATTAGAATCAAAAGTTTCAACTGTGTGAATATCGAAAATTTTGGAAACTTCGTTGAAATGCATATGAGACTTTCAAAAGAGCTATGAACCCCCTTGTCTTTTGAAAATGTGAGATCTATAGAAAGAAAAAAAATTTGTCGTCGCAAAAAAAATATTCTTAAAAGTTATTAATTCCTTTAAAAAATATTTGAATAGAGGTGTTAAAGTGTAAAGAATTCGTAATGCAAGAAGAAAATGAAAGTAGAGTGAAGAAAGTGAATAAAAAAGTATCAAATGCAAAAATGTCTAAAAATCAAAAAGCACCACAAAATCAACAAAATATTAGTGAATCACCACAAAATGTACGTTTGGATACATCAGAAAGTGACGAGGAATCTGTTTCAGAGGTAATAAACGTACAAATAATGGGATAAATAGTGATTTTACTTAATTTCTTTATTTGTCCCAAAGTGAAAATTTTCTCTCTGATTTCGGCCATTTGTGTGAATGTTATTTTGTAAGTGTATGTATAGAGGGGTATAGAGACATAAAAAGTAGGCAAAACTAAAAAAATTCTTCATTTAAAAATATGAAATGAAGTTTATTTAAGTCGATTCTTTATTCGTAATGTATGAATATGTGTTTTTTCTGACATTTTATCACTAAATTATCATATCTCGAGCATAAAAATTTATGCTTACTGAAAAGAACTTTTTTTAAGTCTATAATAAAACAGATAAAATTGATGATTATTTAATCATGCATTGGAAAATTTTCTTCAAACATCAATGAAATGAAGTATTTGTGGCATTAAGTATAATTTTCATAGTGTTTATATCATCAGAAAGTTTACAAAAGTGGCAAAAAAGGGTTAAAACGTCTTCTCATTGTCAAAATGGCTTCTTAAATTATGATAATCAATTTCAAATTCTGAAAAATACATTTGCAAATGCACATTAGAATTTGCAATTTTTTTTCTTCGTTCCTCTCTTTTTTTTTTCGTTCGTCTAATGGATTAGTTATTAGGAAAAAAGTTCATTTTAACCTGTTTTTCTTCAAGAAATTATCTTTAATTATTTTGGAAGAAAAAAATTTATTTGTTCCACATACAAAATGTACAAAAGAAAATTTCATTCGTGCCTTTTTCTTTTAATGAAAAAAAAAAAAAGATTTAATGCGAAATTTCTGATGATTTTGTGCATTGTTGCCAGTGAATGAATGTTAATAGTAAAGCTTACATTCACAATTATTTCAATTGAATAGAAAATTTTTTATTTCCACAAAATCCATTGACTTTAAGAACAAGTCTTTCTGTCTCAGTGCTACCGACTGTTTATTATTGCTGACGATGACAAACTATTTCTTCGTATCCATAATTCTCTTAATCAAGATTCAGTCAATGTACATCATTTTTATCAATCATTGACCTATTTATAATCAAAACTGGAAAGTTTTTTTGTATTTTTATTTATCCGGTCCTATACGAAGTAATTTAAACATATTTTTAATTCGTACGCTCTTTGTATGAACATAAAAGAGATTTTTTTTTGTCTGATGATTTTCATGTTGAATCTATTAAACTTTACACTTTGCTGCAATCCGCTTCAGAGAAATTCCTTTCCTTCATTTATCTTTCTTCAAAATGTACTGTGAATTAATGCATTTTTGTAAATAATTTTTTTACTTCTATTATCCATACTTAATGAAGGTATAAACTATGTCGTATTAGTGCGATATGAAAAAAAAATAGTGATACTACTGAGACAGTGTTTAAATTTTATAGTATTGGTGTAAAAAATAGTGATTTTCTCTTTGAGCACGCAGTGTTGCAAACTTTTTTTCATCGTCATCATCATCATCATCAATAATATTATTTTATTTTTTTCTATATTATTTATATATGCAAAATATACACATAATAATGAATATTTTCGTCAATTTCACCGTAATTTGAATGGATAAAGAAGTTAAATTGTAATGGAAAAAAGAACATGCAGAAAAAAATTCAATATTGATTCTTACGCTAGACTTATGAAATTCTAAAAGTTCTTGCAACACATTGAATTGAAAACATTAAATTATTTATTAAAATGACTATTAACATCGGAATTCCGAGAAATCCCCCTTATTCTAAAATAAAAAATTAATTCCAATAAGTTTCATACAATAAAAATCATTATGGAATCGTGTGTAATTTTTAGATTCTGCTGGCATGTCTTTGTTTAAGGCCAGGTCTTTTGGTAAGTTTAAAGAATCTCAACATTTACTATTATTTTTTCTAATTGTTTCATGAAATTTACTAAAAACGTATTTTGTATGATAAAAATTTAACCTAAACATCCATGTAAAAATGCATTCTGCATGAATGGCTTTATTTTTTCTTTAAATATTTTTCAAAACTCATAAAGATCGTGGCCTTGACATAGAAATGCTTTAATTTTGAATCTAAAAGGCGATGAAGGATATGCGGTGAATAAAAAAAAAAATCCTTTGAATTTCGTTTTATTTTGTGTGCCGACTAATTCATGACTCCAATTTTTTTTTTTCTAAGACAAAAAGATTCCATTGAGATAATTTGTTTTAATATTTTCTCCATCCAAAATATACCTCTTTTTTTAGGAATCATTTCCACAAGACAATGATGATATATCAACTGAAGAATTTCCCGAAGACGAAGAGTCCTGCGAATCAGAAAACGATCAAGAGGAGGATGTGTCAGACGAGGATTCTGAAGAGGAAAACACAGACGATGATTCAGATGCCACTGCGGATGAAGCTCATCAAAGTGGACCTGCTAAAAAATTTCTTTTAAATATAGATGACGACCAGCAAATGTCAAAACAAACGAGAATAGAATCAATATTAGAAGCTGCTGCGGCTAGTAAAGATAAACGAGGAAATCCAGTTCTTAGAAATGCTACAGCTGCTCTAGACGAAGCTGCTCAAACAATTACAAGAATGAGAAGTGACGCAAGTCCACGTGATAAAAAGTAAATATATTCGAATTTACTCACCTTAAAAAGAAATCAATACAAAACGGTTAATTTTTTTTTTCTTTATTTCTTTCATCTATTTTAGTCTCTTGTCTAGAACGCTTATAGCGGCTTGTACAGATAATGACGTTAATGCAGTTAGAAGATTGCTGGTAGAGGGAAATAATCTTAATGACACAGATGATGGAGATTCTCTTCTTTCATTAGCATGTTCAGCTGGTTATTATGAACTAGCACAAGTTTTATTAGCAATGTCTGCACAAGTAGAAGATCGCGGACAGAAAAATGACTGTACACCATTAATGGAAGCTGCTTCTGCTGGTCATGTGGAAATTATTGAGCTTTTAATACGACATGGTGCAGATGTTAATGCACAATCATCTACCGGCAACACACCATTAATGTATGCATGCGCGGGTGGTCATGTGGAAGCTGTAAAAGTTCTTCTTGCACATGGTGCTAATGTTGAAGATCATAATGAGAATGGACACACACCATTAATGGAATCTGCATCTGCTGGACATGTAGAAGTTGCAAAGGTAATTATCTTTAAAATCTTATACTTGTTACAAAAAAAAAACTTGATTACAAATGATTATAAACAAATAGTTGAGCTTTAGAGTCTGATAGTACCAAGTATTTTCGTGATTCAAGCATTGAGAAATATCTTTGATCTTATCTGATGTTTTATTTTTAACAAAAATAAAATTTTTACTTTGTCTTTATTCTGAATTACATAAACATTTTTTTGAACAATTTTGCAGATCCTTCTTGATCATGGAGCAGGAATAAACACCCATTCAAATGAATTTAAAGAGAGTGCACTCACTCTTGCATGTTACAAGGGACATTTGGATATGGTGCGATTTTTACTTGAAGCAGGTGCTGATCAAGAACATAAGACCGACGAAATGCATACAGCACTAATGGAGGCATCTATGGATGGACATGTTGAAGTTGCTCGTTTATTACTCGATTCTGGAGCACAGGTTAATATGCCAACAGATTCGTTTGAATCACCATTAACATTAGCTGCATGTGGAGGTCATGTTGATCTCGCTATGCTCTTAATTGAGCGTGGAGCAAACATAGAGGAAGTTAATGATGAAGGCTATACGCCGTTAATGGAAGCAGCGAGAGAGGGTCATGAAGAAATGGTTTCTTTACTTTTAACACAAGGTTTGCATATTTTTCTCTTTTAAAATTAAACAGTTCTAATTCTTTGATTATTAATAGGTGCTAATATAAATGCACAAACTGAAGAGACACAAGAAACAGCCCTCACACTTGCCTGCTGTGGTGGATTCCTTGAAGTAGCAGACTATTTAATAAAGCATGGTGCTGATATAGAATTAGGAGCAAGTACACCTTTAATGGAAGCCGCACAAGAGGGACATTTGGAGCTTGTTAAATTTCTGTTAGAAAATAGAGCCGATGTTCATGCGCAAACACAAACAGGCGATACAGCTCTAACATATGCTTGTGAAAATGGTCATACAGATGTTGCAGAAATCCTGTTACATTACGGTGCTGAGTTGGAGCATTTAAGCGAAGGTGGACGAACTCCATTAATGAAAGCTTGCCGAGCGGGTCATATCTGCACAGTCAAGTTTTTAATTCAAAAAGGAGCTGATGTTAATCGCCAAACAACTAATAATGATCATACTCCATTATCGCTTGCATGTGCAGGAGGCCATCAGCAAGTTGTTGAACTATTATTGGCACATGGTGCTGATCCTTATCATAAATTAAAGGATAATAGTACAATGCTGATTGAAGCTGCAAAGGGTGGACATACAGGTGTTGTACAACTCCTCCTTGACTATCCAACTTCAATTCCTCCGCCTCAACAACAGTCTGTTTATATTCCTGCAACTATGCCACATCAGACATCGCAAATGAATATAACACAAATTAAACAACAACAGTTGAAGATACTTCAGCAACAGCAGCAGCAACAACAACAACAGCAATTTATGGTTACTCCACCAGGCCTTCATGAAGTTACTGAAGTTATTCGCCTCCAAGATCCACCTGGAATGTTCCAGTCACAAACAGAAATGATTCAAAATCAAAATTATATTATTGATCAAAATTTAATGTCTCAAGTGTCTGATTCCTCCATGTTATCTCAAATGAAACTTCTTCAGTCAACGGGATTTAAGGATGGACTTGCGTATGGATTAACAAAGGGACAAAATGCTGTATCCTCAATTATAAATCAACAAAACGGAAATAATATTAATGTAGTAACATGTAATAATCAACAACCTCCATTAATCACTAATAACTTGTGCATGTCGTCATCGTCTTCTGCGTCGTCTTCAACTAACAAACAGAAAAATATTTCTCGTAAAAAGTGTTCTTCTGGATCATACAATGATATGCAACCTACAGGAACAGTTGAAGTTAGGAGTACTACTAACGAAGAAGAAAATGTTTCTTACATCAAAAGTAGCTTGGATAAGGTAATTTTTTTCTTTTTGTCTTTAGATAGACTAAATCAAATCAATATTAATTCAGCTCGATAATACTCTCCAAAAGAACATCCAGTTCATTCATGATTCGGGACCTCCATCAACTCTTTTACCATCAGGAACTTATGTCGATATAACAACAGCTGCCCAAGGTAAAAATTATTTTATATGATATGATTTAGATAAACGAAAAATAATAATAAAACGTCATTAGGCAAAAACATTAACTTAACATCAAATAATCAACTTCAAAATACTTCAACGACAATTAATAAACCAACACAATTAGCAACTAAATCCGAGGTTTCACAAGCAACTGCCATTAGCGATCGTCCTAAGGTAAAAGCGAAAAATTCCCGCAAGAGTCAACAACAACAGCAGCAACAAAATCAACAATCTCAAAGTGGAGTAAGTTTAGCAAACAATTTATAAGTTAAGCACTCTCTTAACCTTTTCTAAATTAATTTAATAGAAATTAGCTACAACACTCACTGCATCTAAGATTGAACAAGATATAGCTGACCAAGTTAATTTGAAATCTAATGCAACTATAGTTCCTCAAACCATTCAAGAAGCATCTCTAACATCTTATCAACCAACTTTAGTTATCGATGACATTAAAGATAACAAAAATTCAACATTTGAAAAGAATCATGCTTACAGTCTAGTAGATTTTGAAGCTTTTCAAAAAATGCCGCTGAATAATTTGTCAAATCGTTCTGCTCATTGGGATCCAAAAGTTTTCAGGAAAATTGCCCAGCTCATTGATCCGCCCAAAACGCCTAACGAGACTCCACCCCAGAGTCATAATAATAGTCGTCCAAACTCGCCAGAAGAGAAAAAACTTGAAAGTAAGTTGAGCTAATTAGTTTAAAGCGACTTTTATTAAAATTTTCTGGTAACTTTGTTTTAGATGAATTTAAGTCACTCATTGAAGAAGCAATGCATAATGGAATACGTGACAATAATGTAAGTGTACCTGATTTTTTTTTTAAAGTGGAGAATGCGTTTTAAATTCCAATTTCACACATAATGTAAAATATTTCATGTAAATTTTTCGTGCAATGATTTTTTGTAAGCTTATCTAACGGATTTTTCAAGTACTAAGACATTGCGAATTTACACTTGAGTACAGTTAAAGTTGAACCAATATTGCTTGCAATTTTATATACTGTTTTAAATGAATAATAAACGAAGGATTTATTGAAATATTTATTTTTTCTTAAATAAGGATGAGCTTATGCACGTAGAAGGATTAGAAAAGACTCTGACATCAATTCATCAACTGAATCCTGAAGAGTTTTCTGGTTGCGGTAATGCTTACCCATCATTGGAAGCAATAGAGTCATTCAATACTGAAGATGTTGCAGCAATTAGTACAGATGATGCTACAGGTCCTATTTATAATTATGAATGGGTTGATGAAATTATGCAAACCTTAAATGTTTCGCCTGATATTTCAAACGCTTTTCACGTAAGGAAATTAAGTTTTTTTTTGAAAACAGAAAATAATAATCTTTCAATTGCTTATTTCAAAATAGGAAATTGCCGCTAATATAAATAATCAGGACTTGGAGCAATATGCTAATTTCTTCGGTTTGAACTCTATCTGCAAATCAAAATGGTCTACACCACATTGGCCATCACATCAAATAACATCGCAGAGTACATCGCCGACAAATGAGCAAGAAGAAAATCTTATTATTCATAATGAAGGAGATCATATGGATGGAAAGCAGGACGATCAAAATTTATTGATGATTGATCAGACTGGATATACACCTCAATTTACTGTTGAACAATTGCAGTTATTGTCACAACTTCAGGTAATAAAATGACAAGTTTTAAAAGTGTAAAGTGAAATCAGTTTTTTTTGTATTTGCAGCAACAGCATCCTCTCCTTCAAATCGATCCACAGACTGCTCAAAATATACTCATGCCCTCGGGAACCGGATTTCAAATGTCACCTTCTAATATTATGACTGGTCAACAGAAAGGTGTTCCAGATACTCAACAGACTAAATTTGTATTTAATGTAGATGGAGAGAAAACATCACAATCCCTTCAACTCCTATTTCAACTTCCAAATGATAGTCAGCAGCAGCAAAATCAACAACTGCAGCAGCCATCAGTGACAATGAAAACGCCGAATTTAAATCAAAAAGTTCAACAAAATGTTGCACAAACTCAAACAATGCCAATAAATGCAAGCACTGCGCAGCCCATCCAACTTCCACAAATGTTAAACCACCAACAGAGTTTCCTCAATTTCCAATTGCAACAGCAACATCAAAATTTACAACCTGACATTCAAAATGCAATAAGTAATATGCAGCAGCAGCAGCAGCAGCAACAACAACAACAACAACAGCAGCAAAAAATTCAGCCAATAATGAATAAAGCAAATTATCAGCAAGTTGCTACACAGACCCAAATTGTAGGCACTCAAACCCAATCGCATGCACATTCGATCGATATTCAACCGCACCCTACACAAACAGTAAGTAAAACTACAAATGCACAATCGAGTGTATGTGGAAAGAAACCGAATATCTCAAATGATCAGAAAAGAAAGGAAAAGTCACGCTATGCATTAAGGCAAGCGGCATCAAATCAAAATCAATTTCAGTATGATCAACAATTACAGTATGCCAATATTCCTAGTACGACAGGAGTAACTGATCGTTCTATAGAAATTGACTCTGAAACAGATTCTAATCATGATACAGCATTAACACTTGCGTGCGCTGGTGGACATGAAGAATTGGTTGAACTTTTATTAAGTAGAAAGGCTAATATTGAGCATCGTGACAAAAAAGGATTTACACCATTGATCTTAGCAGCAACAGCTGGTCATGAAAAAGTCGTAGAGACTCTAATAAACAATGGAGCAGATCTAGAGGCACAATCTGAGAGGACTAAAGATACACCGTTATCACTCGCTTGTTCCGGCGGTCGTTATGAAGTTGTTGAATTGCTGTTACGATTTGGTGCCAATAAGGAGCATAGAAATGTATCCGATTATACTCCACTGTCATTAGCTGCAAGTGGTGGCTACGTTAATATTATAAAATTATTATTAAATCATGGTGCTGAGATCAATTCAAGGACTGGCAGCAAGTTAGGAATTTCTCCCTTAATGCTGGCTGCAATGAATGGACATACAGCAGCCGTTCGACTTCTATTAGATATGGGAAGTGATATAAATGCGCAAATCGAAACAAACCGCAATACTGCTCTGACACTTGCATGCTTTCAAGGTCGTCATGAGGTAGTCAGTCTTTTGTTAGACCGCAAAGCTAATGTTGAACATCGTGCCAAGACAGGACTTACACCTCTAATGGAAGCTGCAAGTGGAGGATATATTGAAGTAGGAAGGGTGCTTTTGGACAAAGGTGCTGATGTAAATGCAGCTCCAGTGCCATCCTCAAGAGATACAGCGCTAACAATCGCTGCCGACAAAGGACATTTGAAGTTTGTCGAATTACTTTTAGCACGAGGTGCTGCAGTAGAAGTTAAAAACAAGAAAGGAAATTCACCATTATGGCTAGCAGCTAACGGTGGACACCTTGGAGTCGTTGAAGCACTTTATCATGCAAAAGCAGATATTGATTCACAAGATAATCGAAAAGTGTCATGTTTAATGGCTGCTTTTCGTAAAGGTCATGTGAAAGTTGTAAAATGGATGGTAAATCATGTTTCACAATTTCCATCAGATCAAGAAATGACACGATACATTACTGTTGTTGACAAAGAAGTGGTTGATAAGTGTCATGAATGTGTTAAGATAATACGTGCTGCAAAAGAGACACAAGCAGCAAAGGCAAACATAAATGCATCCATTTTACTCAAAGAGCTAGACATGGAAAAGTCAAGAGAAGATGCACGCAAAGCAGCTGCAGCAAAGAGACGTGAGAGAAAGAAACGTCGTAAGCAAGAGAAAAGAGAAGCACAGAGAAAGGCGAATGGTGAAACAAATGTTCAAGCTAAGAATAATTCCAGTAATCAGAAGAATAAGAATAATAATAAACAAGAAGAAAGTGAAGACGAATCAGAAGAGATAGACTCCAATGATGAAGATAATGAAAATGATTTAGTTCCTGACAAAGAAGAAGGCGGAGATTCTGGTATTGATCAAGGTTCCTGTTCATCAACGGAAGCAAAAGCCAACATATTGGCTACTCATCAAGAAGTACCAGAAGAACAGCCTCCGAAAAATGCACAGAAAAATAAGAATAGAAAGAAAAATCAGCAGGAAACACCAAAAGTTAATAATAATACTAATAATAATAATAATAACATTTCTACGACAACAGTGAATAGCAGCAAGATTTCAAACAGATCGATTAGTCCTCTCCCAACAACAAGTACTAAAATCTCTGAAACTCCTAATAAAATCCTTTCACGTGAAATTGAAACGAAGAAGAATCGAGACCAAAAGAATCAACAGCAAAAAATAACCGAAAGCGAAAACAAAAATTTAAAACCAATCGAAAAGGAAAATGTTCCAATTAATAAAGCAAGAGATAATAAGAACGCAGAAAATATTAGAAATCACCATAAGAAATCTTTAGTTTTCGGCAATTCAAGATCAAGTGATGATTATGATGTCGATTTTTCAAAATCTAGTACATTTACTCAATCGTCATTAAAAACCAACAAATCAACAACATCACCTTCCAAACCAGCAACTACATCATCTTCAACAACGTATTCAAATATTTCAGCATCAAAATCTCAATTTAAAGGAGACGATGAATGGAAAGAAGTCGGAAGAAAGCCAACAACAACTCCTAATGTGGCACCATCAAATCCATCAGCTAATGAAATTGGATATAAAAAGATTCAAGTACCATTAAATGCTATATCAAGAGTAATTGGTAGACAAGGTTCGAACATCAATGCTATAAGAGCCGCTACTGGCGCACATATTGAAGTTGAGAAACAAGGAAAAACGCAAGGTGATCGTTCAATAACGATTAAAGGTGTTCCTGAGGCTACAAAGCAGGCTCATAACTTAATATCAGCTCTCGTCAAAGATCCTGATGCTGATATTTTGAGTATGCTTCCAAGAAATAACTTCCAACCTGTAAGATCATCTTCGAGTACTAACATTATATCGCCATCATCAACAGCAGCAATAAATAATGGAACGAGTGTTTGGGAAAAAAGTTTGAACACTATCCCAACGGTCACAAATCCAGTTAAGCCAGCTTCATATGCTGCGCCATTGAAAACTGCAACTCCACCAACAACAACAAGTGGTAAATCAATCACACCTACGCAACTTACTAAAAGTAATCAAAGATCAGTAGCAAAGAATCTTTTCACTGGAAGCAATATTATCCGACCAACACCAACATCAAATGCAAAAATACTTATGCAAGATGGTGCTAAGAAGGGCATTATTGCAACAAATGGACCACCCTCGAAACCAGCAAACAGTTCGAATTCTCAGTCATCAACAAGTGGTACATTTGCTTCCAAATTGAACAGTACGGGTGATATGACTATGGCAAGCGAAAAGAAAAATATGTCACAAATTAATCAATCTCCAATGAAACAAATATTTACATCGTCAAATGTTTCAACATCTCTACCAAACCCTTTCTCAAATACTTCAAATGTATCAACGGAAAGTAATTTACAATTGCAGCAAGCTCAGCCAATTGCTAGTTCAAATACATCCAATATGACTCGATCTATCACACCGATTGGCCCACCAACGAGAAATTCAAATGCATCACCACACACTTCGCATATAGTTAACACATTGGACTTAAGTACGCCATACAACAATCCAATTTCATCATCACATCCTGTAGGAAATGATTTGACAACACAAATTCAATCAAAACTTGGTGAATTACATGTTAGTGCACAAGGATTGGAATATTCATTATTCGATAATTGTAAGACTTGGTCACAAGAACAATCTGTGGCTTTTAACGAGCAGTTAAGTGCAACATTTATAGAACCTCCAGCTCCAATTATTTTTGATGCATCAAAAGCACCAGGATATCGTGGAAATGCTTCAATTAATTCTCCAGTAAGTTCGAAAACTTCAAGTAATTCAGCTACACCACCATCAACAGTTTTAGCCACTCAAGCTCCAACAAATGCTTCTAATAATGTGTCACAGTCAAGCGGTGCATATGGTGATATGAACTCTATCAAACCTATTGGTTCAGGAATGCAACAGCAGCAACAACAGCAACCGATAGGACCTGTTCAAAGACCAAACATGATGAACAATACAAGTAGAATTGATTCTAGCGTATCAAATGTGTATGGTAGATCAAGTGGAACAATGTTCGATAGATATATGCCAAACGAATCGTCTTATGGATCAATGAACTTTATGAATCCTGCCTCAATGTCTCGCTTAAATCCAAAAGCTTCTGCTTTCTCAACTAGTAATCTTCAAAATAAAATGAATTCAAATCAGTATGATACAGCATCAGCAAGTACTGCTAACACAAATACCAACAATAATAATGGCAATTCAAATAATAACAATTATATGAAGTCACAGACGAGTAACATGTCTGGACATCAAAATTATCATCGTACTTCTATGAATAATCAACCTTCAAGATGGCTCGGTGATTTAGGACATTCATTTGTTGGTCAAACAATGGATTATATGGCAGCCGGATCGTCTCCAAATATGTCACCCAATAATAATAACAACAATAACAACAATACAATTAATGGCCCAAATGCTACAAACGTTATAGACGATTCAAGAAAGGCACCAAGACCGATCGGAACTGAACGTCATAACTTAAAATATAATTGCTTCCAATATCCGATGAATCAAGCGCCACCACCGAATAATGTTATGGACTTAGATAGTCAAATGCTAGGTCAAATCGGACCCAATTCATGGTTGGACAAAAATCAACATCAATGGCAAGCCCCGTCTAATGTAGCTGTAATTCGAAATCCATATGAAACTACAGCTGACTACATGATGCCAGATCTATTTCAAGTAAATATTTAAAACATTTATTTGTAATAATTTTGTCATCTTAACCACAAATTCTGTTTTTAGCAACAATATACTATGGATCAGCAAATGGGATATACACGAAATGGAGCGCAAGGTCCTAATAATCATCCTTACCATACAAATGTATATATGAATGATTTGTCAAATCTCACTACAAACGATTTGCAACAATCTTCATATGAAAAGCAGCAGGTATGAGCAAATAATTTCTATCGTGTTTTCTGGATAATAAATCATTTCATGTTTTTTGTAGCCATGGACAGCAAAGTGGACACATTAAATTGATGATATTGGAAAATTTCTTCTTGATTAAAAATTCGATAATCCTTTTTAATAATTTTAGTTTGATGACATTTTTGAATCATATAATTCGTCTTAAGGACTGCATTAAGCATTGTATTTCTATTACTTTTCTCTTTTTCTTATTAAAAACATTCATATAAAATGAAATCAATTCAACAAGACAGAATACAACGATAAACATCATAAGTTTTTTTTTCTTATTTGTTACTATTCTAAGATTTTCTTTCCCTATATTTTGACAATATTGACTTATTTAAACAAGAAGAATAATTCAAAAGGAAGTTAATACCGAAAACTAAATCGAAATGGGCGAATAATTATAAGAAAAATGAATAAGTTACTTGGAGACATGTAGCACTATTGTTTTGGAAAAGAAATGTTTTTAAAAACATTAGTGCATTTTACGCATTCTAATTATAATCCTTCTTTAAATTAGATCATGTTATGCTGAGATGTGTACGCTGATATCTTATTATTTGATTTAAACTTTTTGTAATCTTTATATTTCTAAACATTATAAAATTGGAATTGATTCCGCAAACAGAATTAGATGGTGGATGACATGAAGTAAAGGAAGTAAAAAAAAAACTAAAAGTTTTGTTTTGTTATAAGATATATTTGAGAGAGTAACATGCAAATGGCATGAGATAATTTTTGTGAAGAGAGAAAAATTGTTTATTTTAAAAATTGGTAAAAAAAATATATAAAATCACTTGATTCTTGAAAGTTGTAAGTTATAAAAATGCTTTGAAGAAAAATAAAATAAAATTTCGTAAAAATCAATGCTAGAAAATACGAATTTTGCTAAATAATTCAAAACGATGCAAGAGAAATTGCAATGATAATATAATAAATTATTATTATTATTACTATTCTTATTATGCATGATGAAAAGTAAAAAAAAAAAACATTTAAATCACTGGATAAGGATGATGAAAATTCTACTATAGTAATATATAAAAACTGAATATTAAAAGAATAAAAAAAATATTGTGTTTCATTTTATTCACAAATACTTTTGTTGATTTTCAGGTTGATTAAGGTCAATTCACATGTTCTTCGAATAAAAAGAAGGAAATGAACAAGTTCAAAAGGTTAGAAAACATTGGCATTAGTCATTGTGCAAATATTTATTTTTGGGCAAATTTATCATTAAATCAGACAATATTTTGATACAATTTTTTTTAAAGTCACCCCAATAGAAACTTAATATTTTACACGTCCTACCTCAAAAATTTATAGAACCTTTATTCTTCTGGTGGAAACATTGAGAAAACATTCGCATAAAACATGCGCAACATACTTAAACAATACACTTAGCATCATACAACAATCAACAATTCGGCTTGAGAGAAATAACAGTTGGTGAGGAGTTAGTTCACATTTGATCGTTGTTGTTACACAACAGATGCTTTCTTAACACTCGTCCGTTTAATCTAAATTTTTATTTATTTCATAGAAGTTAAAAGACAAAAACCAATTTGTGTAGAATAAGGGTGAAAAAAGAAAGGAAGAAAAAAAGGTATTTCAATAATAGTAATCAAGGAATAATGAACAGAATGAAGAAGTGGTTTATAAAAAATCATTAAAATGATTTAAGTTAAATTATTAAAAATACATAAAGTGAGGTCGATTCTGTTTTTAAAAAATATATTAAAATTAGATGCATGAGAGTGAAAAAAATATCAAATTACAGAATAATTAATTCAAAAGTGCATATAAGGAGTAGTTTATGAAAGGCATTTAGCCTACGATAATTTTGTTATTATTTTATTCAATGGAATTCAAAGAACTTCAATAATTTATGAGAAGGCAGCAACAGTCAAATTTAACCTTTTTCATTTGTATTAGTGAACGTACACAAGAGATTATGTGCGTTGATATCCCAAAAATAAAAAGTGTTTAACAAAAAACAATTTTATGCTCAATAAATAATTTAACACTTACGCTGTGTGTGACTTTAAGATGCGAGATTGCAAAAAAAAATAACTCGATTATATTTCCTACAATTTTCATTTCATTTATGCGATATAATAATTAATGGATGATGATTATAGATCAACTAAAGGAAATCATAATGAAAGAGAAAGTTTGACTTCAATGCGTAGTAATAAAAAGATTTCTTACCGAAAAAAAAAAAAGATTTCCCATTTGAAAATAGTGGAGACTTCACTTTCTATATTAAATTTATTAAAATTAATCTCATTCATTGAACTGACTTCCAATGATACATAATTTATACGTTTCTTCCCCGAACTATTTCGCTCAGAAACAATAATGTGATCATCATAAAATATGTAACGAAATGTGTAACATCTGAACATCTTGTTCGTTGGGAATAAAATTTCTTTTGATGATGAATTATGTGTGTGTGTACGAGTGAGTCTAGAGGAGTTGACCCCAAAAAATATATACATAAGAATGACTGACTATTAAGTCGAGGCGATACGGTTGACGGAGCATAAGACTCTTGAAAAAATAAAAACTTTTTTGTTTCACTCAAAAATGTATATAAAAGAATTACTACTTACTTCTTACTGAATAATGCTCAAACACACATGAAGAGGCATTAAGCAGTTCTGTTTTTGCAATTTACGTCAAAAATAATTTTAATGATTTTTTTTTCTTTAAATTTTGTACAATGACGAGGTTCTTTTTTTGGCGCAATTTTCCCTCTGAATTATAGATGATCATTTTGATTGTCGTAGACTGGATTGACAGTCGTCATCATTTGAATTATAATATTTACTTTCTTGAAGGTCATTCCGGATTATTCATGAAAAGTTTTCAATGGGTAATTCCATTTGCAATTAATAAAGTAGCCAATTACACTACTCGCTTTAATTGGATTAAGTTAATGAAAAAAATGTATTATATAATTGATAAAAGATTTCCATAAAGTGCATGGTTATGAAACATTAAAGCCAAAAAAGCATTGCGAATCATCAAAAGATTTTTTTTATTGTTCCTCATAAACATTAATGAATGAAAAAAATAATTTTAAATATGCGCTTTAATTTACTCAATGAATTTAAAAATTAACTCTCTCTCAATTTTGTTTTTTTTTGCTTCTCGTTATTTCCTCAATAAAGAACATTGTAAATTTTTTTGAAGTAGCAGTTAAACTGCATTAATGACAACAATGACAACTCTTGAATCACTGGAGGCGAAGGTAAAATTGTCATACTAATTTTTATGTGATTGAGTTTGAACAATAAGAGTTGTAATTACACACGCAGATGGCAAATATAGAGGAGTCGTTATGCTTCTCTCTATCACCCCGACGACATAAATCGGGATCATCAATCAAAAGTTTATCGATTCATTCACCACAGAAAATAGACACGATGAGTCGATTGTCGAGTGACGATCATAAACATCTTTTACAAAAGTATGTAATTTTACATTTTTGTTTTCAATATGGAGGGAGTACTCGATTTGCAAAGCATCATTTAGAAGAGGGTTCAAAAAATCTCAATTTGGTCATCAGTTGTGAATGTCCCCTTAAAAAAACTGAACCAGATCGAATTTATTAAAACCGAGGTCCCCCTCCGTATTGAATAATTCAATGGAATTTATAGATTTTCATTTTCATTATTTGTTTCTCTTTCTTTGTTATTATTCCACAAAAAAAAAACTAGTTCAAGAACATCGCTGGATAAAGACCCGCAACGTATTTCGGATACGCATAATGAAAAAGACTTGAAAGAAGCACTAACGAATAACGCCAAAAAAGTTGATTTATTGAAGATCGATGTGAAAAATAAGAAGTCGGCAATAAAAAATTTAAAAAATGCTCTTCATAAGGTAACGCAGTGCATAAGTGAAGGTACAACATCGGATATAGATTTAAGGATACGACAAGCTGAATTAGAATATGCTTTAGGAAGAGAAGAACTTCAATTACTTACAATTTTAGAAGAAGTTAAAAATTTACAATTAAAATTAGAAAGTGAAACTTATAAGGCAGATAGCAATTCCCTCTACGCCCTTTTGTCAAAAGGACATCAATTTAGTTTACATGCAATTCAAGCCTCAACTGGACGATGGAATGCAAATAAAAAATGTGATAGTGATGCATTTTATGTCGATTGGGTGTTGGATGGAGAAGAGCTCCAACGTGGAGATAGAATAATTGAAATTAATGGCAAAATTCTTACTGGACGTGAGAAGGATGAGCTGCAAAAGTCATGTGCAAATTGTACTAGATGCGATATGGTTGTGATTCGTAAAAAAGTTATTTCTGCAAACGTTTTGTCTGCAAATATTGCCAACTATCAACAATTACAAAAGTCACAAGCTGACAATCTAAGACTTCAGCATCGAATATCATATCTAGAAGAACAAGTTAAAGAATTGCTTGACACACAAAAAGGAAAAACATCTTCAACATCAAAAACAGCTATTATACCAAATGGAAAACAAAGTAGTGGAACTCATATTACGAATATAAGCATATCATCATCGCCATCTGATGAAGATCGACCGGTAATATATCAACGTGGCTCATTCGTGACAACTATTGTTGATAATAGAAAGAACGGTTCGAATGAGAATTACGTATCAAAATCTATTCAGAAATCATCCTCAACGACAAATGTTAATATGCATAAAGAATTGAGTATAATGAATAGTTCATCAAAATCTATTAAAAACTTATCAGCTTCTCTGTCTCGTATTTCTGTAAGCACTGATATACATTTACAGAAATATCGTAAAGAAAGGGAAAAGAAAGAACGAGACCGGTATGACCTCAAATATATTAATAGAGGTGTTCTAAAAAGGTAAGTTCTTCAAAAGTTTTCTAGACTAGGTCAAATAATTCTTTTATTACACAATTCATGAAATTCTCTCATGTTATCCTCTTGTTTAAAAATTTATCGTGGAATCATTCACAGATGGCATCTAGAATTTTGACCCAAGTCTAGTTTAAGTTGTACGAATGTTATGTGTCTTACTACCAGATGTCATTTGTGAATAATTCTCATCTCTGCTGCTAATTAATGAAATTTAAACGTGAAAAGTTTTTAGTTGCCAAAACCGATAATTCCATTTTAAGCATGAATAAGGCATGAAATTCCACAATTATACTATTTTAATTGTATTTTTTTATTAATTTTTCTTTTTCACGAATTACTCTAATTAGCGTCAATAAATCCACAGTAAATACGTCGATGAATCAGACGGATAAATTGTATGTGAAGCAAAAAAGCTCGACCGCAAGGAGCACGAAAAGTTTAGGTTATGATTATGATACTGACAATAATGTGAATTATAATTATACGTCCGAGCCGGTATGTGCAATTAAGGTACGACCAACACCACCGACAAAACCACAGCGATTGTCTCTTCAACGGACGAAAAGTTTGCAGGAAGTCAGCGATAATATATTAACGCCATTAAGTATTTCAATCGATAAGAATAAGCGTGCAATGAAGCGAATCCATAAAAACGAAATACAGCAGCAGCTGTAGGAACTGACTGAATAAGAGATAGACAACACGTCAAATGATATATCAACTGAAATAATGAGTTATAAGCCTGTCTAATGATATTATTTTTAAACGGAACTTGCCTCGAATTTTGTGTGTAGTTTTACACTTGTGTACTTAATAAATTTATGAAAATTTTTACAAATTTTTATTTTAAAATTTAAATTTTAAAAATATTTCCAATTAAATCTCAGTTCTTTTCCAGCAATCTATTAATTCCATGTCAGCATAGAATTCCAACGAAATGAAATCAAAATGTCGCTGAAACATGCGAAAAAGCGATAAAATGAAAATCCTTGAGACACTTTAATCTTTTATTCCTAGAATCTTTAAATAAGCAGATGCAAATATATTCAAATTTGGACTTTCTTGGCTCTCACTGTAATGTTAAATATATTATTTGGTCTTTGAACTCATTTACATTTACATAAAGTTTCGTGAGCTACAAAGGATGTTAAACAGCAGTTCATTTGTATTTCGGCTACTCATTACTTCGTGACATGTTAAAAATACAAATAAATAGTTGGTTCTTAAGAAATATCCACACCGTCTTAAAAGGATACCGTTTTGTCCTTGAAAAACTGATTGTTGGTATTTCAGATTTAGGAAGCTCAATTTATTGTATTTGAACTTTATTCTGGTAACATTAAGGTTTGTGCAGCATAAAATTATTGACAGTTTCCAGTGTCGATTCTACAACAATTAACCTTTTTGGGTTTCGAACTCATGATCATTAGAATTTTAAGACTTTAAATCAATTAATGCTGATCCACGAACCCATATCAACTCATCTCATCCATTAAGTCTTTAAAAAATCTTTAATTCTTTTCCCTACTAAAACTGTTGTTTCAAAGATAATTTATGGACCGACAACTGAAATGTTACTTACATTAATGCGACATGAACAAAACGATCTTCAAAGCAATTAAGGTTTACAAGCTTTTAAGCTTCTTTTTCTTTTTGATCTGAGATAATTTGCCACCTTTAATTTAAAATGAATTTTCAAAAAAAAGAGAAAATATGTGAATTATTTTTATAGAAACACAATGAAGACGTCATTTGCAGATACAATAAAATGTCTGCTACTGAAGGTTACATCTTTATTCGTGACTTTCTACCGTAAAAATATAGAATAGATTTTATCACATGTGTTTATCAAAGTAGTTTTTTATAGTCAATTTTTTTTTATCAAGTTGGTTAAATTAATCAACAATTTATTCTATTGTTTGAGTAAAAAAGATAATTTGCACGAAATGTATGAAAATTAATGTAAATATTTCCACAATGTTGAGTAGTTTTTAGCGGTCATGACTGATCTTAATTGGAGTTATTCTGTTTTTTTTTTTCATAAGAAAGATGTATTTAATTTTTTAATAGATAAGATTCATGCATATTTATAAAAATTGATAACAAGGTGAATTAAGAATCTCTGATTGTTGCACATAAATTAAAAATTTGGTCAACTATCTACTTAAATAACAAATAATGTTATTCATACCCAGAAGCATAGTCAGGAATGTTAAACTTTAGATTAACTTTTGGATTATTATTTTTTAAAAATCTTAATCAATCTCAAACAAATTAATGAATTTTCAATCAATTGAGCAGAAAACCATTAACCCTTTTTACTCCTCATCTACACATTTCAACTTAAAAATCGTTCAAAGATTAAAAGAACTAAAAGTAGCAAAAATGCATTTGCAAGGAAGGTGCGAACATAAGAAAAGTTTCTTGAACTCGTAAGTTACAGAAGCACATTCTCAAATAAGTTTTCTATTTAAATGTTCGTTTCTAACTCAATTTTATTTATGTTGTCTCGACATAAGCTCAAGAAGGTATTAAAATTATGGCATTTTTTATATTCTCAGAATGAAGCTTCTTGTTAAATTTTCTTTCGTTAAACGTGAGCTTTTGCAGAAAATAAAAATTTTCTTGACATTATGAGGCATTATTTAGTCAGCTTTTAATTAGAATATAATCAAGAACATTACATTTCTATGCCTGCTTTTAAAAGCCTGCCTAAAAAGTTGATTGAACTTTGGACTCAACAGAAGCTTTCAATTTTATTCATCATTTAATTTTGTTTCCATTAAAATATCATTAAATTGATTCTCTTCAGGCTTTTTTGGAAGGAAATGACAAATTTATTCACATGTCATTTTCTACTAGAAATCCTTCGATTACTTTCAGATAGTACGCATGATGTCAATAAATTCATTAATATCGATTATTTAATGTAATAAATTTATTATAGAATATGAATGAGCCAATAGCTACCTCATTTATTAGAATTTGACAAAAAGAAAAAAGAAAAACGAAAGTATTTACTAGTGTCGAGTATTATTATGAGTAATTCATGATTTTTATCATTAAATATTAAAAATGTGGAGGTGATAAATTTTGGTCGAATTATCAAAAATGTAAATTATTGTTGTCAAGCATTCCTTGTTGCTTTTAATAAGACGGGTCATTTTCAGGACCTCATTTTCAGGAAAAGTGTTTCTCACTTTTTTACCACTATTAGGAATTAAATCTTAATAGTTTAAATACTTTTCACATGGCTTTTCCTTGCGAGCAATAAATAATAATAATAATAATAATAAATATAAAATCACTGTGGTTTCTGTGTAGAGCAGAATCTAAGATACTTAATCACATGACACGACTCTGCCAGATTAATGGTAGACAATAGATTGGATAAACAACTGATTGGATCCTAGTTAAAAACCGTGGGTTCTATTTCCACCTAAGGCAAGATATTTTTGGTGACCAGATATTTTTTTTAAAAAATAGAGGACATCCCAAAAATCTCCCAATTTTTAACGTTTTTGGGACGAATTAGAAGCAGTTCGATTCCCAACATCCAGTCCGACCTCTCTATCAATACATAAAGTGTTGAATCTGCACAATCCTTAGGACATTGTTATAACTTAATATATTGCATAGCTATCAATTTTGCTATATCCAAGCAATATACAATAGCTCTAATCCTTTCAAAAATAATTATGATCCTTCATTTAACAAAAATCATACGATAAAAAAAAACTCATAAATGAATTTGTAGATAAAGTGCCATTTCATGCTTTTTCAGGGATGAGATCATCAAAGGTAAATTTCCAATTGTATTCATATCGAACGAAAGCTTTGTTTCTTTTCTTCTTATTCTGCATAGGAAAAAAGTTACTAAATAGTTTCATAAACTAATGAAAAAGCGAGAAAGTAAGTTGTAAGGCGACAATATATAAAATATATAAATGTATTAATTTTTCTGAGAATGAAAAGAAAATATGCGTCAAAGTTCCATACATAAAGTTATGAGAAAGTATTTGAATGAGAAAATACAGCACAAATATCATGAAAGTGTTAGAAATCAAAGTAAAGTAAATTATATGTATTTTTTTTGTTACTCGTTCGCTACTAAATATTTAATTACACTTTCCCTTAATAATGTACATAAAAAGGACTAATGGGTAAGGAATGCTATAGCAGTGGTCAATATAAAAACTTCCATGCTGTTTTTAAATGTCAATGAGAATTGTTGTTGTTAATATTGGATGAAGGTGACACTGTAGGCTTACCATCTAATTTTCATGAAAATACAGGACTTTTGGTAAATTTTTTCGAAAAATACAGGACATAGAGTAAAATTCGAAAATTAACGGAAATTTTCGTGAAAAAAATACAGGACCTGGAACAAAGTTTTCAAATTTATACAGGACAGGGTTTTGAAATACAGGACTGTCCGTTGTAAAACTACGCAGATGGTCACCCTAGGTGACACTCGATGATAAATTCAACGAACTAAAAACGGAATTTAAAAAAAAATGAACGAAAATTCTACAAATGATTTAAAATTGACCTTTAAATAGCATCTTATTTTCCATTAATCGATTCTCAATCTTTAATTCTTTGCTACTAACAAGAGTTTTTGTATCCGAGTCTGACTGCATCTCTAGGTTTGACAACATTTGAATCTTTAGCAAAAAACGATCCAAAGTTGACCATGGTCAACAAACAATTCACCGCGGAAGTTTTTAAAAAATAAGAATCTTCGTTCTTTTCTAACATGGTAATGAGTATAATCGCCACTAGCACGATAGTACATATCGTAAGTAAACTTTTATTCAAAGAGAGAACAGCGTGTTTAGGTCACTTAGTTCATTTTTTACCGTTGACCAGAATAGTACTGAAAAGTGAAAGTGGGAAAAACTTTTATTTTCTACAATGCAGTTTTCAGAAGTTACTAAAGGAGTTATTAAATATCTCCTATTTTTCTTCAACTTTCTTTTTTTGGTGAGCTGGTCGTGAAAAAATTCGAATTTAATTTAATTTAATTCAAAAAATCGTGAAAAACTTCGAATTTAATTTAATTTAATTTTTTAAAAGAATAAAAATTGAAAAAATGAAAAAAATGTTTAAAAAGTTTAAAAGATCAAAAGCTGTGGCACGAAATTGAAAATTCCAAAAAGTTTTTCAACAAATAAAAGCCGCATAAATCCTCAATTAGAGCAATTTTTCCATAATCGATTTTAGAATTTATTTCACATTCTTAAGAAAAAAAAAATTGAGGGCAAGGAGCATGAATAAAAATGTTTCTTGCCCTAAATTTTCCATTTGTTTTACAAATTACCATAAGTTTTTCTAAATTACCCTCAAACTTTATCTCAAGAACAGAACAGAAATAAAAGTAATCTAATTTTTTTGCTATCGATGGTCATGATCATTTAATATTCAAGCTTAATGAAGCACAAGTACAAACAACAATAAATTATTCTTTTCACACAATTTTCTTCCTTTTATGTTTATTTTTCCTTTCATTTACGTGTGACCAATGGGAAAATTAGTTTTTCGAATCTTTTGAAAAAGTCGTTTCCATAGACCATTCGACAATGAATTGTCCCAATTACATATTAAAAAGGAAAAGAAAATTTCATTTCTATAATTTTTTGTTGACACCAAAAAAGACCGAAAATATGAAAAATAAAAATGTCAATCGACCACAGTGGTCATTAGTATTGATGTGTAATTTGGTGTATGATCATTATTAGTGACACGAAAACGTGCCTGTATTGACCATTTCCCCTGGTTTAATATTTGAAAAAAAAAATCTTTACATTTTTTACAGATATCTGGATTGGGAATTTTAATCGCTGGAATCGTCGTTCTTCATGATGTCACCGATTTCAATCACTTCCTTGATGACAGAATCACAGCTCCACCAATTATACTCATTATTGCTGGATTATTAATATTCGTAATCGCATTTTTTGGTAATAATCAATTATTCATGTTATGAAACATACGAGGCATACATCAAAGCATGATGTGCATAAATCAGAAAGAATGGATGGCTATTTTTAACAAAATCTCAAATTTTCTAGCTAAGCAGAATCGAATTTTTTGTCACAAAAACTTTCAAGTTTTTTGAAATCTCAATTTCCAATATTTATGCTTTGAAAGAATTCAACAGTTCCCGACTGTTGCTATAATGAATTGCAAAATTTTCAATTTTCTAAAGGGATAATTTATGAATGATGTCTAATCAGAAACAAATCTTTAATTTTTTTGACCATTTTAAATATGTTTTTATTAATAGTGAATATTAATAGGGAAGAAGGAAGTCTTAACTTCCGAATATATTTCAAAATTCAAAAATCATTGTGGAAAAACAATTTCTAAGACACAAAAAAGGTCGTTTCCAAAAAAAAAGTCAACACAAAAAATAATAGGTGTCTTAATCCAAGAATCCAATATCGTTCGGATGTTTAATTTTTTTTAAAAAATCCTTTGCATAAAGAACTCAAATGTTTTTTTTTGTTTATAGGATTTTAATTCATTAAATTCTCTCAAAACTTTTTGTCATCAATAACGATTTCTCAGAAAGCCATCAAATATTAGACATTAAACCAGGGTTGTCAGATAGGTACCTTTGAAAAGGTGCCTCAACGGAGCATGGTAGCTTTTGCCTTTATCTAGTCAACACCTAGGTATAGGCAAGCCTAGCTAAAGGCAAAAAAGTGTGCCTAGTCAAAGGCAATACCTAGCTAAAGGTACTGCCTTTGTAAGATTAAATCTTCTATAGAAATTGCCTTTTACCTTTAGTCTTACTCGTTGAGTTTTTGAACAATAATGCAAAATTTCTTTTGTTTGAACCATTGAAAAACTACAGACCCCCTCCAAATGACTGAAACGCCGAATTTGATTTATCCAAGGCGACAAAATTTTTGATAACGACTAATTAAATTTTTTAAATTTTCGACGTAGCAAATTATTGGTTTAAAAGAAGGTATGATTCACTATTATGCTCAAATAAATTCAAATTAAGGAAAAAAGGTGTTTTAAATTTAAAAAAAAAACTCAACGAGTAAGACTAAAGATAAAAGGCAATTTCTATAATAGATTTAATCTTACAAAGGCAGTGCCTTTGGCTAGGTATTGCCTTTGGCTAGGTATTGCCTTTGACTATGCATGTCTAGGCAAAGGCAAAAATTTCTGCCTATACAAAGGTAATGCCTGGGATAGATTTTTGCCTTTGATAGGAATTCGATAGGTGATAACTCTGCATTAAACATAAATCGCCCCCTTTTTTTGATAAACATAATTGATGAAAAATTATTCATGCTTTAACTAATGATTTATTTCCTATTAGGATGTTATGGTGCTTTGAAAGAAAGTCCAAAGCTTCTGTATGCGGTAAGTGAATACAAATTTTTTTCTCGTTTTACTTCCATTTAAATCAATACACGATACAAAAAATGTGGAAAGAGAGCCATTCAAGGTTACCGGCAATTAGATAAAATTATTATTGACTTAGGAACATGCTAATTTTGTTTTTATTTGTTCATTTTGCCAGTTTGCATTCCTGCTTGCCATCATTTTCATAATTGAAATTGCTGTTGGAATCGCTGCCATAACATTCCGAAATGATTTGGAAGGAATTCTTAATACACAATTAAGGCAATCTATGATTCGACAAAATAAGGTCAGTATAAATTTCACTGTTCCATATATTATAATTATAGTTTTTATATTGTTGCATTTTGTTTTGTGAGCATTTGGGCAGAACCAAATGCATTTAAGGATATTACAAAAGGAGAAAAGGGGTTCTTTTATGTGTACTTATTAATTATCATGTTTTTTTCTTTATAATCATAAAAAAAATTTCCTTAATACGCACTAATGTGTTTTTCTTTTTAACAAATTAGTGTTGATTAATGCACTGGTGCGCATTATCTTCGAGAAATTTGAATTTTCGAGACATATGTGTCATTAAATTTCCTTTAACAGTCTCACATTAATATAATTAAAATTGAATTTCAATTGAATATAGGATGATATGATGGCATGGGATACTGTCCAAAAAAAATTACAATGTTGCGGTATTGATGGACCCAGAAATTGGTTCGAAAAGAATGAGACAAAAGAAGGTATGAAATTAAAATTCTCGTATCTGTTTTTAAAATTGGATTTACAAATAAGCATATTTATTCTCAAAGCCGTTCCTGCCAGTTGCTGCCGCCCACAATATATTGACAGAGATACACAAAATTGCTTGAATGCAGCTCCTTTGTATATGTGAGTTATGATTATGTCATTTTTTAAAAAACATTTAAGATGCTAATGATATTTTAATTTATTTTATAGGGATCGCGTTTACACGGTATGTAACAGCATGATTTATGCTAATGACGGTTTATGAATTGAAAATATTTTTATGGAAAAATTTATTCACTCACTTTTCATATCTTTCACACGTTATATTTATTATAGTTTGAGACCGTTATGATGATATTTTAGATGCTTTTATTTTCTTAAAATTTAAATTTCAAAAAGGGCTTTGACAACATCATAAAACTATGTTTCTGGTTCATTTGTGTTGAATTTGATCTATTTTAGCGAGCATCTGGAAATGTTTGCGTGTTATGAAAATGATTTGCATTTTGAAGTGATTTAATTTTAGAATTGTTTGGATGGAGAACATTACAACCACTTTTGAATGTTTCATACAGATTTTAAACTTATGGTTGCATATGAGACATTATTGGAAATATTTATGGGGATTCGATGGGGTTCAAATCTTATTTAATATATATAAACTATACTTTGCGCACTATCAAATTACATATTCACTATGGCACTACATTAGCTTTAAATACATTTTTTCAAATTAAATTCTTTTTATATTAATCAACAAAATACAGGAAGGATGTCTCTCCAAAGTCCACGATCGTGTGGCTTCAAAAGCATCAATCTTGATTGGCGTTGGAATAGGAATCGCCTTCATCCAATTTATGGGTAAAATAATTCAATAAATGCAATATAAACTCACAATTTTACGATAAATTTTTAATTCCAGGTATTGCATTAGCCATTTGGTTAGCACAGGCTATCAAGAAAGAGGCAGCAGCCTCCTAAGTCTATAACTTTAGAAATGAACAAAAAACGTTGCTCTTTTTCACTTGCTGATCATCTTTTATTATTCTTAAACAGTTTAGTATTGCCTACTAAATAATATTGAAATTTAAAAAAAAATTGTACTACAAAATAGTATTTATGGTTAATGATAATAAAGAATACATAACCGTTTAATTTGATGTTAAAAATCATACTTTATCATTATACGTTTACTTTAGTTTCTTAACGTTTCAGTGGTTCTTCTTTGAAGGGAACTACATATTGATATAATTCTTTAAATTCTCAATCCTTAGCTTTAGTTTGTTGTTTAAAGTCGGTCGTTAAACAATTCTTTAAATCAAAACATGAGAAAATTTATTCTGATTTTGATAGTTTTTGTTATGCTAATCAGCAGTGTAGTATCAGGAAGAATTCGAGAAAAAAGAGGAGGATCTCGAAAGGAACTAGCAGAAGCGATCGACCAACTTCAAGTACAAATTGTAACAATGAGTCTACAAATATCAAACCTCCTTAAACAATTCACTGGAAGGGATTTAACTGTAATTTATATTCATGATTTCCTTTTTTATGTATTTAAATTTCCATTAAACAAAATATAAATTCCACAACAGGAATGGTTGCAATTACTACCAGATAGGGGTGAAAGTATAATGCAAATACAGGAAATACTATTCGAATTTCTAGCACAACTTGCAGGTAATGGGGAAGAGTAAAAGGCGTTGAGGAATCATCAAGGTCTACAATATGTTTTTTTTCCTGCATGACATATGCTAAAGAAGTGAAAAGTTTGTACATCAGTCTCGTGCAAATTGTCACACAAGAATTAGGTTGAATAAAAACTTTTGATTAGAATATGAATAAATGAAGTGTACGTTTATTAATAGCTGTATGTAGTACGAGAAAGGAGAACAATGAAAATTTAATAAGGAACTGTGTCAGTTAAGAAATTGTTCCGACGTGTGTCAATAGTTTCTTTTTATAATGCAAAGATGTGATTGAAGGAAAGTCTTTTGTTATAAAATTTCTTATTCAAATAAAAAATATATTTAATGAATGAACTGCAAGATATTCAGTAACGGGGTGAGGATAACCCTTTGATTAGTCCAAAAAACCGTTATAACTAGCTTCATATGATAATCAGTAAAACTGTAAGAAAGTTAAATATGATGTCCATGGAAAATCGGGAATATTGACCCTTATTTTAATTCTACTGCCAATTTTTAATAAAAAGGTGCCAGACTTTAACTTTTGCTACCTAGAATGTTGAACTTTTTAAGATTTCAAGAATTTAAAAAATTTAATATTTAAATAATAAAAAATTCTATAAAAATCTAATCGATTCCAAAAACTTCACCAGTATTTCCGAAGCAACACAGTCATTATAAATGATTTACTAATAATTTTTATAAATTTTTATGATGAATGAATTTTATGAGTCTATATGAAATTTGATATCTATAAAAATGTGGTAATACGGTTAAAGCACATGGAGTAATTTAAACTATGACATTCCAAACTGATGAGCATGTCAGAAAAATATTTTCTTCAAAATTTCAAAATTGCCAAAAATGAGTAATCTTATTACACACTGATAAAAAAAAATTAACAATGCATTGTTACTTTGTATGAAAATTTTAACAATGTCATGATTAAAATAGCGTTGACCATGAAATTGTTAATTTTAACAATGACTATTGTAAAAAAAATTGTCAACAATGAAATTGTAAAATTTAACAATCATATTGTTAAAAAAAAATTTCGAAGAAAAAAATGGTCACTCATCCAAAAAGAAGATAAAATTTTGTTGCTTAACTTCCAATGTCGTCTGTTTAATCGTAATCATATTTCTTAATTTTTTATCTGATTTGCAAGTGACAAAATAATTATTTAAATAAAAAGGTAAATTTTATAAATAGTGAAAATGAAAAAGATTTTAATTATACTTTTTGTCAAACATCAATAGAAAGTATTGAAAAATAAATTAATTAACGAAAATTATTTCAAATACAACATTTTTTAATAAAAAATCAATTTTTTATAAATTTTTATAGTTCTTAAGTACACAGGAATAAAACTCACTTTTCATACTGAATTTTTATTCAATTAAGATTATTCAAAACTTAAGTAAAGTTAAATTATTTAAAATTTAATATTAACGATGACCATTGTAAAATTAACAATCACCATCGTTACGTTACAATCTTATCGTTAATTGATTGTAAAAATAATTTTAACGATGAAATTGTTAACTTTTTTTTTCGTCATTTAAATTTAACAATGTCATTGTTAAATCTGGTTTACAACGAAATAACAATGAAAAATGTTAATTTTTTTTATGAGTGCAGAAAAATATTAAGTCTATAAATATACAGGAAGCATCACGAGATTGTTCGCATTCATCAACGGAAAATTGACAGTCATGATGGTGTAATTTTCCACATTTTTTTTTTTTCAGATACAAACTAAATAGCAACAAAATACAGGGAAATATAAATACTGCACTTCGACGTCATTCAAGAACGCAATTAAGGAAGAAGTTCTTGCAATGTTTTGCCATTTTATGCATTTGATTGTAATTATTGTACGAAAAGGGCTGCTTTTAAGTATTCCTGAAACATTCCACTACCTCAGTATATAACAAAATGCATTGATTTGAGTCATATTCTAAAGTAAATAGCAGTAAATAGTTTCAGTGCAACTGTTCTTATGACATGCTACAGAGTTCACCTAAAATATAAAAATCTACAACATACATAAATTATTCTTCAAACACTTCAATAGACATAAAGAAACACTTCCGAAGAAGTTTAAATGAGATTCAAACATCAAAGAAAATATTTTGAAGAAGTAATAATAACATAAAATTTATGTGACAAGCCACTTGCCATAAGCGTTAAACAATTTCAACACGTGGTCTAAAAAATTCCTTTACATCCACATGCAACACAAAATCAAATATCTTTCATTATTGGACAACAAAAACTTTAAAAACTAGGTATTTAATTATAAAACCAATTATTTTTGATACAAAAAAAATTATTTTAATGTATGTAGTACATGCACTGCTATAGAATGTTCTAGAAATCATGCAAATGACTCATCTGCAATGCAAATCATTTTATCATTAGTTTAGTAACTCGAACATTGTGGTTCATGAGTAATAGAATTTTTTGTTGTAAGTCATTTTTATAAATTATAAAATTTAAAACAATTTCATGTCTAATAAAATTATTAAAACTGTTTAATGTTAAGAAGTTTGCACGAATTTGACTCAGGTGCATGAAAATTTTACAAATGAAAGTTTTTGTCAGCAGAAAAAGCTCAATGAAAAGAAAAGTTTCTAAAATAGCAGAGATTGTTTATGTAATGTAAATAACAATAATACCGGTTAAGGTATTTAACACACTATATCATAAATTAATACTCATACGTGAGCCGGATAAAAAATTGTCGGCTAACGATTCAAGAAACTCATACATAGACAATAACGTAAAGACTTTCATGTAAAAAATATTACAATGCTTAAGCTTTACAGTTTGTCCGCTAGTTGTCGCTTTTGTAATGTTATAGAAATATAAAGAAAAAAATATTTTAAAGGATTTTTTCTATTTTCAATTGAGTAAATGGGAAGAAAATATTTCGAACACATCATAAAAATGATGTAAATCGATAAAAACATCGGCTTTATCGACAAAATGTTTGAAAAAGGTAAAAAAAATTAAAAAATCTTGCACTTCAGTGAAGCGATTCATTTTAATCGCAAAAAAAAAATTACTAGTTCATCATCATAAGGAGAATATATAGCAGACTCATTTTAAATTGTTATCATCTTAATCAAAAACAATGAGAGTGACAAATACATTTGATGAGTATGAAAATTGTGAATGAATATCGTGATTGTGAACTTTGATATGAGCTCCATTGATGACCAAAAAAAAAATTTTTTTTTTTCGGAATTTCACTATCATCGTAAAAATCCCCAAAAAGAAAAATATGAGGAGAGAAAAAAATAAAATTTAAGGTGTGTTATCATGAACGTAAATATCAATTGTCAGTGGAGCAAAATTTTCATACAATTTTCAAACCATTTCTAATTAAATGAATTAAAATTTACAAATTTTATGGCGTAGTGAAGATTTCATTACATATATTTAACATTCAGTAGTCACAGTTGCTCGTTCAAAATATGTGAAACATACAGATACAGCAAAAAGAGAGAAGAGGAAAAAAAAAATATGAATAGAATTACTTAAGTCAAGTTATTTAATATTTTTGTGTGATTCAGTGTATAAAATTTTTCGATAAATGTGATCATTTAAAAAATATGAAGATTTTACATAATAACTCATAATTGTGGCAATTTCTTTTCACAAATAATAATTATACAGTTTTATGGTGGTGACGAAAACTTTGCGACTCAAGAGTCAATTAATTAGCTTGAAAATGCGAATCCAACGAAGCTGATATTCAATGCAATTGTGTCTTTATTTAGCATTTTAAAAACATTGAAAATTTTAATTGCAAATCAAGTTTCAGTTCAAAATCATGAGAATCATTTTTAATTTTAATTAAATAAAATAGTAGTTTTAATTGGAGTTGGTGACTAATGTGCTTACATTGATAATAATACTTTTACATGTGTCATAGTTTGAACGATCAAGTGAAATTTAAATTTGTTATCAAATGTCAATTATATTGGCTTTTGCAAATCAATCAAAATATAATGAAACTTTATCGAAAACTTCTTGTGTTGTGAATTAATTTGTGTACCTAATAAAACCCATTTGTTAGAGGCAATCAATTCAGATTATCATAAATGGTTCATACAATCAATCAAAACAGAGTTGCAACCCCATCATTTTTTTTTAAAAAAGGCACTGCCTACAAATACTAATTATTTTCTGTCTTGACCACATTCCCTGCCAATATTTTAGTAGGCACTTATTCCAGTTATGCAAAACTTTTGTTAAGATTTCATTTTGAAGACTTAAAGAACTTATTCCATTGATTATTTGATCTTTTAGGTATTAGCTTTATGCCGATAACTTAGTTTTTGATTTCGATAAGCTTGTTGCTTTGATAGGTTTTAATTCAAGCACGTCTAGGTTTCGGTAAAACTGATAAATTGCTAATATGATTTAGCCTGATTGAGCAAATTGTCTACCAACTCTGAAGTCAATAAATTCGTATCCATTTAATGATAAAAATCCACACACAGCATGAATAAACATAAAATTATTTTCATTCCTTGCAGATAAGTGAACTTAACTTCACCAAAGAATTCATAAAAATATTTATCATTAATAAGTACCGGATAATCAAATAAAGAAAGTGAAGAATCAACAGAAAATAAAATTAAAAATAAATCGCAAACAAGAAATAGTCGAAGGAGACGACATAAAAGCATCTTCAGTGAAATTTATTTTCACGCGGAGGAAAAGAAGGAAAGGCGGTGTGATTTGCAAAAAAGAGCACCAAGTAAGACATGAATATCAGTAATACAACAATTCAAACAGGCCATCATCATCATCATCATCAAAACACAACGTCGAATGCAAGCTCATTATCAAATCAACAATCATACCATCACACAAACTCAGTGACAATACAACAAGGTCAACATCAAAGAGCAGTCGTCAATCAAAATCCAAGTGTTCATAGATTTCAGACTCCTGATGAGAACCCATGGTTATTACAATCGTCACAACCGGGACCCATTCCACCTCAACGACAACATAAGAGATTAGCAGCAAATTCGTCGGTTGGTGGTCATCCATCTTCTATTACTTCATCCTCTCAGACATCTAAGTCACTTATAAGTCAACATCCACAATCTATTAACAATTCTACCTATAATCAACCTGTATACCTTACGAGTACAGCACAAACTCAAACAACACCTGGTTTAGCTCCTCAAGTAGCATTACATCCACAAATCTCACCAAAATCGCCAAGTCAAAGTTTTCCACAACCTACCGCCACCGGTTTTAATTTAATGTCAACATCTCTTAGTGGTAACAGTTCGAATATGAATCATATGTCACAATTACATCACGTTGCCAATTTAAGCAATAACAATAATAATAGTGCTAGTAATAATAATAATAATAGTAACTTTGATGATTTAAACCTAAACGGTTCGTCTTCCAACAATACGTCGAGTCTTAAAAAATTGGAAATGAAATTAAACTCAATGCCGTAAGTACCCTCTTTAATTATTTTTTTCTTCATTTTCTTTCGTATTTGGTAGCTGATAATGAAATTTTTTATGTGACGACAATGTCAAGTGTATTTATTTAAAGAAATTTAAAGCTCATTCATTCTCACTCGGCAGTACTGTGTGTTTGACAACGCGTTAATTTTTTTTTCTATGAAGCTTTAAAAAATAAGGTCATGATGATGATTATGACTATAATCGAATACTTTATACTTGTTTACAATGAACAAATTAGATTGAACTATTTCGCATACTTTTTTTGCATAAGAAATTTCACAGAAGTCAGTTCGCTATAATTGCTACTTAATTCCACGAATACAGTCAGATACAGTTCTAATATAGTTTAATCTTCATCTTTTTTAGATGGTTTTATGGAAGTATAACTCGAGATGAAGCCGAACGTTTACTACAGCCGCGCGAAGAGGGATTATTTTTAGTAAGAGAGTCAACCAATTATCCAGGGGATTATACACTGTGCGTATGTTTTCAAGAGAAAGTTGAGCACTATCGAGTGAAATATCATGATAAGAAACTCACGATTGATGATGAGGAATATTTTGATAATCTAAGTCAACTTGTGGCACATTATGAGCAAGATGCTGATGGTCTATGTACGCAATTGATGAAGCCATTAGAAAAGTCTCATGGACTTTCGTACATGGACTCAACTGATTTTATAGCTCAAGGATGGGTCATCCCAGAGAAGGATTTGCAACTTAAAGAGAGTATTGGTAAAGGTGAATTTGGTGATGTGATGCTAGGTTATTTAAAAGGTGAACGAGTTGCCGTGAAAATGCTTAAAGACTCAACAGCAGCTGCACAGAAATTTTTAGCAGAAGCATCCGTAATGACGTACGTATGAGATTATTATCAACTTGTTCATTTACTTATGATTTTCTTAATTATTTATTACAGAACACTAGAACATAAAAATCTTGTGAAATTTCTTGGTTTAGTATTGAATAAACAACATATTTATCTTGTCACTGAATATATGAGTAAGGGTTCATTAGTCGATTATTTAAGATCCAGAGGACGTCAACATATCACAAGGAAAGATCAAATTAATTTTGCAAGGTAAGTCATACGCACGAGAAGTGTATCACGCTTTTGTTTATTATTTATTGTCTTGTCATGACCAAACAATGAGTCGCATTTTAAGTTCGTATGAGTAATTATAATTTTTGCATTTAAATAATTATACACTAGTGTAGTAAGTGTGCAGGCTTAACGAAAAAAAAAAAAATATAAATTTTGCTGTTCGTTAATTCTAAAATTAATTTCAATAAACATCTTCATGATCACGTATGTTTACATACAATACATTCCTTGCTCAAACAGACACTGAGCGAGATGAACATAATTAATAGTTTTGCGGACATAAAGAAGATCAAATTAGACAGTCTAATAGTAAATATTTTGATTCAATTTCAACATTAATACTTACTAATTTTCGTAAATGATATGATTGCTTAAATGATTGATTACATCCGATGCTTCTTATAACTAGCTACTCATTGTATTATTCACTATTTAATTTCATGACTAAACTAAGTTTATCATATGAAAAAAAAAATTGATATGAATGAGAAATTACAATAGCTTAATGAGGAGATTATTACTGTTAAGGAAAAGAATGACATTTAAGTCATCAAGGTTGAGTAAATTAGGGAAATTGGAATGCTTTTTGTTATTTATTTAAAGACTAAAGTAGAAAAAACTTAATTCATTTGAAAATGTTTTATCAGAGATGAAATTCTATTTAGAATAACAAAATCACCAAGTTATAGTCAAGTCGACTAATGCTGTCTAGGGATGAGAAAATTCTCCACGACTTTAAATATCAAAAATGATGACATAAATCTCATTTGCAATTTTTTTACCAACGAATTTGTCATCTATTTCCTGCTTTATGTTCCTTTGTTATGCAAAAACTTTAATACTATGATTTATGTCTTTATTCATCACATTTAGTGACACATGTTCAGGAATGGAATATCTTGAAGCAAAGAAGGTTGTTCATAGGGATTTAGCGGCAAGGTAAATCAAAATATATTTTCAATTGTTAATTTTACATTTTCACTTAAAAATATTAAATCTCTTGCCTTTATAAACAGAAATGTACTTATCTCAGAAGATTGTGTGGCTAAAGTTGCAGGTAATTATCACGAAAACGTCAGAGTTGGAAATCCAGTTATTACTTCTTTTAAAATATTCACAATTTAAAGTTTAAAAAACACTTTTAAATGCCAACTATGAAATGCAAATGAAATAATTTGATGAAATATTAATTATCTTAATGAATCGTTTCCAGATTTTGGATTAGCTCGAGAGGAGTGCATTAATAGTACAGATATAGGGAAATTACCTATCAAATGGTCCGCACCAGAAGCTTTAAAAAGTGGCGTAAGTAACATAAAACATAAGTTCTCAAGACATGATAATTAATTGTGTGCTTCTCTTTAATTCCATTCAGCGATTTTCAAACAAAAGTGATATTTGGAGCTTCGGAATTTTATTGTGGGAAATTTATTCATTTGGTCGTGTTCCATATCCGAGAATTGTAAGTTCTTCATTCGTTTCATTCACACTTATTATTATATTTGACTTAACGGTTTGTGAATTTTGTTATTTTTAGCCACTTGCCGAGGTCACAAGGCACGTAGAAGCAGGATATAAAATGGAAGCTCCCGAGGGATGTCCAACAGAAATTTATGATATGATGAAACAGTGTTGGGATTTGAATCCTATTAAGAGACCAACATTTAAAGAGCTTGCATTGAAACTTCATCAATTGAAGGCAAATACAACGTAAATGAATGTAAGAGTGCATGATTTAAATATTTTAAGACATTAATCGTTAAAATAGTATTTAAAGACGTCAGACAAAAAAAAAGAAGAAAATTATTGAAAAAGCCGCAAAAAAGAATCTTCAATCAACTGATAGAGTTGGGCAGAGAATTTATTTTAAATTAATTAATTATTTCAATAATGAGATTTTATTTTGGAAGAGAATCAAAAGTGGAACTAAAACAGACAGAAAATACTATTCTAATAATGACCACAATCACTTAATCCTTAACTTATGGATTTGAATCATGAAGATGGAAAGAAATCTCTGAATCTTACGAGAATTTAATTTTTGGTCTACATAGATAAACAGACTTAATTTACTTAAGATGTTTTGTACATTTTTTGATTTTTGTTTTATTATTTAAAACTTTATATTTTTTTAAAAAATTACGAGAACGTGAGAATATTTTTGGAATTTCAAATAAGTGCAATGATGAAAAAAAATTAATTAAAATATTAAAAAAAAGAGAAATGGGATAACTAGCTCAACTCTGATTGAATTATAAAAAAAGAAAAAAAAATTATTACAATAAACATTAATAAGTCTATACTACAAGTAGGCAGATTACAGTTCAATCTCAATAATATGATAAAAAATTATATATATGAATAATATTCGAAACTTCGTAAAATTTGATGATGCATGTGATGTGTCAAAATGAGTACTGAAAAAAAAGTTTTAAATTAATTTTTTTATTATAAAAAACACAATGTTAAATGTTTGATAATGATACTTTCCTTATGCCGTCTTAAAAAAAACTTTCATTTCTATTTATTTTTATTATTATTATATTATTATTTAATAACTAAAGAAAAAATAATTTTTATATAAATTCAGTTGATTTTTGTTAAAACTTAAATGATAAATAATGTAAGCCAATATATACATATCTGATCATGCGGGAGAAAATGATTGTTGAACTTCTTTTCATGTCCTTTCAGAAAACCTTTTATAATTCCTTATCTACTTACATAATAACAACTACAACACATTCATAACAATCTCTCATGCATTTCCTAAGCTTTTCCAGTATTCTACTTGATGTATGCCTTTCCTAATTCAGTATACTCTTTCTAGTAAACTTAATGTTGTGTACTATTTTAGTATACTTAATTTAATATACTATTTTAGTAAACCTAATTTAATATACTATTTTAGTATACTTAATTTAATATACTATTTTAGTAAACCTAATTTAATATACTATTTTAGTAAACCTAATTTAATATACTATTTTAGTATACCTAATTGAATATACTATTTTAGTATACTTAATTTAATGTACTATTTTAGTATACTTAATTTAATATACTATTTTAGTATACCTAATTCAATATACTATTTTAGTATACCTAATTTAATATACTATTTTAGTATACTTAATTTAATATACTATTTTAGTAAACCTAATTTAATATACTATTTTAGTATACTTAATTTAATATACTATTTTAGTGTACCTAATTTAATATACTATTTTAGTATACTTAATTTAATATACTATTTTAGTATACCTAATTTAATATACTATTTTAGTATAACTAATTTAATATACTATTTTAGTACAATTTCAATAGTTTACTATATTCAGTATACTTTGAAAACTATATCAAGCATATTTCTATTTTTGTATACTTTTCTACTTAACTAATATTCTCTTAATTATGGTCGAAAACGATCAAAAGTCTATTCGGATGATCACAAATGTATATATTGTAATGAATATAAACTATTTGAAAATTTATATTTGACGTTTTAAATGAATTTTTAACAGTGCATCCAATGAATTTTTTAAGAGCAATTATTGATTAAAATTTTATACAAAAATAAAGAATCTAAACTACAAATTATATAGTCAAATATAAATGGCTTCAAATGGTACAATATTGAAAAAATCTTCATTTATTGATATGTGAGATTGATTTTTCTTAAAAGCATAGTAGGAAGTAGAAGCTACAGAATTTGTTGAAATTTTTCTCTCTGTCTTAATTTTCCTTTTAATTAGTGTCGAATAAGGTTGTTTTGTAAATTGTATAAAAATATTACTAATTCCAAACTATTACATAATTGATTGTAACTTCCCGACAATATGAAATAACGGGCGCATACTTATAAATTTATGTGTCAAGGACTGTTACGCCAAAAAAATTAATATTTATAGATAAAAAAATGGCATAAAAATGAAGTAAAGAATAGAAATTATGTACTTTATATGATTGATAAATAAAAGACCATTCGTATCATTCTACTTCCTAATACACTTTAAAGCTTATATTATATTCTTAGTTGTCCATTAATTGTGAGAAAGAAAAAAATAAAACAAGAAGCATAAATTAATAAAATCTATAAATTTAAAAAACTAAAAATTGTGAAAAAAGGAAAATAAAATTAAAATTATGTACATTAAAGTTTTTCATGTCTTATATCTCAATTCATTTATTATCAAGTAGCTTTTTTTTTAATCTACCCTCTTTTATTTTACAGGTAGAAAAAGGTGCGACAAATATTTTAAATGGTAAATAAATTTGTTTTTTTAAAAATCAACAGCTCAGTTTAATTAAACTATGAAAATTCAACATATGTTAAGTTTCACCAATTGAAATGTGGTGAAATGACAAAAATAATATGAGTTATGTGTGTCGAGAAAACTACATAAATGAGTAACTATCTGTTAAAGGAAACATTTCGCATTATCTTCCATCATGTTGGGAGTGTAAGGTTTTATCACAATTTGATAACAGCGTAATAATGCAAAATAATCTCATTAAGTAGTTTTCCCTCATGAGGTGACATCACATAAAAATTATCTGTAAATCTGTTAAAGTCTGTCAGATTAATTTGAACAATTTTCAATGAAATTTCAATAAATTAACAATAAAATGTTTAATTATTTAAAACAAGCGTAGCTGATCAATATCATTATACTAATTAACATTTTGTGCATTTTAATGGACATTATAGAATTAAATATGATCTTCATTTATGATATTCTATTAACTGCAAATAAGTGGTGCTTTTTTTGGTACTTAAAACCTCTTAAAACAAAATAATAATGTATAAATTTTATATTCTACTTGCATAGTGTACTTAACAATTGAAAATTAATGAACAAATCAATTTAACTTATATGTCTAGGTTTTAAATTATTATTATTTCCTTTAAGTGCATCTTGCTGGCGTGAATTTAAAAAACTATCGCAAAATTGTTTTTAAGAACCAGCTTAAGAACCGAAACAATGTGATTGACTAACTTATAAAACTGAATTTAGAAGCGCAATTTTATTTTCATTACTAATTATGAAAATTTGCTTATGTCCACAAGTTCCAATATATAGAAAAATGAGCCTTTGTTGATGCTTAAATATCAAGTTTCAAATAGAAAGATTTAAGTTTCATCAACATAATTAAGTAGATCGTCTTGAAAATTATAATTAAGTTCTACGAAATTCTCGTCAGGCATTAATTCACTATCTTGATGTTATTGCCTCACTTGCTGTTTATTATTATTTAACATACGATTAGTCTCTTGTGAGATGTTTTCATTTTTCGGAAAGTAAACCACAACATCGTTTGATGGATTATCCCAAGGCTGTCTTTTACCTTTACCAAACAAGATGTAGAATACTGCACATATACCATAAATGGTAGATGCAATCAAAAATACAATCTAAAAAATAACAAATTAAATAGTGAGAAAAATATGTTTTACTTTGTATGAACATTTGCATTCTTTACCCGCCACTGCGCTATTGTTGGCTAAAAATAGAAAACAAAAACAAAAAATCTCATTCAGAATTTTGCGTTGTGAACATTACTAGTATGTATCAGTTACCTTTCCTTCTATTATATAACCACATGTAATAGGAGCCAGTAAACCTATTGAAAAGAATAGATTATTTCTATACAAAAGAATTTTGTTGACAACATGTCAACTAAACCACAAATTACCTGCCATATTTGCAGATGCATTAGTCAAACTCATCAAAATTCCTGCATAACGAGGTGAAATATCCAAATGATTTATCTGAAAAAGATAATTTTAATGTTTATCAAAAAAAAAAATTCTATTCACATTTAAATTTATTCTCACCTTAAAGCCACTGTATATACCACCATTCAAACTAATACCGAGTGTGAGTAGGAAAACAGTCAAAGCTCTATTACATCCCGTATATGATACAGCCGCTAAACAAATAGCTGGTCCAAATTGACCAATTGAATTGAAAATTTTTCTTGTTTTTGTAATAGAAAGTTTATTAGTGGAGATGAGCCAGTCAGCTACCATTGAAAGTAATATAGATGAGATCCACATTCCTAAATATGGAACGGAGCTTAATACACCGTTCTAAAATAAAAAGAATCATCTTATTGAGGATCATGATTAATACATTTTACGATCGCATACTTCTGTGATTGAAAACCTCAAAACTTGTTTCATATAAGTTGGTAATTCTGTCATGAGGAATTCATAGCCATAATTTTGAGCCATCTGAAATGATAATAATATTTACATCAAGATTTGTTGACAATCATATGAGGAATCTGCTTACATGTGCAAATAAAATTGCATAAAATGGCATTGACGTTAATACAGACATCCATGGAATTTCAGGTGATCGATTAACAGCCTCATTGCCCCAAATAGCCTTGACAATAAATTCTTTTTCCTCTGCATCAATTTTCGGACATGCTTGAGGTTCTGTGAATCATGGAAAGGAGGAACAATTGTTATTGAAAAGTTTTCGTAAGTCGCAAATTCACGCATTTGACAAACAATATAATTTTTTAGAAATAGTGATAAGCAATCTAGTTTTATATACCTTCATATACAGTCCATAGGAAGATAATACTCTGTAGTAAAATGTAAAGATAAAGTTTCACATTTTTCATGATTGACGAAGTCTGAATACTCACCCACACCACACCCATAGCACCAAAGACATAAAATATAGAAGGCCAAGAATACTGAGCAAGTATTCCTGATAATGGCATTGATATAATTGTTCCAAATTGCGCACCCGCATATACCATAGCTCCAAGACGACTTCTCTCTATAAAGTTACTCGACATGTATAAAATTGGACGGTGATAATGTAAAAGATAAATTTACCATTTGGAGGAATCCATTTCGCTAAAAGAGCGTGCGTACATGGCACCTGTATGATTAAAAATTTTATCAAAAACTTCTCAATAATATAAAATTGCAAAACTCACAATTGGTCCTTCTCCTAGACCTTGAATGAATCTCACGATAATCAGCCATGTGACACCCATCTAAAAATATCTTTTAACTATTGAGGAAAAATATTGATTAATAATAGATACTAACGTGTGCTGACACTGGGACTAAAAATCCGAATACACTATTTATGAACATTCCCCAGCCTAAGAACCCCAAACTTCCATATTTCTTAGCCAAAATTCCAAAAGGAATCTAAAAAAGAATAACGTGTAATGTCTACATGATATTTCAAATCGGTGATATAATGTTTGATAGATAAAAGAAAATAATGATTCACACAAAATATGAAGGAAATAATAAACAGCCATACGCGATAAGGAAGATTTGCATATTTCAAACTACTTGTCGTAGTTCTTGAGATAGAAATAAATAAACATGTTATTGAACCGCTAAATCTTCTATATTTTTTTTTCTATGTCAACCTCATCGCACACTTGAGATTTAAAAGCTCTTGACAGGCACGTTTTGCATTTTTCCTTAGACGGAAAAATGTCGCATTCAGTTTTTCATCTTCTTATATCTCATATCACTGAGCAATTACTCAATTTATATTTAGATGACTAAGTGTAAGCGCCATAAATATAGGATTCATTATAAAAACAAAGGCGCGATTATCAAATAAATTTATAGTCGCATGAAGAGAACAGTTTACATTTTTAAATCACGTTTTAGTCATGAAATAAATCACCATGCTTTCCGTCATTTTTTGATTATTATTAAGCTATCAAAATATGATTGCTGATAAGAGTATGGGATAGGGTGCAATAGCATTCTTTGAAAACACGTCATCTTATAATGATCACATTTTATATTAAGAATTTCTTTTAATGAGCTTTAGACTTGGATGCCCATCTGTTTGGATTTAGTGGAAGTACGTAAATTTCTAAGAAAATAAATACAAAAAATTATTTACAGACAGTGATAACGTCACCGGGAATATAAAAGATTATTTTCAGAAAATAATGTGAACATCCTAGCTTTAAATGCATGTAGTAAGTGTGCGGATTTATTTTCTTCGATATTTTTTTTGTGTATGGTATAATTAGAGCGTATTTTGGCGCAAAAATTACTAGTATGCGTAGATGAAAATGTATTAAATTAAAAGTCTATTCAAACATTATAATGAACTTGATTCTATATTTTGAAAACTAAGTATGATGGATTATTCGAGTGAATAGTAAGTGGCATACCTGTGTTATGACATAGCCGTAGAAAAATGAAGATAAAATCCAACCCTGTTTTTTCGTTGACCAATCAAACTCTCCATCCTGCATTTGATCATGCGTTGAATTACCATAGTCTGTGTCAGGACATTCATCATCGAATATATCTGAATCTGAATGAATAGCTGTGTGATTAACCATAGCGACTATAGCTACTGACATGTTCTGCAATATTTCATAATCGATTATGTAAATTATGTGAATTTTTTGATTAATTATCTTACCGTTCGCATGATATATGCATTAGCCATCCCCAAAAATAGCATAAATGACACATAATGTCGTGTTCCTACACCAGGAGCTATAAATATATAAATATTAGAAGTGAATTAATTTTTTTTTCTAATTATTTCTTTATCAACTAAATTAAAAGATCATTAAAAGATTTTTAATATGTCATGGAGTGATGAATGAGAGATGTAAAAAATTTATCAAGCGTGGTACGCAAACAAATCACGTTTTGATCATATTCTTCCTTATCATGTCCGATACGATTTTTTATCGTTTCTATAAAAGTTTATCAAAATTGCACAATGACGATAAGATCCCACCTATTTTGGAGATTTTTTTGATCACATGAAAAACATTTTATCGTAATCGCCATAGTAGTGCTTAAATGACAGCACGTTTTTTCAAAGAACTTTGAACTATCGTTGGTATTTTTTTTCACAATATTGAACGCTTTAAAAAATCTTTTGATTTTTATAGTCTACATCTGACATGTGTATGTCCAAAATATAAAGAAGTATAGTGTCACTGTCTCAATAATGATCAGTATAGCCTGGCAACAGCTGAGTTCTTACGCATGAGTGTATTCTTTTTAACAACTTACTTTGATCTATAATGTGCTAAGTGAGTAGGTAAAGGAACAAATTTCTTGTTCGTTCTTTGACCCACTGCATTTTTATTAATCGGAAATTTAAGGCACACTTGCAATATTTTTATCTTAACACGCTCTAATAGCATGTCGATTGAGTGCAATTTGATATATTTTATTGCTTTGATAATATACCTTTATCAGTGGCTTTGGCTCTAAGAACAATAAAAATAGAAAACGCGTCACACAGAAGAAAAAATAAAAATTGGATGGCCTTGATGACCTTGATGATCTTACTTCATCAATTAATATTTTTTCGACTCATACTTGTCTAAATTAATGATAATAAATTTCAGCAGTGATCAATTTTTATTCTATCGCATCCAAGGTCGAATTGGAAGAATCAACAAGAAGTAGATAAGAAAAAAAATTGATAAGAATGAGAATGATCTCGCTGACGCTCAAGATGAAATGAAGAAAATTATTTTGCTACATATATTGTATAAATATTCCCTGATCGATAGTGATAAACATGTGTGCAAATAGAGAACTTAAAACGTGTGTATCTATACAATAATCATCCATGGAGGTTCAAAAAGATATAGTTTTAACATTTGTCAGGCGTTTATATTTTTGTAAACATGACTCTCTTTTTTTTAATAGCTAATGACTTCACTTTTACAGTAAACTTGTAATTATTTCGAGGATAAAGAAGAATTTCACGTGACGAAAGGACAATTTTGCGAATTTTGGCAGAGCACGCAGAAGAGACACAAAATATTTTCAATAATTTTTCAAAACACCAAGCCTCTCATATATCTAAAAATATGAAATAATATGTTATTTCAAGTGATCAAGATTTGTGTGTATGAATAAACTGATCTACATCATTTCGCAGAGGGAAATGACATTGTTTTTGTTTCGTTCTACAGCGCTTTTTTGGTATGAAATATTGTTTTGATGAAAAGTAGATTGTTTATTCTGTTATTTTTCTCTCAATTTTTTTAAGTTCCTAAAATGTTAATAATGATTTGATTTGAAATGATTATGTTTATTTCATTCCTTTTTTCAAGACTAATTGCCAGGGTATATTTAGAATTCTAATGACGCAATTGAATTATCTTGTTTCACTGTCACTATGATGATAGTAGTTTTTTTGTCTATACCGCTAAACAAAACCATCCAGATAACACTCAAGTAACAGTTAATTAGAAGCACTTCAGAATAAAGGACATAACATGAAGAGAGCACGGGAAATATTGGAAATTCGATAATTTGCGATGTAAGTGAAATCACTTGACGGAAATCAAAGGTCATTACTAATTGTTTGAATGATGCGTTTGAATTCTTAACAAACCTGATGTTTGTCGTTCAAATATCTACTAACATGGACGATGTAAGAAACCATCAATTTCATGAGTTTAGAAATGATCCGTTTTGATAATTTACCCGATAACTCTTTCGGCCTGTTTCACTAAAGTGGATTATCCTCGATTTCGGATTATCAACTTCAGTTTTTCGGAAATATCTCCAGATGCTTAAGGTTATTAAGAGATCTGAAGTGTGATCTCGTTAAAGTACTTTGCTACTTAAATTAACATATACTAAGAATATTTATATCTTCATTAGTTTGAGAATTATAGCAAAAATTGAAGTTAATCTTCTAGATTTGGCTGGAAAATTGAATAATTAATGCTTCTAAATGAAAAGTAAAAGTTTAAAGTGTACAGAAATTTCAGGCATACTTTACTCTTTTATAATCCAAAATTAGAAATACCACACCTCCCATAAAGTTTAAGATATTTACAAAAAACTGAAATGGATAATCCGAAATCGAGGATAATCCACTTTAGTGAAACAGGCCGTTTGTGATATAAGAAAAGTAACCCCATCCTGAATATGGTTCTGTCTCCTACAATTTCCATAAAAGCAAACATACCTGAATTCTCAATATAGACTTTTAAAGAAAGTTCTAGACTATTTTAACACATATCAATGTCGGACCATATTTCGGAATGTCGCATCATGAATATTGAATGAGGATTCTTTATTACTATAATAACTGTGAAAATTTTGAAGTTTCCTATCATGCTTTATATAAAAATTTATTTATTTTAAAAAACATTCAGTTCCTTAATGAAAAAAATATAGTCATCTAAAATACACATAGCAGTAAACTAATACTGTGTAGGCAAGAAATTTATCATTTTTCAACAAATTTCGTGGAAATTATTTTTATTTGCTCATTTTAAAGATTATTGTGAAATACTTTACTCCAGGTGTCCTAATTCTCAACGTCCGCATTGTGCGAAAAAAAAGTCACATAAAAAACCTTCGATATTGGCACCTTTTTCAAGAACAATATATTTTTAGATCAAGTATTTAACTAGGAAATCTATGAATCGTTTAAATTGAATTTATGAATGGCAAACGTAAAAATTGCAAATTAATTTTTTGTATGCGAAAGTATTTTTTGTTATATTTTGCAAAACTGCAAGAATTCTAAAAAAATAATCCGATTCCTTTTTGAATGAAACAAAATAACGTGCTACGTGTCACGTGTATGAATAAATAAAAGAGTTTTTACAAAGACATTATTTCGATAAAATGCCAAATTCTATCATGAGATATTCTCGTGTTTTTATTAGAATAAATTGTAAATTTATTGCGATTTAATTGAGTAAAGGAATTGAATAATTAAATGTATATGATTGCAAATAAAAAGCAATCTGCTAGAGAGGAGGAAGAAAAAGTATTAAGAGAACCTTACACTTTATCCTTCAACGTAATGCCTCCTTCATGAATATATGAAAAAATAAAAAAAAGCAACGCAACATTTTAAAAGCAACATTTTAATCGTGCAGTTCTTCTGGCTGATAGGTTGGTATAGGTTCGCGATGTTTTATAATTTCAAAGTTTGATTTTAAAATTGAGATTTAATGAAACATTTTGGTTTTAGGACAGAGAACCTTGGAACTATGGAATCCTACTTTGGAATCCTGACTCATTTAGTTTGCCAGTTTCTTATTCCTGCTTTCTCAATTTCAATATTTGAAACATTCAATCAATTTGATGGCTGCTCTTAAGCTTCAAAAACCCTCGCTTCACTAAAATTGCTAAAGCTGTTGCCTAGGTTAGCTTTGAAACGGAAACAGCCAGACAATGCAGATCATTTAGACTTGAATCATTTCCCTTTCAAATTACTAGCTTATCTTATTAATCATAAAATTCATAGTCACTATAAAACCGTAATTTATAACTTCACAATATTAAACCTTCATAAGATTCAAACTTCAATAGTTTCTAAATTGCAAAATCTGCATTATTATTTGTTGCAGCGAAACTGCGTTTATGCCTCTCGATCAATGACAAGATGACTTTCTTATTTTAATTTTGTTTTAAAACAAGACAGTAAATAAGCAAGTTTTAAATAACAAATAAATCTGAAATCATTTCATCAAACTTTGTAGTAAAAAGAAACACTCACATTTATTGATAGCAGCATCGTTATCACCACTCTCCATTTGTGTCTGATGATTTCCTACTAAAACGTGACCGTTCCGGTGGTTATTTCTTGATGATACCATATTGATTTAAGACAAAGAACTTTTTTTTCTTCTTTTAAATTGTGACGAAAACGTCGCTTTGCCAAACGTCGCGAAAGAAAATTTTCCGAATTTAATAAAAAATATGTTTACGTCTTTCAAAAGTGTAATCTTGTGATAGCTGCGTGTTTGAAAACGTTTTTCGCACGACTTGAAGATCACAGATCGTCAGATGAGATGAAATATTATCACAGGTTTTTTTTCTTATAATTTTCGTTAGACTCGGACAGTAGGATTTTCGTGCGGCGAAAATTAGTCTCCTTCAGAATCCCAGAGAGACTTTTATATATTTTTCTGTACTTTTTTTTACCAAGTTCTTTCTCAGTCGGCACGTTTTTCAGATAGGAGTTCGAATTTGAGAAAGAAAAAAAAAAGTCACAAGAGAAAATAATTCTATTTTTAACAATAAACAAAAATATAATTTCACTACGATAATAAGAAAGAACTTGTCTTGTGATGAATGTCGCCTACAAGCTCACGATTCCGAAAAGAATTTTTATTTTTTTTAATAAATTCTAAAGTATTTACAAAAATTTGCAAATTATTAAACTGTTCAATGTGATTGTTGTATTATATTCCGACCGGTGCCTTTTTTTATAATATATTTCATAAGTTCTTTTATAAACAACAAATATACTTGTGGAATTTACATATAACAAAAAAAATAAATAAAATACTTCCACTTGTGTGTATTCTTTTTTTTAAGTTACATTTGAAATAAATTGATAAGATATTTGAATCAACTTAAAACACATGGCTTTTTATAATTTTTCTTCCACACAAGGTCTCTTTTTTTGTCATTAAAAACTTTCTAATTAGTCTTTAAGCCTTTATTAATTAATTTTCTGCAATGTTCATATCACCAAATTCCACTGAACAATAAAAAAAAATTTGCGTGCCGTTTCTTCTTATATATTTTTTATTTTTTTCCTTCCTTTTTTTTCTGTAGGAAAAATTATTCTCTTCTAGTATTTTAAAAGAATATGTTTACGACTTGAATGATTTCAGTGATCTGTTCCACACAATTTTTTATTTTCTCATTGTCGAGTGATATAGAGTGATTCACAATCACACTTTTACTTGCATGTGGTGTAGAAAAAAAAAATAAAATTCTCAATTCTCCGATTCTCTCAGTAAAAAAAGAAGTTATATACAATATTTTAGTTTGAATGCGTATACATGAATGAGACTCAGGGGTGAATAATTAAATTTACACATATAAATATTTCGAACATGTGCTTCTTCTAACACCCAAAAACCAGTTCGACTCACAGCAATTCTTATCACTTTTTTTTTTCAGAGTATTCTCTCAATTTTTTTTAACTGTGTTAATAGAGTTTTTATGGCTCTACACAGAACATGTAATTTGCTAAAGCTCAATTTTGAAGTTAATGATTTGACACGCTTTTTTGTAGACACAAATACGCCAAAAATTATCATAATGATCTCTGATTCTACCAAGGATTATCTTTCATCTCCTTAATGCATGTGATCACGTAGTCATCATCATCTCTCAGCTCTTTATCATACTGCAAATTTAAACATTACACAAAAAAAAAAAACCGGGTGAAAATGTTCAAATATGTTTATTGAAGGAATTCTTCATTCTCGGGCGACACTGTCAGTCAAAATGTCTTTGAATTTACTTTATGTATACTCCCATTTTACATTGAAGTTCATCGTATGATATCATACTCCATTAACAAATTATCTAAGAATGGAAAAAATAGCGACTCACTATGTGTCATTTTGTTCTCTGAATATTTTATCAAATTTTCCATCTAATCGATTTATTTTACGATTTAAATTCGATGGTTTTGTAGTTGCATTTAGCTGGAATTTACTAGAAGTTGTTATCTTCATTGCTTCTTCTTCTTATTCTTGTTTCCTTTGAAAACCTTCTTTTAGGCTACTACTTTTTGATACTATTCGAAATTTTAGTAAAGGTTTATAAGAAATATCTTGGTCATTATTTGTTGAGAATCGAACCCAAGTCCTCACATGTCCTCTCATAATAAGGGAACACACTTTCTTAAATAAAACGCCAGAGACCCTCAAGACCACACAAGCTACAAAATCATATATATCTTGAATTTTCTTATAAAAAGAGCATCAAAGTTCGTTTGCCCATAACCTAGCTGAGTTTGGTTTGGAACAATATAAATAAATCTTTTCGTGTACCAAAGAAGCTTTAATATAAGGAACTCCAATTGTTTCCCTATTATTTTAAGAAGATAACAGCTAAGATTAAAGATCAGGAACAACACAATTAAAATATATAAATTAAGGATTATACTTTAATGAGCATGTCAATGACTAAACAAATAAAATTATTTATTATCTAAATTGCACTTTATGCGCTAATAATACCCCATTTCCATCTTGTCATCACCTTGATACCATGAGAATTATTAAACCTAGAGTTTTTATCCTGAGGGTACAATTGAGATACACTTCAGGGACAAATAATATTTAATTTCACCTGCATTACTGGGGTGTTTATATCTGAATAAGGTTTTATTTTCATTCAATTAAAAATATGAAGTTATTTTTTTTTGAAAAACAACTTTATTAATAGAAACTTATAGATACATAAGCATTGAGAAAACAAACAGAATTGTTTTTCTTGCAAACCACGTGCAAATGAAATGAAACTCAGAGAGCGAAGAAAAAACGAAGATTGTAAACAAACCATTGATTTTTATTGTCGGATCAATTAATTTTATTAAATGTTCTGAGCTATATGCAACTGTCAATACAGTCTTCTTTATTTTGACATGCATATGTCGTTTAAAAATGAAGATTCAATTGACAGATAATTGATAGATCTTTATCATTTAACAATTTGTTTTACTTGTAAATTAATTGACTTTTTTCCAATATAGATTTGTTTTTGTAAATTAAAGAGTGAAGCATTGTCTGTAATAAATTAATTAAAATGGAATTCTTTCGTAAAATATTTGGCTACAACCGTGAGTTAAAATTTGAATTTTTTCAAAAATATTTTTGAATTTTCCAAAACCGTTAATGCAATGTTGAGGGTTTTGGAATGATTACATTTTATTATACTTTAAATTGGTCGATAAATTGTTTTGATTAAGTTGAACTTGTATATCAAGTTGCAGAACAGCCTTATTCGAAAATTTAAATGAATTTTCACCTTCAACGGTTAATAAAATTTCAAATGATTTTTGTTGTTATTGAAATTGAAGTCTTTCAAATTGAAATGATGCAAGTCCAAATATTATCAATTGTAACTTATCAGATTTCCCATACAATTATCATTGTTTTCTTAAAATAATATTAAGATATCCCAACACGACTTTAAGCATATAAATGTTTGATATAGTTTTTGGACATACATCATTTGCATTTTTAGCACTCAATTTTCTTCAAAACAAACCAAAAAGACCTAAAGAATATAAATTTTATTAATTTTGCTATATAATGGCAAAAGTACGAGCAGGAAAATTAGAAAACACAATAGAACAATGTAGGAGTGAAGGAAAATGGCAGAAATCGATAGAACTTGCGGAGGAATTAAAGGCTTCAAGTCCAAATCACGGTAATTAGAAATTTTTTCAATTATTCAATGACAAATTTTGTGACTCATTTCCAATTTTAGAGGCACTGTCGAATTTTCTAATCGGAGAAGGTAAATTAGAGAGCTATTTAGAGGAGAATCCACCAGTTGAGACAAATTTTGGAAAGGCACGAATAGGATTAGCCGATGCAAAAAGAATGTTAATTTCAGTTTGTGGAGAAGATGGACGGAAAGCAGGACTTGCTCTAGATTCCCATTTATTACTTGCAAAACTTTATTATGCGTGCGGTGAATTTGAAGACAGTTTAGAGCACTTTAAACTATCGGATATTGACAGCTTAAAACAAGAAATTACATTAAGTGCAAGGACACTAAGAATATTAGCTGAATCTTATGCTGCAAAAGGACTTTGTATTGAAGCAAAAACTCCAAAAGGTACATCAAAATTCAAAACTGCCGAAATGGAAACTGAAATGGTGAGTTTAACTAATTTTTGTTCAATAACAGCTGAAGGCTATAAAGCATTAAATTGTAGATTAATTGCTTTGAGCGAGCGGCTGACATTGGACTGTTATATCTACAAAGTCAAGAAGGTCCAGCTAATATGGGTGCAATTTTGGAAACAGCTCTTCAACGTTCACCAATAGTTTTAATTAAATTAGATAGATTACAAGCTGCAATTGATCGTTATCGCAGCATGTTAAGTGCTGTCGAAACAAAAGCAACTCAATCATTACGTTTAACACTAGCACGTCAATTGGCAGAAGTTCTCTTACGTGGAGTCTCAGGAACACTTTATACGCCCCCATTAAATAATAGCAGAATGAATACAAGTGGAGCAAAAAAATTATGGATGCCAAGACGATACACGACTCGAAATCAATTTATTCCGAAAAACCAGCACGAAGAAACGTTATTGTTGCTATTAATAGCTGAAGCACTAGCTAATCGTGATGCTGTTTTATCACAAAGTCCAGAATTTCGCATAGCACGTTTACATGCATTAGGAAATGTTACTGCCGTTTATGACTTGTTGACATTAGCTACAGTTCGATGGGGTCAAATATCATTTTTACACGATTCGTTTGAAAAGGCATTAAAATTTTCATTCAATGAGCCACACATATGGAAACAATATGCATTAAGTCTTATTTCGTTGAGTCGATACCAGCATGCATTAAATGCATTAAAAGACTCTTCAAAATTATCGCCATGCGATACTGTTCAGTTATTAATGTCTGCTAAAATATGCTATGAGCAATTAGGACTGATTCGTGAAGGTCTACAATTTTCATATGAAGCTTTAAGAAAAGAGACAAAAGGCATGAGATCACGAGCCAATTTATTCATTGGCATTGGATTGCAGCAACTCGCCATAACAACAACATTAAAATCTGAAAGAGATTTGTTTAGTAGACAAGCAATTGAGGCTTTCGAGAAAGCTGTTCAAATTGATCAAAATGATTATTTAAGTGAATATTATTTGGCACTACAGCATGCCATCAATTATAATATTACGGAAGCACTCGTTCACATAAAAACAGCACTTATGTTGAGAGCAGAACATTCACAAAGTCTACATCTATTTGCTCTACTTTTAACTGCAAATCATCGACCAAATGAAGCTATGAGAATCATTGAAGATGCTCTTGATGAATTTCCTGATAATATTAATTTGATGCATGTACGTGCTCATCTTGAATTGCACATGAAAGGATCAGAACAGGCTTTAAATACACTTCAGAAAATGATTGGTCTTTGGAAAGACTTGTATGAGTCACAAACTCAAGCAATTAGTGGTAGTCTTAACGAATTTCACGACGATCGACATTCAGAAACGAAAAGTGTTGTCCAATATCAACCGTCTCTAATTTCTGACAAGGATTCAAGTACGTAAATACTCTATTTAATTTAAAGATCCAATAAAATCGTAACTTTAAATTTAATTAATCGTGATTCCTTATAGATTCAATTCATCCAGCATCATTGGCAGCATCACGAGTGGATCATGCATTAAGCGAAGCCGCTAGTTCCTTATCCTCATTCACACCTCGTCCAGGATCTCCTAAAGCATGGTCAATCCAATTAAAAATTTGGGTTTTACTTGCTGACATATATCTTTCTTCGGAACTGCCAAACGAAGCTGAAAATTGTATTCAGGAAGCAATGTCAATTAATCCCTTATCACATCACGTAATGTACATGAAAGGGAAAGCAAATGTGTACTTAAATCAATGGCAGGAAGCAAAGCAATGCTTTTTAAATGCCGTCTCTGCAAATCCACTATTTCCTGAAGCTTTAAGAGCATTAGGAGAAGCTCATTATTATCTTGGAGAACCAAGACTCGCTGAAAAGTATTTAAAAGATGCAGCCAAAATTGATCCAAACTGCCCTAATATTTGGTAAACTTCTTTTTTCTTTGCGTAACTTATCTAATTATTAATTTAACGTTAAATGTTTTTATGCAATGATTTTTACAGGTATACTCTTGGGAAAGTGATGGAAAGTCTTGATGATTTTACAGCGTCTTCCGACTGTATGGCAACATCACTACAACTTGAACCGTCGTGTCCCGTTCTACCATTCACATCAATTAATTTAGCTTTTGATTGAAACGAACCATTCCAAAGATTTTAAAACGGAAACAAACTCATCTTATTGCAATATTATTTTATTAATTGGTGCCATTAAAGGTTGCAAGAAAAAAAAATTGTTGAAGGCATTTGCTAGTTCGTTCCTTTTTTTTGTTTTTTAATAATCATAATATATTGTTGTTGTTTTTCTTCTCGTAAGAATATTGAGGTATGGAACATATTCTCACTAAACTGTTATACTATTTATATATAAATTTTATTCATTAACGGTATTTGAGGAACTTAATCAAAGTTAAAAACGAATCGCAACTTAACGTATTAAACACATTTATTATAAGTATCGTAAAGGATTTATGACATTAGCATTTCATTTTAAAGTTATGAACAATTAATCCTAATAAAGTTCAAGAGTTTTGAGTAAAACATTCAATAAATAATTCATACATGACTAGATAGAAAATATGTAAATATTTAACCGTACCCGAAAAAAATAAAGACAAAAGTATTTATTGATGTGGATAAAATATAAAGTTTTTTGAATGAACATAAAGTTAACAGCATGATAGTTTACTTCTAAAGTGATTGACTTCATGTGACTGTCAAGCTTTTGAGCTAAGATCATTTACTACACCTTAATAAAAGCTTCAATCAGCTGCATACTCCATTGACTGCTTTAGCTGTTCTAAACCCGACTCCTTTATGATTGTGGTAAAGTTGTAGATGTGCTGGTTTAAAGAATTCTTAACATTTGTGGCGCAAAAAATGCACCTTATCAAGTTGTGTGGATGTTAAAGCTATTTGAAACATTTTTGTGTAGATTACTAAACTACTATACAGGAAAAAATTAAAAACTAAGCATAAAGATTAAAATTCTTATCAGCTGCCATCAGCTTGTGCAACCATAACATGCTCTCTTATCATTTGCTGCTTTAACAGGATGATCAAACCAAGATGAGTCGAGGCTCTTTTCAAGTAAAAAATCTGCAAATAAAAAAAACGTGGTAAAAAAGAAAACTATTTGTTCTCTTCTCAGAAACTGCTAGCGTCCAGATCCTCGCTCCTTTCTTATCAAATTCTTTAGCTTCGTCTTGAATGTTGTCAGATTCTTCAGCTAGATATGAAAAATTTTCAGAACGCAGTTATTGTCAGCAAGTCCAATAAAATATGAGTCAGCCATTGGAATTTCTGCTTGGAGCTGGCAATGCTTCTTCCTTTAAGACTGTCTCAGTTGTTTCTGATTGCTCACGTTTCATTGAAAACTTCCAAGCTTGTAGAATGTGTTTGAATGATATGTGCTGAAGTGTGATGGATCTTTATTATGATTTGGGAAAATTTGAAAAAGTCCGTGTCTTATATCCAGTTGATCATTTTGTTCAAGTCATAAAATTGGACTATATGCAGCCTCTTCTCCATGCATTTAACAATATGGCTTCATCCATTTGGCTCGTGTTGTTTTATCGCTTAATTAAGACCAGAAACATTTTGCTGGTTTTTTTCCTCCAAAATGTAAGCATTTCAGGTGCCGAAAAAAATTTTGGGCAGGACGGTGGGGCAATTCCTAATTTTAAACATGTAAATAACCTGAAAATGAAATAAAAAAAAAGATTATGTAAATTTTAATTCTACTTACTTTTTTTTGTCGTAAATGCTGATTCGGCTAAGATTTCTGGTGAGTTTGGCGATGCAGAAATTGAAGCTGGCGATTCGTCTTGCTTAATGGTTCCTTTGTCATACGGCGTGAGAATTCCCTTATCAATAACTTCCAAAGTTGTGTTCATGTGTTTGAATGACATCTGATGGATCTTTGTTAAGATTTGGGTAAATATGACTCAATCCCAATGTTAGCAAAGAGAACAGAGTCCGTTACAAAAAAAAAAAAATTCAAAATTTTCGCGCGGTATTTTTTTAAAATTTCAAAATAAGAAAGTCTGTAACTTTTTATTTTTTTTTCAACTAGGTGTTTTTTAAAGCATAAACATTTAAGGAATGCAATTTCATCACAGTGATTATCTTAATCATAAAAACTAGTAAGAATGTTCACTAAAATTACAAATTACTCGAAAAATAATAATTCACAACGAATTTTTTTAAAAATAAGAACTTCGAAGATTCGATTTTCGAAAAATGAGAACCTCGAAAATTCGAAGTTCGAATAATAAGAACTCAAAAATTTCTGTTTGCTAGCATTGGACTCAATCCATAACTTATTTCCAGCTGCTCATTTTGTTCAGGTCATAAAATTGGATTCAATTCAGTCTCTTCTTCATCCACTTAACAGTATGGCTTCATCTGTTTGGCTCGTGTTGTTTTATCGCTTAATTAAGACCAGAAAATTTTGCTGCTTTTTAACACGTTTTTTTCTTCCAAAATGTAAGCATTTCAGGTGCCGAAAAAAATTTTGGGCAGGACGGTGGGGCAATTCCTAATTTTAAACATGTAAATAACCTAAAAATGAAATAAAAAAAAAGATTGTGTAAATTTTATAATGAATTCTACTTACTTTTTGTTGTCGTAAATGCTGATTCGGCTAAGATTTCTGGTGAGTGTGGCGATGCAGAAATTGAAGCTGGCGATTCGTCTTGCTTAATGGTTCCTTTGTCATACGGCGTGAGAATTCCCTTATGAATTACTTCCAAAGTTGTGCTCATGTGTTTGAATGACATCTGATGGATCTTTGTTAAGATTTGGGCAAATATGATTCAATCCATAGCTTATTTCCAGCTGCTCATTTTGTTCAGGTCATAAAATTGGATTCATTTAAGTCTCTTCTCCATGCATTTAACAATATGGCTTCATCCATTTGGCTCGTGTTGTTTTATCGCTTAATTAAGACCAGAAACATTTTGCTGGTTTTTTTCCTCCAAAATGTAAGCATTTCAGGTACCGAAAAAAATTTTGGGCAGGACGGTGGGGCAATTCCTAATTTTAAACATGTAAATAACCTGAAAATGAAATAAAAAAAAAGATTGTGTAAATTTTATAATGAATTCTACTTACTTTTTGTTGTCGTAAATGCTGGTTCGGTTATGATTCCTGGTGAATATGGCGTTGCAGAACTTGAAAATTTCCTTATTGATAATGCTTCAAAAGCTTCTGCAGAGTCAGAAAAATCTTAAGGTAATGCACAGAAATGTAGAATTTGTAAAAATTGTGAAATGATTGTCTGTTGTCTTATAACATCATCAAGAAAATGCTTAATTTGGTTCTCACATACCTCTACAGTTTCTCCTGCAATTTGAGTTTTTCTTGTTTTGTTCTTATCTGGTTCTTCATTTACATATGGATTCTTCTTAGTCTTCACTCTTTTATTTAAAGCTGCCTTTTTTCATACCCCCGAAGGTTTTTCTTCGATTCTTCTTACAATTAAATCTTGTTCTCTGTCAGTTGATTAGTGATCGCTGAATCCGTTTTCTATATAGATACTTGTCTTCATCCTCATCTTCTTAGCTGTCTTCATTATTCGCGCGAAGTTGTTCCATTGACTGTTGCTTACGAATTTTTTTGGCAGTCTTTCTTTATAGATTTCCCGTTGTGCTTTTCTTCATAATTCTGTTCTTCATAATTTTAATCATAAAAGATTATGTAGAAAACGCTTCTGGTACATTTGGCGGTGGAATTTATGAGCTCGTTGTGATAAAAGATGATTTGTCGTTTCCATATTTTATGATCGTGCTTTTTGGAAAACAAACTGAAGAAGAAGATTACTGGCTTGACTGTTGATAAGATGAACTTGAAAAAATTTCCCGCCATAGGCTAAAATTCAAAAGAAATAAAAAAGAAGGAAGAAACAAAGAAAATTAAGATAAAATCCTGTAAAAGAAAAAAAAAGAAAATTAAAAATAAATCCTATAAAGACAAGGAGAGTTAAAGAAATATCCTGTGAAAGATCTTCTCTGGCTGTTGAAAGTTGTCGCTGATTCCGCTCTATTTGTAGCTTTTTGTCATTGGTTTCATCTTCTCTCTTTCTTCATCCTCATTTTCAATGCTGTCTTATTTATTCATTGATTTTTGATTCTCCTTGATTTGAACTTATTCTTGTTAGATGTCTGAATGTAATCGTTAATGTCATATTGAAAATCATCGTGTTGAGCAATCATTCAATAAATTCCAAACGTAATCTTAAAGACTGCATACACTTTTTTTTTGTTTTGCAGCACCGATATGATGTGAAATAGGCTAAATGTTAAAAAAAAGAAAGAAAAAAAAGAGAGAAAGAAAGAAAGAAAGAAAGAAATTAATTAAACTGATCAAAATAGAATATTAAAAAAAAAAAAGAACAATCATTTTCTCTGTCTATTGAGTAGTTTCGCTATTATTTTTGCGCGATCCATTCCTCCTTATCAAACAAGTTGTCCAGCCGAGGTTGTTTTAGTTGATGGTTTCAATATTTTCTCATTCTCCCAACATTTTTAAAATTTCATGATACTGCTGCTATTTAAAAGCTCATAGATGCTTCTTTTATTTAATATATGAGCCAGCAGAGTGAAGAACCCACTAATCAGTCATACTAGTGAACCTGAAAAAAGAGATAACAATGAAATCAGCATTCAACTTTATGAGAAATCTTTTTGAGGTGCTACTCAATTGTTTTTTAAAACATGTTTCAATATTTTGTTATAAATGAAGATGTCAGAAAGCATTAACGCCTTCTTTAAATTCTAGACCACAGAATGACAAAAACTATCAAAACAATTCGCAAGAAGGATTAGAATATGTAGGGGTTTGCTTGTAGCAAAAACGGGGAAACAAGAGCAAAGCACACCGATCAACCCTGGAGATCAACGTAATTCTTTAAAAAATGTAGAAACTCCTTAGCCATCAGCAGTTAATATATGTCATCAGAAAGCTAATGATGCACAAATTCTCTCTCAAAATACTATAAATGCTTAAAATTCTGTGTTTCATAATAAAAATGATGATCAGTCACTATCACTACAAGATCTTCAAGAAACTAACCGAACATTTCTAGAAAAGTATATACGGTCCTCATAAAATACTTTCAGTCACTCAAAATTAAGTTTCTACATTTCTGAAACATTTACTCAAATGTTTTAATAGAATAAAATTCAAATATGAACTCACACTCTCTCGCACTCTTGCCTAGAGGATAACAAGCGTTCCTTTCATCCACTCAGCAATAATATAGAAAAATCAGCATCGAAAGTGTCTGTATTTCTTTCATGAATCAACAATTTTCGGCAAAAATCAACTTTGGTGCTGATATCACATTGAATAATCTATCCATGAATAATATTCAGCATTGTCTTGTTTCAAATAAATTATTCAGAACTTCTGCATATCATTTGTTGTTTTATTTTTGTTGTTCTGAACAAGTTGGATATATTATCAATTTTGATTCAATCATGTTAAGTATGATCTTCATCATACAACACCTGTTTAATGAAATTATTAACATACAGCTTATTTTTGTCATCAATGCATTTTTTGCTTCTCTTCTAGTTCTTCATCAAGAGTGAGTTTCTCACGAATCAATGCATTATTTTTGGCGTCAATTGAT